GTCGTACACCATCCTACTGCCCGTGTTTGCTCTTGAGTAGTACTAGCCACGACATTTACGTTGTTTGTTTCCATCTCCTCGATTTGTCTTACCTAGCCTACATTTCTCATGCCTATACTACTACCATCCGTTACCGAATGAAGCATTCCGAGTTACCTGTACAACGCAGCCGCGCGGAGTGGAGAATTGATCCGCTGCCACGGTCACATGAAGTTCGAGTTTGGTCGCGTCTGTGGTTCGCGCCTTGCATCGTGTTCATCCAAGACATCGACATCGACCACCCACTGGCGGCTCATACCACTTCCCGGCGCTCGCAATCCTACAAGAGCCACCATAACTTAGGTTCGTGAACTATACGTCTGATCATGTGAGTAGCTATCCTCTCTACTGTAGCCTGATTACTGAGTCTCTGGATCTAGCTTTCACGACTGACACGATGCAATCTACGACACGACCTGAGAAGGCTCCCTCAAAAGCGCCGATACCCTTGAGCTCTTCATTTGAGGAACGCTATGCTACCTTACAACATAAGCTAGATCGCCTACAGAAGGTTCATTCAGAGGGCAAGAAATCGGTGCGTTCATGTCTTAGTTGAACTAGGTTGTGGTACTGAATATTTGACAGCAAGAGTCAGAGCTTGTCACCACCAAAGCATCTCTTGCTTCAGCGCAGAAGACGAACGCAGAACTTTCTTCACAAGTAGAGAAGCTCAAGAAACACGCCGACGCGCACGACGCTCGGATGCAAGAACTCCGACGCGCAGCGCTCGCCGACCAGACTGAGCTCAAAGACTTGCGCGCCAAACTACGCCTAGTGGAGGCCGAACGCACCCAGCTTGCATCGAAGACCGGCGAAGCAAGTGACGCGAAACGCGCTCTGCACAAGCTGGAAGCACAGCGGCGGGAGGATCAGGTGGTAGCGGAGGCGCGGCGGAAGGAGGAGTTGCGAGAGCGTGACCGTCGCATAGCCGAGCTGGAGAAGGCGCTGGGCGCTGAGAAGAAGCGCCGCGAGACCGCCGAAACTCGCGCGAGCGAACTCCGCGGCAAGTCGGACGGTCGGACGGAACAGGCGCGCAGCGAGGCGAAGTCGTTGGACGCCGAACTGAAGGCTGCGAAGGCCGATACCGCCCGGGCTCAGCAAGAACTACAAACTGCATTGGCACGTGTCGAGGACCTATCTGGACAACTCGAAGGTCTTCGCTCTATGCTCTCTCGCATTACCGAAGCATATTCCACGCTCTCCGGCAATACGGTCTCCTGTGCCACCCACACCCGTCTCCGTGACTCCCATCTGGCCCTCGAACTCCGCAACTTCAGGCTGCAGAGGAAGCTAGCGAACTCTGAAGCACAGGTCATTGAACTGGCTCAACTCATCCGACAAGCGCACCACGACAAAACCCTTGCGCTGGAGTCTATTCATGACATCGAAGTGGAGAGGGACTACTATGCCTCCGCTTATCACGACGCGACACAGGCGACGCTACCCGCAGAAGACGACGTAGATGGTGCCGCCGACGCAACCATTGACTCCCTTCGCCTCGACAAGGGTATCGCAGACGCGGCCGCCTCTTCGTACCGCTCTCTGGCACATTACTACTTTCTTCTCAACCGGGACCTCATGACTGCGTACCGCAGCTCACTTGACGAGCTGTCAGATGAGCAGGCGCAGACGGCAACCCGGGAGAAGACCTTGTCGAAGGAAACCGCCGCACGCGCAGAGCTGACACGAGAGATGCAAGCCGTGCGCGAGGAGCTCTCAGCTGCCCGGGGCGAACATGCAGAGGTTCAAACGCAGTTGCGAGATGCGAGGGTGGAGCAGAGCGAGCTGGGAGACAAGCTGTCTGCTACCGAGCGAGAGAAACAGAAGGAGGCGGCCGCGCACCAGCAAGCTCTACGACGTGAGCAGGAAGCTGCGCAACGCCTCGCCAATACCATCAAGATGCACAAGGCGGCCGAGGACGCATTGCGATCTGAGATATCCCAGTACGTTCACCTTCATCTGCGACTTGTAGCGGTGTCTGACGCATCGTATAGACTCTCCGAGGAGATGGCCGACCTTGCACGGTATCAGGAAGCGTACTACGCGCTATCTGATGAAGTCGGCTCCTTAGCCGCACGCAACGCGCTCGCCGAAGATGAGGCAGAGCGTCTCAGCCAATTCAACGCCGAGATCCTCTCGCACAACAATCCCGCGCAGAGGATCATGTACCTCGACCGTATCCGGCGTGAACTTGCGGACACCAAGCAAGAACTTCTGGAGGAGAGGCGCGCCAAGGAGAGCGCGTTGACGCAGGGCGATGAGCTTACGGCGGAGCTCGCGATGTACAAGTCTGTCGCCGTCGTTGGACCAGGAAGCACTACGGACCGCCGTCCGAAGACGAACATGACCCGAGTCGCACGGGTACCACTCGCGACCCAGAGCCTCAATGGACAGTCGCAGCGCTCACGGACCGCATCCGGTATGAAGAACATCTCGGAGGCTTACGATGATATGACCCTGGACGAGATACTGTAGAACGCTTTGTGTCCCTGTTTTCTTGGTTTTGTCTGTACATTTCTGTCTGTGCTTTATGTTTAGGGCCTGTATACCAACATCTGATACTCCTCATACCTATCGACTGCACCAATCACCAGTTTCCGCTCATACTCCGTCCGAATCCTCGATGCTTAGTTCTATCAAAGTTGGTCACGGTCGCGTCACCAGCTGTGGCGCCGTCATGTGCAGTTGACCACGAACCACCACCATCCCTTTCTACGATATGTTCTATGTTGCAGACCCATAGCGCCTATCTAACCAAGACCTTCAAGAACTGCTGAAGCTACGAATTTCCTACACGCACCTCGGCAGTAGCTATGCCGCCCTCCGCTGAGATGCAGTCCCTTTTGGGCGCGGTACTTTCCACGATCGGACCGGACTCCCGTGAGCATCCAACCCGCTATTCGCCAGCTTGCAGTGCCGATCGACCCCACGCAGTACCCCAGGACTCGCTAGAGCGGCTTAGTCTGATGTTCAGTGAGCTCGTACTCGTCGCAGCGCTCGACTACATCGACAGAGACCGCGGTCAGTCTCGAACCACTCTGCATATTTCTCTGCCACTCATCGACTCTTCGTAGTTATACGTATCGTCATGCCGTGGGGTAGAACTCACTATGAAGTTCTCGGCGAGCACTAATCGCGTACGGTCTCAACGAATCTACCCGCACCCGCTGTATCAATCTTCTGCAGCTGTCCAACGTATGCGGACGCCGTACTTCTCACCGGCTCGCATATCATGGTGGGGTCTCTCTGAATGCTATATTGGATCTATCTTATGGCTGACGTCACTACGAGATAGTGTAAGCAGGCTCACGATGATATGACTCTTGATGAGATACTGTGAATTGTTTGCGGCCCATGTTGTCTTGTGTTTGTCCGGACTTCCCTGCACATGCTTCATCTTTGTTGTCTGTACTATAGAGCACCCATACCTGTCCCTTTGATCTGCATGTATCAGAACGTTTCCTCCGTACATCGACTGTATCGTGCCTCTCATACCAAAACACTTTTTGATTGCGCAAAAAAGTGAGGTTACTGATCATACATTGGGTACACTACGACAACTCGACAACGGATTGTGATATGCGGAAGCAACACTTTTGGTCCTAAAACCTGTGATCCTCTGCGGCTAGAATTGGCTACGTGATTTGGGGAGGGCTCGTTGAGCCAGAGCGGGATTGGCGTAGGCTTCCGAGGACACTACGCAGCGACTCGGCGCTGGAATGGTCTTGCGACTCCTCGTATAACCGCAGCGACTGCTGGAAGCATGTCTCAGCTTCGTCGAGCTCGCTACACTTCACATGTACTACCCCAAGGTAGTGTATAGCCCGAGCTTGACCGCTCGGGTATGGTGCGTCTAAAGCCAAGTCGCGAGCGCGTTGAAGGAGATCGCGAGCTTCGGTCAGTCTATGTATGTCTTCGAGAAAGGCGCCGAGCGAGTTGAGAGTATCAATTTCCCCCTGTATGCTTTCAATCTCCCGGAAGACTGCAAGAGCGGATCGGAACCTGCGCTCAGCCCTGCCTGGTTCACCAAGATCCCGATACAAGGTCCCCATGAGTTCAAGGACTTTCGCCTTCCCGGCCCGGTTACCGATCTCATCGAAAAGACTCAGCGCCGACTTTAGGCGGTGCTTTGCCTTTCCGAGGTGGTTAAGACTCTTGTACAATGCTCCGATGTTCTTCAGGGTATTGGCAGTACCCAAACGATCACCAAGCTCGATGTACAGGTCACGCGCAGATCTCAACTTCTGCATCGCCAGATCATGCTCGCCAAGGTTGGTGTACACCTTTCCGATTGTAGCGAGGGCGTTTGCCTGCCCTAGCCTATTGCCGTTCTTGGCGTAAAGATCGAATGCAGACGAAAGCGCATTGTTTGCAGCGTCAAAGCGACGAAGGGTCTGGTAAACATCTCCTAGACTCTCAAGGCATCGAGCTTGCCCCTGTTCATTATTCTCAGCTTGGTATAGAGCAAGAGCTTGATGAAGAGCCGTTATTGAGTCGTCATCGAGGCTCTGGTAATATGCGCACATGCCCTTCTGATACAAAAGTGATGCTCGAAGAGATTGACTCTCGTTCCCTGCATGTCTGATCGCTTCTGCCAGTAGCGACACGTTGTAGACGCGGAGAACCCGACATAATCGAGAGAACGACATGATCGCGCGCAAGATCTTGTGCACAGGCTGAATATCCCGATTCAGACAGTGCGTGAACACCGCAGAGATATTCGCAAGCTCTGGTAGCAGGTTCTTCTTAGCATACGCTAAACGCGTGGAAAACTCGGCGTAGAAATCGACGACGTTGCAGTACACATCAGCCAAACATGATAGATGTGCAGATTGGATAGGATGATTGGCAAGCATGTAATGCCGTATTGGGGACAAGATGCGAAGAAATCCGTCATCGGATGAATATGCCAGAGCACATTGTTTCAATAGCGTTATCGAGGATCGCAGATTGGAAAAGTATTGAGCCGAAGCCTCTGCAAATGATGGGATACGAGACTCTGATAGCCCTTGTGGGAGGACAGAAAGGAGGCTCAATAGCAGTAGGGCCTCGTGCTTGTTATGAAGAAGCGGGGTCGAGAGCGACAGCCGTATGGAACTCTCAACGTTGTTCAATCTATGCTCCGGACCTCGCGCAGTCTGGAGCAAACTCGTTTGCTCGAGCTCCCAGCGCGACCAAAGCACCTCTGAGCTCTCGATAACAGCAAGTTGAGCGAGTAGCGTCACGGCCAAAGGGACATAGTCAACCGCCTCCATTAATCTCCGAGAGAACTCGTCATGCAGTGGGCATATCGACCTCCAGGTCACTAATGCAGCCTCATGGTCTAGCGATTTGATTGGCGCAAGTGTCGGTTGCGACCAGGCTATATTTCTTGGTCTTTCAGCACCGCGCGATGTGATTATGAGCGCAAAGTGGGCGAGTGACGCGAATTGGGCGAGCAGGGCCTCAACGGCCACTGAGTCTGCATCCCAGGGTGTTTCGAAGTTATCGACACAGATAATCCCGTACGGGAGGGTGTACAGGTGGGAGATAATCGTGTCTCGCGGGGACCTGTGATCGCTAGCAGTATCGCTCAAATCAAAGGCCCTCATGAATTCTTGCACCATGGCATCGGCGGTGAATGCGGCCTCGCAGGAAAGGAAGAACCTGTGGGAGGAGAAGAGAGCCTCTACCTCAGGGTGATGCATAATCGTCAGTGCCAATGCTGTTTTTCCAATCCCTCCGGGACCCAGGATGGCGACGCGTGCAGGGGCTTGAAGAACCAACAGTCCAACGATATGGTTTATTTCATTTGTGCGACCATGGAAAATGTTAGGAGCGGCGGGCAAAGACGCCATGACACTACGTGTAGATTGAGAGGTATTCAGAGTAAAGCATATACATATGAGAACATACCGTGGGAGCGCCCGGGAGACGCTGGAATGCATCACTCGCGAGGTTTCTGGAGCAGTTTGAACCAGTGGTTGAGTATGTTCAACAGGTTGTTGCACGTCACGAGGAGGAGGGTGTTCAGTATGCTGTAGGTTCCCAATGCATGAGCTGAGATATCGTAGAATGATGTTAAGAGCGTACCGAATGAGTGCGACGAAGATCATTGAGAATGGCTGTCATGGCGTGCATTCTGAAGGACTGATCAATCTGCAGCTTAGTCTAGACGGCGTGTCAGTATGCAATAGATGATGGTGCACTACGATAACGGAATACTCGCGTTGAACAAGTCCAGAGCCGCTTGCATATCTGCGCGACATTGCTTAACCTCCATGCCAGTCTCCCCGCGCTCAAGGTATTCACGCGCGCGGATAGAGAGCTTCCTTGCCACACTCGTGGAACCATCGGTCGTGGGACGTGCTATGCATCTGTTCATGGACGTAATCGTTTTTGCAATACACCTGGGAAGAGAGTCAGCAACGCTATTCTCCACACACGAGCAAGCGCGGCACCTCTCCAAATCCTCGAAAGGCTCCTTTAGGACTTGCGGGAAGGCGTTCTCCGAGGTAATGTCCGCCGATTCGCACTGTTCACGGACTTGGTTGATTATAGCAGCGATTTGTCGGGCAACTCCCATAACCCCTTCCCAGTCATTTCTATACGCATCAACTTCCTGATCCACTGTAAGTGGATGCGATGAGGCCTTGAGATACCATGATGCGTACATTCTGTATCTTCAACACTTCAGATAGCACATTCGCGATGACACCGAGGTAGGGCACATTCTGCGTCATAGATGCTGCGATCCCTAGGATGTCTATGGCTGTTTTCACGGCGCCTCTCGACTCCCTCTTGATACTATCACTGATCTCTGTGGCACAATCAGATTATGTAACCATCCCAGACGTGAAAGGGCACGTACGCAACCGTGTCCCGCGGGCCGCCGTGACGCGCACATCCGAGGATGTTCCCTCATCGAAGTTGGGCATAGTCGGGATATCTCGAAGTACAAAGGGTAGGGACCTCGTGGTGGCGGAAGGCAACAGCCTGAACATGCGAGTCGAGGACACCGCATGTGACGATCTAGGTGTGACCCCCGCGTGCGCGCATCGACCATCGTGCGCCCGTGGCGATCATACCAACCACCATCATCGCCTTGCCTGAAATGCTCTCAAGCGACCAGTTCCCGTACACACTATCTGCATAAAGGATAGAGCAAGTGTGCTCACTCCTGTCGCGTCAACATCGGGAACTATGCCTCTTACCGATATGCGGTCTCTCTTCGAAGTGGTACTTTCCACGATCGGGCCGGACTCCCGTGACCATCCGATTCTCTATACGCCAGTACATAGAGCTGACCTATGACACGCAGTTCCCCAGGAGTCACTTGAACGGCTAAGCCTGATGTTCAGCGAATTTGTGCTCGTCGCAGCGCTTGACTACATCGACAGAGACCGTGGTGAGTCCGGCATCAAAACGCGTATTTCTTCGACACTCACCGGGTCTTCGTAGTCATACGCATTGTCATGCCCTGGGGCAAGTCCCATTATGAAGTTCTTGGCGAGCACTACTCGCGTACCGTCTCAACCAACCTACCTGCGCCCGCGGTGTCGGTTTTCTGCAGTTGTCCGACGTATGCGGACGCTGTGCTTCTAAGCGGATCGCATATCATGGTGAGGTCTTTCTAACTGCCGTACCCGGTTTATCTTATGACTGATGTTTCCACGAAACAGTGTAAGCATGCACTAGCAGTATGTATCGCGCAGCGCATGGAGCGTTGCGTCGAACGTGTGGCGACAGCAGAAGACGCGTTAGCCTTCTTCTCCAGACATCATCTTGGCCCTCGATCCGATTTCACGACATGACTTCTGTACAAATGTATGCTGAGAGTCTGTTGAAGACGATGTTCGTTACAATACGTGCAAATGCCGCTCATGAGTCCAATGTCCGCAAACGACCGAATCAAGCCGAGATCGCGATGCTCCAGTACAGCACTCCGAAATGAGTCTGCCCTGCTATCTCGATGGACTTCCCGTATCCTTTCTGGTCAAGCCTGACCTCGATCTTGACCTTGTCCCGCGCAAACTCCTCTCCGCGAACGGCGGTGAAGACCTGCTTCCAGAGGGCGACCCACGACTCAGGTGAATGGCCGTAGCGAGTCCTACGACAGAAGTTAGTCAGTGAATGGTCCCCGAGTCTACATGGCATGACAGATGACTCACTTCGCGTAGCCATCGTCGATCATCCCGGCCTCTGCTAAGCCTTGGTGCCTCCCAAAGATGATGGCAGGCTGGCCCTGCCTCACCAAGAGCGCAAGCCGAAGCGCCAACGCGTGCTGTGTGCTCTCATCAAAGAGATGGAACAGCGCGCCGGTGTATATCGCAGCCACACGTCCAAGCAAGCCATCAAGAGAATTCACTTGCGGCAGCGGCGTGCTAGAAGGAGATACAGGCTGGACGGGCGATGGAAGCTTCACTGTGAACACGTCGCCTTGGATGAAGCGGATAGGTGAGGTCTGTGCGTCCGCGTACAGCTTGTGTCCGAGCGCAAGGAACTCTGGGACCAGCTCGCACCCGACAATCTGCGAGCCGGGATAGCCATCGTATGCCGCTTTGCGTACATCCGTACCCACTAAGCAATACCGCATGTCAGAGACGAGATGATGCGGCGTGATGCGGAAAGACATACTGCAACAGCCAATGTCGAGTAGGATTGCCGACGGATCAGACTTACCGAGCTCCAGAACACGTTGATAGGCAGTGTTGTCGCTCATAAATAGGGCGATGTGGTGGAAGCCCCGGATGCACGGATAGGGGTACTTCACGTATGCCCTACAAGAGACGATCAGTTCGAGAGTAGATCAAACTAACGTGATCACATGAGCTCACTCCTTCTGCACTTCCTCAGCTCTGGTACGGAGCTCATCTTCATCGGGTGTGACGGTCGCTTTGAGGAAGGCAAGAGCTTCAGGATTAGGAGCGTAGAGTTTGGGATCTAAGGGCGTGATGAGGTCCTTTGGGATCTCTCCTTGAGGTTTGATGACGGGCTCTGTGGACATGACGGAAGCGAAAGAGAGGGAGAGGTTCGAGAAGGCTTGACGTCCTCCCGCCATGCAATGAAGATATAAGTACTAGTGTACGCGCGTACACCCGTACACCCGTACGTGGAGCCATAGACACATCAGTGGCCGTGGTTAGTCAAGTCCGGCGCTCCGACGTACTTCTGCGTATTCAATCGGTCGCTTCTGGTTCTAGAGTATCCAGAAACACCCCTCGTACGGTGTTGCAAGCGCCGAAGAACCAGTCATAGTTGTTGCGCAGGCGAGTGACGGGAAACAACCGCCTCGGATCAGCCTCCGCTGATTCGTCTTGAAGTTGTCAATGCACATGAGTTTTACACATCCTTCACTCGACGGTGAGCTCAGACCGAAAGAACAACATCGCATAGTGTATTCAACGCGCGGGGAAAAGTAAGGCAGCATGCCATTCACGGCGAAATCTCGACGCTCCAGTAAAGCATGTAGAAATCCGTTCTGCCAGCGGCAGTAACGGCTGGCCCCTTGCTCGGCCTGAGCTCAGCTGTGACTGAGACTCTATCCTGCGCAAACGTTTCCCCATACGCGGCAGTAAAGACTGCCTTCCATAGTTCTGGCCAGGACTTGGGTGAATGTCCGTACCGTACCCTGCAATCGAAAGTGTCAGCGCATAGCATGCCGCCTCGATAGAAGTTTGACGCACCGCGCATAATGATCGTCAATGAGTCCGGCCTCCGGGAGTCCTTGGTGTCGACCAAAGATGATGGCCGGCTTGTCCTGCCTCAGCAACGAAGTGAGGCGAAGAGCCATCGCGTACTGCGTCGACTCGTCGAACAAGTGAAAGAGTGCACCGGTATATACAACCGCCGCGCGGCCCAAGAGGTCTGTCAACGAGTGGATCTGTGATTTGAGCGACGCGGCGGGGATGGCGGGTTGGAGTGGAGAGGGTGGTTCGAGCGCGAAGACGTCGCCTTGAATGAAACGGATCGGGCAGGTGTCCGCGTCGCCGTACAACTTGTGGCCAAGAGCGAGGAAGTCGGGAAGCAGATCACATCCGACTATCTGTGAAGCCGGATAGCCGTCAAAGGCGGCTTTGCGAACATCCGTGCCCATGCAGCAACCGATGTCTAACATGATAGCGCTGGGATCGGTCTTCCCGAGCTCGAGGACGCGCAGATAGACGTTGTTGGAGCTCATGAAGAGCGCGACATGATGAAAGCCTCGAAGGCATGGATAAGGATACTTTGCGCTGCGACACATGAGCACTGATGGCCATCCGGCCTTGAGAACATAACGCACTAAGCCCTACACAATCTCCATCAGCTTCAGCGCGAAGAACAGAACTCAGAGTACGCACTCTTCTTGAACCTGTTGAACTCTACGACGTATCTCTTCTTCATCTACCGCGACGCTACTCTTGAGGAATTGCAAGGCTTCGGGCGACGGACTGAAGAGCGCGGGGTCTAAAGGTAAGACGAGCTTCTCCGGGATCTCGCTCTGAGGATTGATAGTCGACTTGTCAGTGTCCATACCGAAGAGCAAGAATGTGGTTCAAAGAGCCGTATAGTACGAGTTGCCGGGATATAGCTGATAAGGCGTGCTTCCAAGCTTCGATGAGACTAGCCTTCCATAAAGGCCGTAGTGGTGGGAGCCCAGGCACTTTCCGGGTAGTCCCGTGGGGCAGAGATGCGTACAAGCCTATTGACCCGAGCTCTCGCGTGCACCGGAGGCATGTTCTGAGTATGAAGAAGTATGCCTGATAGTTTTGGAGTTGAACATCATGGTAAGAAGCAAGTCGCGGGTAAGCGCGGAGAGCTTGCGGTGGCGAAACACGGTTCACTATTATCCGTATATTTTTCATTCCAATACGACAGCGAGCTGAATTGGCTCTGAATGACTTCATCACCATAACCGAGCTACTATTACAGTTCCATCGATATCCAGATAGGTAGGGGGCAAGCCGCACAACACTGTATGTTACGGAGAAATCTCCACGCTCCAGTACAGCACCCCATGCTGGCTACGCATCGCGAAGTTGATGGCCTGCCAACTCGAACCGGCATTGCTCTGCTTCAACTCGGCCTGAACCAGAACGTGCTCCTTCGCGAACCCTTCTCCGCGCACGGACGTGAACACGTCTTTCCATAGCTTCACCCACGACTCCGGCGAGTGCGCATATCGAGCTCTGCGTCGCCTCGTCAACGTATGGACGGTGAAACGCGAGAGTCCACGTACTTCATGAAGCTATCTTCAATAGGCCCAGCCTGTGGTAAACCTTGATGCCGTCCGAAGATGATAGATGGTTTGTCTTTCCTCGCCAGCATCGCCAGCCGGAGCGCCAGGGCATACTGAGCGCTTTCGTCGAACAGGTGAAACAAGGCACCCGTGTATATCGCAGCCGCTCTACCAAGGAGGTCGCCTAGCGATGTACTCTGAGAGATTGAAGTGACCGGCGGCGTTGTGGGTTGCAGAGACGAAGGGAGCTGGAGTGCGAAGATGTCGCCCTGGATAAACCGGATATTGCAGGTATCCTCATCTCGGTAAAGCTTGTGCCCAAGTGTGAGAAACTCCGCAACAAGCTCGCATCCCACGACCTGCGAGGCGGGATACCCGTCATACACGGCTTTTCGAACATCTGTGCCCATGCAGCAACCGATATCAAGTAGCACGGCCTCCGGATCCGACTTTCCGAGCTCAAGCACACGAGGGTAGATAGTGTTTAAGCTCATGAACAGGGCGACATGGTGATATCCGCGGATGCAGGGGTATGGGAACTTTGCGCTGAAACACCATCAACGATGAATGTGAGCAACAAGATAGGAAAGCGCACTATGCTCTACAACCCGATGGTTAGCGCTGTATTCAAGCACGCCAATCCTATCACGCACTCTTCCTGTGCTTCCTGCACTCTGGAGCGTAGCTCTTGCTCATCCTTTGACGCGGTCTGCTTGAGAAAGTCGAGCGCTTCAGGGGAGGGTTGGAAGAGCTCCGGATCCAGGGGAGGGACGAGATTCTTCTGAACTCCGTTTTGCGGGTTCGCGGTCGGTTCGTCGAGCGCCATGAAGACAAGAAGCAGCAAAAAGGCCACCGTGTTCTTTCGGAGGACCCCACTTATATACGGAGGGCGAGCGGGAACTTTATACCATCGCGGTGAACACCGCGAAGGCACTCGACTGAAAACGGCGAGAGCTTCTGGAGTTCACGCCAGCCACGGGAGACAAGTGCATGCTTCTGGTGAGACTATGAGTAGAGACTGTGGCTAGTCCACGGTGGTGGTGAGATTGCAAGTCGTGTGCCGTGGGTTGACGCCGTTGCCGAATATTCGTGAGAACATGTGGCGGCGAGGTGAAGATCTAATCTTGGGATCTCGCCCGTCTCTTCTCAACGGCCATCATCATGCCGAACCAATACCTCATAGTCTTCGCACAGGCACACTCAGACTTTCGACTCCCCGAACTACGTTCTGTCTCTGAACTTCATGGGTTCGACGTCGGGATTCCATGCGACTTTGACGTGACCAGACCGTTCGGCGTCGTAGAGCTTGAGAGTGAGGAGCATGCTAGGCTCTTGGCAAGGCGGTGTATTTTAATTAAGTGCGCATACTTCCAAGTCCTGGATGGCCGGAAAATATGTGCAACATATCTAACAACGGTACAGGTCGATCTACGAGTTCTACGCGCGCGGCGCCTCTTACGACGAACTCCATGCCGCCAACGCCTTAGCGCGTCCACAATGGGAGAAATACATCGCAGACACATCCTTCAAGTTCTTTGTGAATGGGTACAATCAGTCGATACCGCAACGGCGGCAACGCGAAGTCATCGAGAACTTCTCGTATATGGACTTCCTCGGGAAGATCGACATGAAGACGCCGGAGGTCGTGCTGGGGTGCTTTGAAGAGTGTGAGTGTTCATGCTGAGTTACCAAATACAAAGGGACGCCAACAGACTTATGCAATTTCTAGACCGTGATACGACGGGCACCACGCGCGGGAAGCACGACGGCGACGGTGACTTTCGCGAGGTTTTCTTCGGCAGGTTGGTGCGTTTCTCTGGGAGATTCATGCCATCCTCCTGCTGACGCTTTAAGAATAGATAGAGGAAGGAACTGCACGGCCACTCCTAACGAAGTTCGACGTCAAGAAGCGCGCGTACTTCGGCAACACGTCCATGGAAGCCGAGATCTCCCTTCTCATGGCCAACCAGACACTCGTGCGTTCACTGTCTGTGGGCCACCACGTGACATGCATCTAATCTCAGTCTCTAGGCTTCTCCGGGAAAGCTGGTTTATGATCCGTTCGCCGGGACGGGCAGTATGTTGTACACCTCTGCACACTTCGGCGCGTTGGTATTCGGCTCTGATATTGACGGACGGCAGATGCGTGGCAAAGGTGCACACTTACCCTCCACTAGAATAGCTCGAGTGCTAAGGAAGCTACAGGCGGCAAACCAGGCATCATGCGCGCAGCGGCACAGTACGAAGTCGATAAGCGCGTGCTCGACCTCTGCACGTTCGACGTGACGCGGAATCCGTTGAGATGTGGCGGGTTCTTCGACGCGATTGTCACCGACCCACCATGTAAGCCTCCATCTCGCATGTCGATACCTAGTTACTGATGCAATGCGATATAGATGGCGTTAGAGCTGGCGCGAAGAGACTAGGGAGGAAGAAAGCACGACCGGGACAGGGCATATCTGGACCAAGACCGTAAGTACTTGTCCTATCGGCATCGATTCGGCCTGAAGAGGATGCTGAGTCGCTCCATAGAGATGACAACGCGCCTTACATCCCACCCACGAAACCTTACGAACTCTCAGCGCTTGCGACCGACCTTGTCCTTCTTGCTCGATATCTACTCCGGCCGCGTGGTCGACTAGTGTTCTTCTTACCAACAGTAACAGAGGAATACCAGGAGGTGGATGTGGAAGGGCTGGTATGCGAAGGGATGGAGATCGTCGCCAATTCTGTGCAGGACTTTGGAGCATGGGGGCGAAGAGTGCGTTCATCGTCATCACCTTCATGAGTGGCCGGGAGAACTCACGCCGATCTCATCAGCTGATCACTATGCGGAAGACGTCCGAGATGGAGTACCCACCCCCGGAGTTCGAGGAGAAGATTGAGGAGGTCGATGGTCATGTCCCAGCACACAGGGACTTCAGGGACAAGTACTTCAAGAAGTTTGGAAAGGACGATTCGACAGCTGAGACAGTATCAATACCGACACCTACGACGGAATAGATGCCTTCTTCTTTCCATGAGAGCCTGGTCCGATTGACATCGCTCTATGCTCTGAGCTCATGAATAGAGCCTTCTGTCTTCTCCACGTCCGTCCTGAGCTCAACTCCACAATCTGTTAACTTGCGTTTGAGTGCCCCGCTCTCCTCTTTAGCGCGGACGCCTTGGTCGATGAAGCTTGGTCTCGATCTGGCTGAAGTCAGTTGCTGCTATACTGAAGTTCTCAACACTCACCCGATCTCGAGGTCGATCGAGGGTTCCTGCGCTCGACCCCCGAACTCCATAGTGCCAAGCGGTGAACGCGCCGTTCGGCGTGTGCGAAGGGTCGGCTTCCAGCCGAACCAACCCCCCACCGTGCGAAATGTAAGCCAGTACGATGCACGAGCTTCCTTGGTGGCTCCGAAAAGACCGAAGATTGCAAAAGAGAGGACGGGAGACGTCCAGCGCGAGAAATACATCTGTATCCTACTGACCTGTGATCCAGATATCGCGATCGGCCCCCAACCGCTGTGTATGGTCGTCCAACCTTCATAAATGGGGAAGGTGCCCCAGTAAGACAGCTCCCCGGTCACCAACAGAACTATGTTCACGACGCCGATGGGCAAAGTCAACAAGATGTCTATGCTTGCCAGAGCGAAGATGCGGAAGTAATTGAATCGCGACACTGAGTTGTTGCTTTGCAGGAATTCGTGCATGTCCCGCCTTTGGAGATACAAAATCCGTATCACTCTCGCTAGGGGGGGTGGGGGTTCAGTCAATGAAGAGCATGCCTTTTCTATTCTCCACTCACGATAGTATATCGTGATGGAAAGAAGTGGAGACATCACGCTCCACGACCACTGCAGCAAGATACCGACTACCGAGCTTTCTACGATGGATGTGCACCCAAACCCTTCGAGGACAGCGAATCGATATAGTTGAATAACGTAGTCTGCCTATGTTTGAGTTTACAATCTCGTGGTGACATTGAGGTGGAGCTCACACAAAGGGCCCGCCACAACGAGAGGTATGATCAATCCCATCGTCCATTCTATTGCACGGTTTCTTCGTTTCTAAAGCCAGACTCAAGAGACAGAAATGGCATTATGTTTTCAACGGTGCGCACCGCAGCCTTGTCTGGGAGCTCGACAGACCGGAGACTTGTGATCAGATACAGTCGGCGGATGATGATAAGGGTCGCCATGGGCCTAACCACGTTTGTGATCGTCTGTACATGTGTGGCTATCCTCGTCAGACTCGTGGCAGTAAGCACACAAACGATTTACATACCAATGTCACAGTATGTGTAGTATTTGATGTCAGAATTGTCAGACCATACGATGGCATTGGTGGAAACGACGATGTTATCGAGGAAGAGCCAGAAGCATAGAAACACGACACCGAGATTCCAGCTTTGTCTTACAAAGCTCGTCAGAAGAACGAGCAGTAGCATCACCGCAGCTAGTAGGCCAGCGATGGGTAAGAACGGATATGTTGGGTCGGCTGGAGCCATGTCTGCCAGGCAAATCTCGAGAGGATGAGCTCGCTGTGCAAGCCAGTACCATCCTTTAAAGCCTCGGTTTGGCGCCTCCATAGGGTAATCAGAAAGATGATCCATCGCGCGCGGGAGAAGCAAATGGAGCAAAGGTATGGATCGTCTTGTTGGTGGCTGTATGCCCGTGAATCAATGCATAAGCCCAGGCCAGCGGCTCCCTCATGAGATCATTCCTATACGTTACAGAGGTAACTGAGTGACGTCAGAGGGCCAACGTATTGACTAGCAACGCTTTATGTGGACATGAGGTCTTTGAAAGCAACGATGCGTCTGATGTCCCTGAAGGAGACGTCGTCGCGGGTAAGACCATATTGGTACGTGCCATCTGCACGAAACAAATATCATGCCTAAACACCAGTTCAGACACGGTCGTCTCAGCTGGAGCTGCTTAAGATATGTATCGAGTAATGCACCCACTCCGTTGAAGGCATCCTGTGTTGAGCGCTGTGCCCTTCCACGGGTCAGAATGTGCATGTTCATCAATGATGGATCAGGATAGCAGTTGAAACGTTGACGCAGAAACATGGGCGTGACCGATATCGATGTTCATGCACAGCAATCGCCTTTTCTTGCGCCTCCTCGATATCACGATCTTGGGGTTAACGATGAACATGACTACGGGTTTTCCCGCACACACCCATGCAGATATGAGCGAGACGCGCGCCAGTTGTACATGGGCATCAATTTGGAGCTATGCTGGCGCTGTCAGCACTCCGATCTAACGTGGAATGTCTCGAAAAGCTGAGACATAGTACTTTATGGAGAATATGCAGTAGCCGCTGGCTACGGGTCATTCCCTCATTGTCCATCTGTTTCTGGCACGTCATCGATCGCTGGGCCGAAGTGTGGTCCACCCTGGTTCACCACTGTCGGGTACGGGTCTGTGAGACCATATTTCCCAAATGCCATATTGCAGAGAAGAACCAGCATAAGTTTGAAAGCGTACGAGATTATTGACGCAACCGGCTCGAATGAGCCAAATAACGCGATAGTGGTCGCAAGCCAACACTGCCAACATGTTGGTATTTTGCCTGGGAGAAATGATGAGTAAGATTACGCGTTTTGACCAGAATCAGGAGAAACAAAGCCTTTTTCCCGAAAACCCAACAAAACGGGTAATCATGCTCATCATTTTTCTCAAGCGAAATAAGCTCATGTTGGCGGTGCAAAGTCGCAGTGAGAACAACCGACGCGCGCATCAAAAATCCCGACGCGTGACGCGCGCGTTCGCTCGACGCGTCCTCCGAGCCTGCTTGTCTCCTCCCAGCTCCTCTTCGCCGGCCATGCACCTGTACAACCTGACGGTGCAGTCCCCTACGGCGACGCCGCACGCCATCGTCGGCAACTTCTCCGGGGCTCGCCAACAAGAAATCATAGTCTCCCATGGCACACGACTCGAGCTCTTGAGACCGGACGCGCAGACGGGGAAGGTCCAGACTGTCGTCGCGACGGACGTGTTTGGGAGTATCAGGAGTTTGGCTACGTTTAGGCTGACTGGAGGCAAGAAGGGTGTGTAACGTTTATTCCACGTGACAGGAGTAGTGCTCATACTGAGGGTAGACTACGCGGTACTGGGCAGTGACAGCGGGCGTATCGTGATCCTGGACTACGACCCCAAGACGTCCTCCTTCATAAAGCTGCACCAAGAAACATACGGCAAGTCCGGTGCCCGTCGTATCGTCCCAGGCCAGTACCTCGCGACAGACCCCAAGGGTCGCGCTCTAATGATCGGCGCAATGGAAAAGGCGAAACTGGTGTACATCCTCAACCGCGACGCCGCAGCGAACCTGACCATCTCTTCACCATTGGACGCACACAAGAACAGCGCCATCATCCATCACATTGTCGGGCTCGACGTTGGCTTCGAGAACCCGACGTTCGCCGCGCTCGAGGTCGACTACGCCGACGCGGACCAGGACCCGAGCGGCGAGGCAGCGTTGAGAGCGGAGAAGCTGCTGACGTACTATGAGCTCGATCTCGGACTCAACCACGTCGTACGGAAATGGTCAGAGCCAACAGACAGACGCGCCAACCTCCTCGTCCAAGTCCCCGGCGGCCAAATGGGCACCTCCGACAAATTCGACGGACCCTCTGGCGTACTAGTCTGCACAGAAGACCACATCATATACCGCCACATGGACGCGCCGCAACATCGCGTGCCTATACCTCGTCGACGGAACCCGGCTGGAGAAGAGCGAGGATTGATCATTGTGGCGGCGGTTATGCACAAGATGAAGGGCGCCTTCTTTTTCTTGTTGCAGAGCGAGGAGGGCGACCTTTATAAGGTCACTATCGAGCATGAGGAGCAGGAGGTTAGGAGTTTGAAGATCAAGTACTTCGATACTGTTCCTGTCGCGAGCAGTCTCTGTATCTTGAAGTCCGGCTTCTTGTTTGTCGCAGCAGAGTTTGGCAACCAGTATGTCCATTCAGCTCTTCTTCGTAGGGTTTATACTCACACGAACCACAGTCAACTGTACCAATTCCAAAAACTCGGCGATGACGACTCCGAACCCGAATTCTCCTCCGCCGACTACCCCTCCTTCGGCATGTCCTCCCCCTCAACCCCCCTCCCGCGCGTGCACTTCCGCCCCCACGCGCTCGACAACCTCGCCCTCGCCGACGAGCTCGACTCCCTCTCCCCCATCCTCGACGCCAAAATCGCCAACCTCCTCCCCAACTCCGACACGCCGCAGATCTTCGCCCTCTGCGGGCGCGGCGCGCGCAGCACGTTCCGCACACTCCGACACGGGCTCGAAGTGGACGAGACGGTGTCGAGCGAGCTGCCCGGCATCCCCAACGCCGTGTGGACCGTCAAGACGCACGCGAGCGCGCAGTACGACTCGTACATCGTCCTCTCCTTCGTAAACGGCACGCTCGTCCTCTCCATCGGCGAGAACATCGAAGAAGTGCAGGACTCGGGCTTCCTCTCCTCCGCGCCCACGCTCGCCGTGCAGCAGCTCGGCGCGGACGCGCTGCTGCAGGTCCACCCGCACGGCATCCGGCACGTCCTCGCGGACAAGCGCGTGAACGAGTGGCGCGTGCCGAGCGGGAAGACGATCGTGTGCGCCACGACGAACGCGCGCCAGGTCGCGATCGCGCTCTCGTCCGCCGAGCTCGTCTACTTCGAGCTCGACCTCGACGGGCAGCTCAACGAGTACCAGGACCGCAAGGCGATGGGGTCTACCGTGCTCGCCATGAGCGTCGGCGATGTCCCCGAGGGCCGGCAACGCACGCCGTATCTGGCCGTGGGGTGCGAGGACCAGACTGTGCGGATCGTCAGTTTGGATCCGGAGAGCACGTTGGAGACTATTAGTCTGCAGGCGCTGACGGCGCCGCCGAGTGCGCTGTGTATTGCGCATATGCTCGATGCCGGTATCAACAAATCCTCACCAACGCTCTTCGTCAACATCGGTCTATCGAACGGTGTTCTCCTCCGCACAGTGCTAGACGAGATATCCGGGACTTTGACAGACACGCGTACACGGTTCCTCGGTACACGGCCCGTCAAGCTCGTGCGCTTGAAGGTTGGTGGTGGTGGGGTCGAAGGTGGTGGCGGTGGTGGTGACGGGACGGGTGTGATGGCGCTGAGCTCGAGGACGTGGTTGAGCTATACGTGGATGGGCGGGAGCGTGTTTACACCGCTTATCACCGAGGCGCTCGATTTCGCGGGCGGGTTCAGCGCGGAGTTGAGTCCGGAGGGCGTTATTGGTATCTGCGGGAGCGTCTTGAGGTAAGACTTCGAGTTCTCTTCATGTGCACGAAGACCAAGTGCTAACGCGGAGCTTCACAGGATATTCCAGATCCCAAAACTCGGCAACAAGCTCAAACAAGACTCCCTCCAGCTCTCCTACACCCCGCGCAAGATGCTCCAACACCCCTCCCAGCCGCTCTTCTACATCATCGAGTCCGACCACCGCGTCCTGGGCGAAGACGCCACCGCGCACCTCATCCCCTCCCTCCCCCAGCAAGACGCCGAGCTCTTCCACCTCCCGCCCGAACAGTTCGGGCGCCCGCGCGCGCCGGAGGGCACGTGGGCCTCGTGCATACGCATCGTGGATCCGGTCGGGAACGCTACGGTCGCGCGGGTGCCGCTGGACGGGAACGAGGCGGCGTTTAGTCTTGCGATCGTTCCGTTTGGCGCGCGGGGCGGGGAGGCGCATTTGGTTGTGGGGACTGCGAGGGGGACGAGGTTGCAGCCGCGGAGCTGCGAGAGCGGGTTTTTGAGGGTGTATAGGTTTACGGAGGGCGGGGCGGGGATTGAGTTGGTTCACAAGGTACATCCCGTTCCCCTTCCTCCTTATCTTGGTGTACAGATAGCTGACGTTGTGTGTTGTAGACGGAAACAGACGACGTCCCGCTCGCCCTCCTCTCCTTCCAAGGCCGCCTCGTAGCCGGCATCGGCAAATCCCTCCGCATCTACGACATCGGCAAAAAGAAGCTCCTGCGCAAGACCGAGAACAAGACCTTCACGTCCGCCATCGTCACGCTCAACACCCAGGGCGCGCGCATCCTCGTCGGCGACATGCAGGAGTCCGTCGCCTTCGCCGTGTACAAGGCGCCCGAGAACCGGCTGCTCGTGTTCGCGGACGACAGCCAGCCGCGGTGGATCACGAGCAGCACGATGGTCGATTATACGACTGTTGCGGCGGGCGATCGGTTCGGGAACGTGTTCGTGAACCGGATAGACGAGAAGGTCAGCGAGCAGGTCGACGACGATCCGACCGGCGCGGGCATCCTGCACGAGAAGGGCGTCCTGATGGGCGCGCCGCACAAGTCTGCGCTGCTGGCGCATATCCATGTCGGCGACCTCGTGACGAGTATAAACCGCACGGCAATGGTAGCAGGCGGCCGCGAGATCCTCCTCTACGCCGGTCTGCACGGCACAATCGGCGCGCTCGTCCCGCTCGCCTCGCGCGAAGACGTCGACTTCATCCGCACGCTCGAGCAGCACATGCGTTCCGAGCAGATCTCGCTCGTCGGGCGGGACCATCTGAGCTGGAGGGGGTACTACGTGCCGTGCAAGGGCGTCGTGGACGGGGACCTGTGTGAGGCTTTTGCGCGGCTGGCGCCGGGGAAGCAGAGCGCGATCGCGGGGGAGCTGGATAGGACTGTGGGCGAGGTGTTGAAGAAGTTGGAGCAGTTGAGGGTTACGGCTAGTGGGTTCTAGGTGTAGCTATTGTGCTGGTTGGACTGTTGTATTGTACATCTTGTTATTGCTTGCTTGCATACTTGCACTTCCAAAGCGTTGTTCATGCGTGAGAAGAATCGGTGATATCGGCGATTGCGGCCGAGTCAAGGCCCAGATGCCCTTCGTGCTCTACCACCACCTGCTGAATTGATATATATCTCATCTCCCTCTCGTGCTCCTCGCCTACAGTATGGACACCAGCTCACTCGCGAGAAGCTCTCGATTGTATCGTCAGAAGCTTGCGGTAGTAGTGTGCGATCGCCCGTAGTTTGAAGCGAGCCGCCTGCGACGCGCTGCGCCGAACGTTCGCTCTGGCAGCGCTCCATGTTCTCTCTTGCTACACCCTTGCACGACATACGAAAGTAAGGGCGCATGTGATATGTATCAGCTGCACAGCTGATGCCACGTCCGCAGTCCTAGGATTGTCTGCCCTGCAGACAAGAGAACATCGCTTTTCATCTGCAGACCCAAATTCCTTCGCACAGTGGGGCCCGGATACAGTCTTGTGCCGTTACTGCGAGGGTAGAGGCTTCACAGCACGCTTAGCCCTGCGAAATCTGGGTGTCATTGATAGCCAAAGTGGTGTCATAGACAGTGAAGCCTGGTAACTGGGTCAATTTGCTGGGTACGATTCGGCGAAACCCGCTCCAGCTCCGTTCGAAATGACAATGCTATGGGCTCCCAGTTCACATCGCCGCTCACGTGTGCGTTTGAATACCTCTAATGATGCGATTTGAGACTCAGTATAGCTTTACAGGTACACAACATGACCACAGCGTGCGCGATGCCGCGATCACTCAGCACAACGCACATGTCGCTGCTCCCTGCCTCCAGCGAATCGGCTGTCAACCTCTGGTAGACCGGATATACGGCTTTCCCTACCAGCACAAGGTCATCTGTATATGAAGAGACGGGTGACACGGACCAATACAGGCTTGCCACACCTCGCAATCGCTAGTCGTTGCTTGATACCACCATGCGCGCGGTCGCTATCTCACTCCTCAGTGCCACCCTGGTTTCGGCCACCGTGCTCGATGCCCGCGCCACCTGCCCACAACTTCACATCTTCGGCGCGCGCGAGACCACCGCGCCTCCCGGCTTCGGCACAGCGGGTCCTGTCGTCCAGTCAATCATGAACGCCTTCCCAGGTTCCACCTCCGAAGTCATCAACTACCCCGCGTGCGGTGGTCAAGCATCATGTGGCGGCGTCAGCTACGCCAACTCGGTCATCCAAGGCATCCAGGCCGTGACGAACCAAGTCAACTCCTTCAACGCGCAATGCCCCAACACGCATCTCGTGCTCGTTGGGTACTCGCAAGGCGGTCAGATCTTCGATGACGCTTACTGTGGCGGAGGCGATCTCAACGAAGGGTTCACCAACACGGCTATCCCGATCTCGGCGGCGGCGCAGAAGAAGATCGCTGCGGCTATCTTCATGGGCGATCCGCGTCATATCCCGGGGTTGAGCTTCAACGTCGGCACATGCCAGGCATCCGGAGTACGTCTAACTCTCGCTGCGAGGCGGCTCGTCTAATGATGTGGCATCTATAGTTCGCACCGCGTCCGGCTGGCTTCCAGTGCCCATTCGCCGCAAACATCCAGTCGTACTGCGATGCGCCGGACCCGTTCTGCTGCAACGGCAACAACCCCGCTGTGCATCAGGGTTACGCAGTCGAGTTCGGCTCCGCCGCGCTCACGTTCGTCAAGAACAAGTTGGCTGCTGCTGGATTGACATGAGCTTTTTGTCAAGCTGAAGGGTCGGGCTGTAAAATCAAATGTACGGATATATATTGAAATGTAGTGCCGTCTTGGCCATGTATTGGGCGATCCGGTATGAAGGCGAGCCGTTCTAGCCGCGCGAGACAAACTGCGCGAAACCACTAAGGATCACCAAGAGCGCTGTACGGGGGACATGGATCGGTCACCCTGGAGCCTCTAAAACGTGCCATTCAGGTGTTTGAACATGGAGGCCGTGAGAACCCATGCAGTGGGTACGTATCGACGGATATCGCCGGACGCTCTTGCTCGTGCTCTACCACCACCACACCTTACAACCGAAACATGAGACCACATCCTGGCCTACATCTGACACTCGACTCCGGCTACGGCTCCCTACTTGAGCGAGGATAATCAGAGACTGTTAGTTGGAAGCGACCAGTCGAGGAAGACGGACTATCATCAGCAATACTCCGGCGCAAGGCCTGAGACAAGGTGCGCGCCACCAGGTCATGCATGCTAGATCATGCCCAGACCTAAAGAAGCGAGATACTCTTGCCAGGCGTTGCGCACGATACACTGCACGATCAACGGACACGCTCCAACCTAGAAACCCGGTTGAAATGCCGGGTACGCTTCGGTAGAACCCGCACAATCACCGTCCGGAAGCTCTACCAAACCAGCTTCTAGCCTTCGTCGCTGCTCACATGCCTGGAGAGCCAGTATGGGTATTCTGCAAACCGCCTTGGCTGCAGCTCTTTGGCATCTCAACATGACTACAACGCTGCGGCCCAGAAGCTATCCGACGCGCACATGCTGCTAGCACCTGTTGCTAACAAGCCGGATGTTGCCTCCTCCTCTGGTCCGGATATTTTTCCGCATCCGAGTTGCATGCGCACTGGGCCTACAAATGAGCAAGTCGCTGCAGCCGATGTCAAACCCACACCGCCTTACACCAACTACTCGCCATGACCATCCGTGCAGCCGGCTTCCTCCTCCTTGGCGCATCGCTCGCCTCGGCTAGCGTCATCGACGCTCGTGCAAGCTGCCCACAAGTGCATGTCTTTGGCGCACGCGAGACTACGGCTCCTGCTGGCTACGGTACTGCTGGTGCAGTTGTCAACTCGATTCTGAGCGCGTACTCTGGCTCCACCGCCGAGGTGATCAACTACCCGGCTTGCGGCGGGCAGGCATCGTGCGGCGGCGTCAGCTACGCCAACTCGGTCATCCAGGGCGTCTCCGCGGTAGCAAGCCAAGTCAACGCCTTCAACACGCAGTGCCCGAGCACACATCTCGTGCTCGTCGGCTACTCTCAAGGCGGCCAGATCATGGACGACGCGTACTGCGGTGGTGGCGACACCAATGAAGGGCTTTCGAACACTGCAATCCCTATCTCCGCTGCCGCACAGAAACAGATTGCTGCGGCCATCTTCATGGGCGACCCGCGCCACATTCCAGGATTAAGCTACAACGTGGGAACATGCCAGGCATCTGGGGTCAGTACTGAACCCTCCAGGGCTGTTGCGCTATCACTGACGTGATTACTACTTCCAGTTCGCTCCTCGCCCCGCCGGCTTCCAATGCCCCTACGCATCAAACATCCAATCGTACTGCGATGCCGCAGATCCGTACTGCTGCAATGGGAACGACGCGACTACTCATCAAGGTTACGCGACCGAGTACGGCTCAGCGGCACTGACGTTCGTCAAGAACAAGCTCAACGCTGTTCTTTGAAAGGTCAATCGTACGGCGCGTGGTTGGTCACCAGTTCTTCATCATCTATCCTGTCTGTACTATGCGACAAGTTGACATATGTCTCATGAAATTGCATTGTATATGTGTGCAATGAATACATCGGTGGTGGATGCGCAAAGGGGCGTTACATGGCGTGGCTCAAATCACTACGTGGGTATGGATATGGATACAAATGTGGGAATAAAATACGAAGAACCAGCGATCTATCAGTCAAAGAACTCAACATCTTCTGCCCCGCGGCCGAAGCCGCGCACGCATTCAAAGACGCGCGGAAGCCGAAGAGTACCAATTTTTCGCCCTACAATCTGAGCGCGGCGAGCAAGAGCACCAGACACGTCCACATCTTCAGGCCGAACTTCGTGCAGTTCGAGGAGCTCTAGCTCTGGGAACAGTATCCCTCGCGAAGAGACCTCGTAGCCATCTCGTTCGCGGCTGTTACGGCGGGATCCGGCGGGGGAGGGAGAGTGAGGAGTCGATAGAGCTACTAGAAGCGATTGCGACGCCGGACCGTGAACGAAGACCTCTTTCATGGACTTGGAAGAACCAAAAGCCATGTTCCATCCGGCAGGTGTCCACGCAGGTCCAGAGCATCCCTTCCCCTTCGCAACCTGACCAAGATCGCGCTCATCGACGCGCATTGTCTCCAATGCGCTGAGATCCATGGCCAGGGTCTTGATGACACTACAACCGGTGCCAGCAACGATGCCTCCTCCTGTCCTACGTGCATCCAGCCAGAGCGCCGGTTTGCGAGCGGTATGGGATGCAGAAGGGACATGGTCGAGGATGCCAACGTCGAGATGCGGTTTGGGAGACGGGGCGGGAGAGGGCGCTGCGGAGGTGCGGGATGAAACGGAAGTCCCTGCGAACGCGGAAGCCAAGGATCCGTACGATGAAACCCTCGAAGACGAGGTGGATGAGGCGGATGACCGTAGGGTTACTGGTCGGGTAGAACGCGACGACATCATCGATCCGGGTGGTGTCTCGCTCCCAGTCGTGCCGGGCATGTCGCGTCGTGCAAAGTTGGTGTGCCAAGCGCCCAGCGCCGCGAGGCCCCTGCCGCTGCTCTCCGTCGAAAGGAGTAACGAGCGTACGGGAGCCGATGACGGGAACTGAGTGTCAAGCAGTACTGGTAACTGTGAACCGGCGGGCCCATGAATGTTCATGGACAGCCGCACATCTGGTGGAAAGCGGAGCGCTAGGGAGATACAGGCGGGTGCGGCGCCGTGTAATGTAACCTTGCATAATGACTCGGGTACGTGGAACAGCACACTCTTGGAGCGCGAGATGTCGGCTTTGAAAGCGTCGTCGATAGAGATGGTCAAGGTTTGTAACCGACGCGCATTCCGCAAAAAGGCGCAAAGCCACGGAGAATCGCCTGTCGCCAGAATCGAGTATGGCGCTCGTACATTCAACCTGGTCAATCCACGGACCATCGAAGCATCAGGAGCAGGGAGTACGTGGCTTAGGCAAAGGGTCGAAAGCCCGAGCGCATCTGCGAAAAGATCGGAGGGAAGCTTCAGGACGGATGCGGTGCCACGATGAGCGCCGTGGATGGAAAGCGTGTGCAGACTGCGGGCATCCGTGCCAAAGATGGAAAGAACCTCGCGCAACTCGCTTATGCCCCGTTGAGACGCGATGTCCGCGGCCAGGGCAAGAGTCTGTACACGTTGTACCGCGTTTGCGTCCTGGACACTTCTGGAGAAGTCGCGCGGCCATTGTGAGAGGACCAACGAAGCGTCGACGTTGATATCGAGCGGGAAGTGGCGCGAACGCTCAGCAAATAACCGTCCAAGAGGTGCGGTCAATGCGGGGAAGGATAGCGATGTCCAGAGTTCGGGATGTCCGAGTGCGACCTACGTCAAATAGAGTCAGAGCAAGTATGGGGAAGTGACAAAAGTGTACTATACCGTTCTCCACTTCCTGCATACATGTGAGCAGGCGACGAGATCCGGTATGGACACGGAAACGGGCTGCTGCTTCCTACAGTACTCCGGGTAGCCACCGGGTGGAGTACATAGCCCCGAGGCAAAGAAGAAGACCCGCGCGAGCAGCTGTAGTGGTAGCATCGTCGCGTGCACGACGACGCGATTGCGCAGCGCCTCCATCTGTGCGAGAGCCCCGCGCATCGCTCGCAGCTCATCGTCAAACAGTTCAGCGACGGCGCTATCAACCTGGGCATCGGGGATCGTCAAGGCGTGTAGAGCTGAGCAACGGGCTTCGACAGCGAGCTGCCAGTGTTCCCTAGGGTGTGAAAACAGTCATTAGCATCGTGTGCATGGCGAAGAGGATAGGGGTAATAGGTGTCAGGCGGTCCAACTATGATATAATATGGAGGCGGGCAGGTTTCACGAAGGCGCTTCGAAGAGGTAATGCGGGTAGACATCGCAGGGTCGGGCAGTGAGCCTGAATCGAAGCACTAACCTAGGGGATGAGAAGGTCGGTTTCGATTGTGAGATCATGGATGCCGACGAATGTCGCGGCGCCATGCTTGGGCGTGAATGTAGCGTAGTAGCGGAGGACATTTCAGAGGAGCGGAATCGTGAGGAGGTAGTACACGGAGATGGCCAGACCATGCTCCATATATACGGGATTTTTTTGAGGGACGAGGCGCGGCCAGCTCCTGCGCGTCGGAGAAGCGGCGTACCAGGGTCGCGTTGATTGGAGCCACGACTTCGATGCGCTCGGCCGGACAAATCTCTTGCTCTCTCATGCCTTCTGCCGAGAGCGCCTGGTTAGGTTTGTTAGCTTATACTATTCCGTAGCGCTCCATAGAAGGAGCGTATTCGGTAGACAAGGCTCACTGTGGCTCCAATATGCCGACACCAAAGAACAGGATGTTGGTCTGCACCAGCCCGACTGAGTTGCAACGTGTACACCTCTTCATGCCACTGCGCGGCGGAGCTCGTCGCATTTCAGATGTATGATATCTGACAGAATAGATACCGCGCGCGCCGCTGTTCTATCGAGCATAGAGGATCGTTGTCGACGAATTCTGGTGGAACCGAGAGAACCTGTCGTCGGCGTCGCCGTGCGAGTTCATGTCGATCGGATTGACGACCCTGCAGATGTTTCACACAGCTGAGGCGGGTGATCACAAAGACACGCGCAGAGCGTTGGCAATGGAAGGGTCGACGACATGAGGATCCGGGCATCGTTGCATCGCTGCGGATGTGTTGGGGTGCTGCCGGGCTTCAACGCTTGAAGGGTCGCCTGGATAAGGGAACGCGGTAATCAACCGGCAATCTTGTACTTCAGGGTTGAAATGCTGGACGCCCACGTATGCCGCGGATTTCAGAGACGATACAGACGGGATGACCGGCGCAGTACACCGAGGATTGTTGGAACATGGATGGGAATGCGTCTTGATGAACTACGAGCATAAGATTTGCGCAAGATGGCCTGTATGCTCTCGGCCCTGCGCCACGAGACAGCGCGGGTCAGCGCGGGTCTTGAAGCTTGAGCCATAGTCTTGTCGTACTCCGCGGCCTCCCGCAGGATAGAACGGCGCATTGGATCGCATGCTTGTGTGAAGAGTAGCCGCCAATACCGCGGCCGAATCGAGAAGTACTTCCTAGCATCCATATAGAAAGAACATTCATACGCTTAGTACCACTGGGCAGGTCATAGCAAATGCGGCCAAGACTTGACGAGAGCTTATCGGGTCCGTGAGCAGTCTGGCTATCGATCCAGTTAGCCAGGCAAGTCACTCGACATTCGTAGCACCTCGCTGAGACACTCACAGGTGAACATACTGACGTAATTGATGATCTGTGAGCTCATGCGCGCCAATAGAAGCTTGAGTAGTACGATAGAGGTCCAGTCGGCTGAGCGAGAAGGGCCGCGAGCTGGCTGTTCAGCCCCATACAGCGAGCTCGCGTACACCATACAGCCACCGTCGTCAGATGGAAGTGGACCTGGCTGATCTAGCTGATCATCCGATAAGGGTCAAGATGAAGTCCCAGGTGAGATGTTCCGGCGCATACGACCCGACAAGTTGGCCAGAGGCTTGCTATGTCCCGCCTCACAAACTTCCCGTCTGGTCGTGAAGTCAGTCTACTAACATCGCGCTCAAACAGCAGAGACATACCGGGCGTAGAGCAGGCTTGAAAGTCCGTATAGTAGTTGGCTCAAGCCAAGACTTAGTGGCCCTGATTCTTCTGGAGAGACTGCCGGCTCGATCCCCACGGCGCCCCTGAAGGCATCGCGTTCGAGGCCAAAAATGGCTCTATAACACCCCAATAGATGAGCCTGAGTATACCCAGGATCGGCACAGGTTGTTCCTCTAAGTTGAGCGCCGGCTTCGGGTCTTCAGCCTGGTGATACTCTAGAGTATGCGCAGAGACGTGACCCTGACTGGGGAAGTTGTGTTTGTTGATTTGTGACCCATACTGATCAACGCGTACCCAACAGGGCAATCGTTGAACATGATGAGCACGAGAGCGAGAGTTCTGTGGGTTCCTGAAACGCGTATGGGTACGGCAGTTGATCGAGAACGCTGGCAGTTGCTGGATCTATCTTCGAGACATCCATGGCGGGGACTCCAGACGCTCAACGGCTCTCGACCTATGATGTCGTATGCCTGCAAGTACGCGTCTCCAAATATAGGACCGATAAGACGCGTTGTGAGCAGCCAGAGTGCCGATCCGATCCCAATGAGTAGTACAAAGTCAACGATTGCCCGGGTCTTGAGCGCGCTCATAGCGCACTTCACGTCTGTATGATGAATTGCTATGACGTGAAGCACGCCACCGGTGTAAAGGCGTCGCTAAAACAGGTAGCGCTGGTCTGCGAAGCGGGAAGATTTCGCGAGTATCGCCCAGGGGGATGAGGCGAACGAGACGGCATGTACTCAGCAGGCAAGCCATAGCCACACCAGGCGTTCCCGAGGTTTGACTCCACATCCTGAAAAGGGAAAGACGCGGCTGATTGAGATAACACCAGCCGTGAGTAGTGCCACAAGGAAGGTCGAGTATCTCAAGCCGTTAACCCCAAGGGTATCTCGAGCATTGCAGGTCCTCGACGTCGTAAAGCGACAACCACCATGGGTGCGTGTATTCGCATGCGTCATGGGAAGCTGGCACCATTCCCGACGCTTCCGGTGACGCCGGATAGAGATGGCTCATTGAAGCGCAGTGAGATACACTGATGCGTATACAGGACGCGGGGAACGGCGGGGTTGAGTTCCGTATTGACCGACGGCGCGCAGGCCGCAAAGGGTCGTCAACGGCCGCCTGGACTGTGACGTTGATCTATCCGCGACGATGACATACATGACGGCGAGATCCTCGGTAGCGAATATGAATGCGCGAGGAGTCTCGGAGGTCAAGTGCCATGACCCAAGGCCTGTCTTGTCTCCCAAGTTCCTCTGGACGCATGAGGTAGAGCCCAACTATCAGTCCGCAGGGTTGGGTGTCCTTAGCGTAGACGCGCTCGTAAGCTGTAGGTATGATCGGTCGAGAGGGGGTCAGACAAAGACGGAATCCAGCTTCCGTCAAGTGTGAAGTACACTCGTCTTCCTGACACGCAGGGAGTATCGAGCAAGATGCTCGCAACGACGTCGCCGAATTGCCAAAAGGGTATTATCCCCGAGTCGATGCATCGGCTATGATCCTGCCCGAGTGTGACGGGTATGAGCTCGTGCTGCGAAGGGAAGACCAACATTCACCAAGAGCGCATCGGGTGTTCTCAGACAGCACGAAGTTGCAGAAGACGAGAAGCCAGCTTTGATGCGCCCATCGAGACGAGGACCCCTGAAAACCCACCCAGATCCTCGATACGATTCCGACCCAAAATGGTCCAAAATCTGGCGGATGGTCGATAAGAGTCCGACCCAAAGGGCAAAATTGGGGCCGCGAGCCGCGATACGAGTTCGACCCATGGGTGTGCCGGAGGCTTGATGCTCGATATTAGTCCGACCCATGGTGTCCGCTGCGATACCGAGAACATGCAGTTCTGTACCCCTCAAGGCGTCGAATCGCTACAGAATATGCTCTCAGTATCTGTAGGAGTGCCAGGAAACCGTGGTACGGACCATACTGGTGAGCGAAGGAAAAAAATACTGGATAAATATTATTTATATTGATTCATGCTCGATAAAAGTCCGACCCAAATGGCACTTTTGGGACCATCCTCGATGAGAATCCGACCCAAAAAGTAACCCTAACCCCAAAAAAGTCCGACCCATCTGGGTCGCCGCGCGTATCGAGGATCTGGGTGGGTTTTCAGGGGTCCTTCGAGACGTGTTGCCCGATGCGCAGAGTTGCGTGGGATCACCGACGACCGACGTCTTGATTGCTACCAGGAAGGCGTGGCCGAGGTCGAAGTCGAAGACCAACAAGTATTTCCTAACATTCGCTCATCGCGATATGTATATGTGAGGGGGGAGTCCAGGACATCCAGGCCAAAGGCATATGGCGTGAGAGATGGTTGGCAGGAAGTGTCCCGACGCTGCGATCCGGACACCATATCCTATAAGCTCTGTATAGCGCGCAGAGGACGCTGCCCATGTGAGTCGACACGGCTTGTCTTCGTCTTTCAGCGATCTTGCTTTGCCCTGCACTGGCTTGAGGTTTCCTAGACGCGTTGCGCGAGTTTGGGGTGCAGGACCTCACGCGTGTAGTATAATCATCTTCGTCTGCATGGCCTCGTACATTCAGGCTTCGGATAACGACTCGGTGGCTTTGCCTGTGCCGACGCGGGTCCAGGACTGTCCAGGAGGCAAAAGCGAAAAGCATGCGCGTCGGGTTCAGGCGGTTCATCCCGTCATCCCGCGACCTCGCCCGACGGTCGGCTTTGGTCGGCATGCTCGCACATTTCATCCGCTGCTGCGTGCGCCGTTCGGCTGGGTCGCGCGGAGTTTGCGAAAACGATTCGATCAACGCGCGATCAACGGCTTGCGTCGGCATGTCACGAGCAGGCTGACAAAGGGCTTATGAAGCCTCACGAGACTGCTCTCCGGAGGATACGATTGGACGAAAGAAAGTGGGATGAGAAAGACGAGCGACGAGACGATGGTGGAGAGAAAAGAACGCGGGGAGGTCAGGTCAGGTGCAGCGCCCGCTTCAGCGTCCCACACCGCCTCTAAATCGCGGTCACAAGGCATAAAGCGCATACAAAGACGCATCGCGTCGAACTGGGCGCGTCAAATACGCGATGTAGACACAGGCAAAGGCTAGGGATGTTGTAAAGCCAAAGCGAGCGTGAAAGCGAGCTGTCAATCGCGTGGGATACGATTGGCCGGCCCGGCTGCCTGGCGCCGGATATGCAGTCCCGACCCCCGCATTCGCAACCGCTCTCAAAGGCTGCGCGTCCCGACTGTATATCGCTTTTCTCCCGACCACCACCATCTTCAGAAACATGCAGTCTGTTGCCGCATCCCTTCGTGCTCCTGTCCGTCGCGTCGCTGTGCGCGCGGCGAACGGTGCTCCCCGCATGGGCGCCCGTCAGGCGTTCCGCCGGTACACTACCGAAGCGCCCAAGCCGAAGAGCAACACTGCGCTCTATGCTGGTATCGGTGGTGCCATTTTGCTTGCTGGCGGCGCCTACGTCTTCTTGTCTCCCGACTCTGCGGATACGACTGCCAAGAAGGGCGCACAGGCCGCAAAGGCTCTTGCCAACTTCACTCCGTCCAAGGCCGACTACCAGAAGGTATGCGAACCTCCTTATCTATGTGAGAAAGAAGCAAGGGATTCTCACGCAAACGACAGGTCTACAACGCGATTGCCGACAAGCTTGAGAAGAACCCGGAATACGACGGTGGGTAACTGATAATTATGTGTATCAGTAGGATGTCGACTGATTGCGACATACAGACGGTTCGTACGGCCCCGTTCTCGTCCGTTTGGCATGGCACGCGTCCGGTACCTTCGATAAGGAGACCGGTACTGGCGGAAGGTGAGGCGTCTTTTGATACCACCTGCTTCCAAGACAAACTCTTATACTGCTTCAGCAACTACGCCACCATGCGCTTCGCGCCTGAGGCTGCACACGGTGCCAACGCCGGCCTGAACCATGCACGCGAGTTCATGGAGGACATCAAGAACCAGTTCCCATGGATCTCGTACGGTGACCTCTGGACACTAGGTGGTGTTGCCGCAATCCAGGAGATGGGTGGCCCGAAGATCAAGTGGCGCCCGGGTCGCATCGACGGAACAGCGGACAACGTGACCCCCGACGGCCGTCTGCCCGACGCGTCGCAGGGCCCGAAGCACCTCCGCGACATCTTCTACCGCATGGGCTTCAACGACCAGGAGATTGTTGCACTCAGTGGTGCGCATGCGCTCGGCCGCTGCCACACTGACCGCTCGGGCTTCGAGGGCCCCTGGACGTTCTCACCTGTGACCGTCTCGAACGCGTACTACCAGCTCTTGCTTGACGAGAAGTGGGTCTGGCGCTCATGGGACGGCCCCAAGCAGCTCCAGGACAAGAAGACGCGTAGCTTGATGATGCTGCCGACCGACTACTGCCTCATCCAGGATAAGGCGTTCAAGCCCTGGGTGAAGGCGTACGCTGCTGACGAGGAGCTCTTCTTCAAGGAGTAAGCCTCTCTCTCCCATGAGTGTTTGTAGTATCTGGACTGACGCGCGACCTCCAGCTTCTCGAACGTCGTCAGCACCCTGTTCGAGCTCGGTGTGCCGCGCGCTCAGTTCGTCGCCTCTGAGGGCTGGACGATGGCCAACCGTGAGGAGGCGGAGAGCAAGTAGATCTATTCCCGTGTCTGTCCGTCTCGTGCTAGAGCATAGACTTCTCGTTAGAGGTCCGTAGTACACTTAGACGACTGGCTTTCTCCTCCAATTGTATTGCTCTTGCTATTGTAATCACTCATTTGAATTGAAATGCTTTCAAACTCAGTCTACAGGATAGTCGATATATATGATGATATCATCATGATGCACTCGTGGTGCACTCGTTCGCGGCAGGTGAGGAATGCTCGCAGCTCGGTGACGGCTCGATCCTCTTATTCGTCATATTACTGTGTTGTATTGGTGCAGTGATAGACTACGTATCGAGCCGGCTATCTGCAACACAACAAACATGTACCCGTTCACATAATTTTCAAAGCCCAGGATCTTGCTATATCCCTTCGACCCTCTCCGCACGTATACATGCGGTAAACTCCACCCTACGCCACGTCTCGCATTGTCCTTTCTGAGTTTCGGAGCACTGTACCGAGAGAAGTTGTCTAACATTGGACGCAGCTCTACGCCGTCAGGTTCTGGCCGCTCCTCTACACCCACGTCAACACATATCGATTTGGCTCGATGGATGTTGTCGGAAGCAAGCTCTCTTGCCTCTGCAGTTATGGAGATTGAGAGGTTCGCGGGGAGTACATCCAGGGACCTTTCATAGCACACGCTCGTCCAAGCGTGCGCGCGTGCATTGCGGGGCCAGCTCGGTGGGAAGAGAATCCAAGCTCGTCGGCGCCGTGGCCGCCGCGGACATATTCGCGCTTTGGGCAGCGCGAGGAAGGTTCAAGCTCGAGAGGAAGAACTGAAGAACGTGTGTAGACTCGTCTAATGCTTCACACACAGTGCGCCTCGTTCAGAGCACGGTAAATGCGGATTGCGATAAGGAGATGATGGTGGTTTGAAAGCAAGCAACGCGGCCTTGGGCCTTGTGAGTCGTCGCTTGACGCTCGGCGTTGTTGGTCACTATCTTGCGACCGATAGTCATCCGACGGCCGCCACCCTTCTATATTAGTAGTGTTGTTGTGACGCGGCATACCGGCGACGGTTTGAGGTGGATGTAGGCCGGCGTTCTGCGTCGATCCTGGGAGGTCGAACGAAAAGACTTGATCGGCGAAGTTGACAAAAGGTCACCAGATGTTGCTATATGGGAAGGGAAGGGCGGCAAGTTCGGTTTATATACGGGTAGGTTCTGTCAGCGTAGCTAATCAAGATTGCGTGCCGATAGAGGCCTGTCAGCTTGTTGCATGCCCCTCCAACGCGCGCCTACACACGTCAACTCCGAGATGAAGACATGAGGCTGATCTGCGGTCACTCTGTGGGCGCTCAAGCGCTCAAGCGCTCACTTGCCAACTCTCGCGTCACTGTTCGCATAGACTTGCAGAATACGTTTGTGCTCGAACCAGCTAACTCCGGGACCACGCGGTGGTTGGTGTGTAAGTGCGACGGCTTGGTAAGACGCGGGCCCCCGGGCGTGGCAAGCCGAAATGCTATCAGGGCCATAGATTGAAATCGTGAAAAGCAAACGTGAACATGTTTGACTTCCACCGCACACTCTCTTGCTTCTCCCGTTCTCTTGCAGAGCTTCCTGTCAAACTGCCGCCGGCGCGCACCCCTTGTACACACCAACGCTGAAGGGATAGGTCTTAGATGGGACTGCTATCGCTCGGCACACCGCTGCACTGGGAGGAGGCGCGCAAGCACGCAGACCATGTCCGCGAACATGGCATAACACAGTTCTTGAATACCTGGAGAAGGTTGAAGGATCGGAGTGGCGACGAGCTACTTTGGGGCGACGAGATCGAGTACATGATTGTCCAGCTCGATGAATCTCAGCGCAACGCCGTACTTTCGCTCAGCCAGACCGACGTACTCGCCAAGCTGAGTAGCGCCACGGCCCGCATCGACTCGGAAACAGGCGCGGAGGTCATTCCGCCCACATTCCACCCGGAGTATGGGCGGTACATGCTGGAGAGCACGCCTGGTGCGCCCTATACTGGCCATGTCCCGGACCTCCTGGCCGTCGAACCCAGCATGCGTACTCGCCGCCGGATCGCGCGCGAAGAGCTCCAGGACAATCAGCGCCCGCTGACGATCACGAGCTTTCCTCGTCTGGGCGTCGGCGCGTTCACGGACCCGCCGTGCGACCCGGCGAAGGCGCTGAGCAGCCACAGCCTGTTCCTTCCTGAGGAGATCACCAACCCGCATGCGAGATTCCCGTGCGTGTCCTATCCCTTTCTCGTCGCGATTTTTGCCTTGCTCGTCTCTCATCGATGCTTCTGTACCGTGTGTTGCCCATGTCGTGCTCGGAACATGCCATGGCGTGCCAGTAGACTATCGGGACGTCATGCTGGACGTCGACTCGATTCACCTTTTTCGATCTACGCGGGGAGCGCGTACGGCAGGCGGCCCGACGCAAGCCCGCCCTGAAACGCGGGGTCGTGACTTCGCCATCGCCACACGCGACCATTTCCGTGCCTTTCGGTTGCTCGACCTGTTTGCGCTTGACACGAGATGCTGAAGTTCATTCCTAGCACGCTCACTGCGAATATCCGGAGACGACGCGGCTCAAAGGTCGCGATCAACCTGCCGCTCTTCTTCGATGAGAACACTCCCCGGCCACATATTGACCCGACAATACCCTGGGATAGGAATGTCTTTAAAGAGGATCCAGGTATGTTGCACTTCCTTGAACACGTTCCAGAGTCTGACAAGTCTCAGAGGCGAAAAACGGGGCTGCGAAACATGATCATGTCTACATGGACGCAATGGGCTTCGGCATGGGGTGTTGCTGCCTGCAGCTTACCTTCCAAGCCTGTAATGTCGCGGATTCGCGAAGGTTGTACGACGCGTTTGTGCCTGTGGCACCGATTATGGTGCGTTCACGAGATCCGCAAGATCTGAATGACATGACTGACCACGATTCCAGTTGGCGTTGACTGCTGCAAGCCCGTTATATCGCGGTCTTGTCGCAGACGTAGACTGCAGGTGGGACGTCATCTCAGGATCCGTCGATGACAGGACTCCCGAAGAGCGAGGGCTTAAGGTGCGTCTCTACATACATACTATACTGCGCAGCACCACTAATCCAATACCTTCAGCCGCTCAAGAACTCGCGCTTCGTGATCCCCAAGTCACGCTACGGCTCAGTCTCTCTGTACATCTCGGAAGAGTGGATGAACCGGCCAGAGTACAACGACACTGCTGCGCCAATAGACGAGGCGATCTTTGAGAGACTGAAGAAGAATGGTGCGTATGCGTTCGTGCTGCGCCGCACGAGAACTGAAGTGGCCCTCAGGCATCGACGCGCCGCTTTCGAGGCATATTGCTCACCTCTTTATCCGGGATCCCATCGTTATCTTCTCCGAGCTCATCGATCAAGACGACGAAGTCAGCATGGACCACTTCGAGGTACGCCCCCCTTCCTCACACCATACATCCCTGCTCACACATGCCGCAGAACATCCAAAGCACGAACTGGCAAACAGTCCGCTTCAAACCTCCTCCCGCCAACACCCCCATCGGCTGGCGCGTCGAATTCCGCTCCATGGAAGTCCAACTCACAGACTTCGAAAACGCCGCCTTCGCCGTCTTCATCGTCCTCCTCTCGCGCGCGATCCTCAGCATGAACCTCAACTTCTACATCCCCATATCCAAAGTGGACGAGAACATGGCGCGCGCGCAGAAGCGCGACGCCGTGAAGGAGCAGAAGTTCTTCTTCAGGAAGGACGTGTTCCCGCCGGTGGGGAGCGCGGCGCCGAGCCCGCTTAGGCCGAATGTGCCGCTGCATCCGTCGCCGTTGGGTGATGTTGGTGCTGCGCTGCGCCCGATCGTCACTGCCACGACGAACGGCGTGAACGGAAGATCGCCTGCTTCGCCGACGGCTAGGACGCCGATATCACCTATCAGTAGTAGCGGCGCGAGCACTCCGGGAACGAAGAGCAGGAGGATGAATAACTGCTACACGCCGCCTGCGCCGCCTGAGGAGGGTCTTCCAAGCGGATCCGTGACGGAGGAGTATGCAGAGTTCACGATGAACGAGATCATGAACGGCGCTGTATGTCCCATGTCATCTTCGTGCTGATGCAGACCTAATGCCCTGAATAGGGCGACTTCCCGGGCCTCATCGGCCTCACAGAAGCCTACCTCGACACGCTCGAAACAACGCTCGAAGAGCGGCACAAGATTGACAGCTACCTCTCCCTCATCCGTCGTCGCGCCTCGGGCGAGCTACAAACGACCGCCTCGTGGATCCGCAACTTTGTGCGCTCTCATCCGGCTTACAAGAAGGATAGCGTTGTGAGCCAGGAGATCAATTATGATTTGATGGTTGCGGTGGATGAGATTGAGAGGGGCGTGAGGAGGGAGGGGAGCTTGTTGCCGGGGGATTACACGGGTGGGGAGGCGGATGGTGGGAAGCTGTGAGCGCCAAGGAGAGGAATGGGAGGAAAGGGGCAGTCTAAGTATCGAGGACGCTATATCGTCGCATATCATTAAACATTTGTATCATGGGTTACACGGGCGTAGGTATAAGTATGAGTACAGTATTATCTGTAGCTCTCTCATAGAATGTACATTCAACCGCGAACGGTAGAGTATCTCCGAGAAAACGCCTTTGCGCTCTCGTGCTTCAGCGAGCGTCTTGCAGATGTGACGCGTACTAGGCAGAAGCCATGAGAGTACACGCCGGTAGTAATCTCTCATGAGCTAGCCGTTGCTACCGTTCGTGGTCCACTTCAGTAGGATCTTCAACGCCAACAGAACATGTCGTAGAGCGCGAGTCCATGCTTCTTCCTGACTGAACTGAAGCTTGATACTGAAGTCGCCTATCCGATCCTTCGCGATGCTAGCCCTCATGATCAGTACATCGGCTTCCAATCATCTGAGGTAAAGACGGCGTACGCATGCGGGAACTCGATTGTCGAGTCTTGGCCTTTGGCCCAGTCGGTAATCTGCCTGAGACATTCGAGGAAGGCGACCATTGCGAAGTCGAAGCGTCGATTGTGCAACAAGCGACCTGACAAGCCGTAGTGTATCAGTATCACTCATACTGCTCAGACAAACCGGCGCTTACCCAGATGAAGGTCGCCTGATCCGTACAACTCATACGTCGCCTTGTCGCCCGTGGTGCGCTCGATCCTGCTATGGCTTCCCATAGGCACGAGTCGGTACCTGATGCATTATCAGCACGGGCATCAAAGGGCATGAGACTGGTGGGCTTACTGTTCGAACGTGAAGTCCAACTTCCTCGCCACAGTATACAGCAACAGCAACGTCTGTCCCCACGCAGCATTCACCTCCGCCCACTCCACCGGTACGCCCGGAACCCGTCCCAACCTCAACCCATTGATCGTCCCAAACGGCCCATCGTGCCCGATACAGAACGCATCATTGTACACATTTGTCCGTTCCAACCTCTCCAGCGTCTGCGCGTCCGCAGCATACGCAGCTCTCAAAGCCGCGAGTTGCGCCTGCTGTGCAGATGCCGCGCGTGTCTGAGCGTTGTAGGCTCGCCAGAACTCCTCTTCTTCGAGCTCGAGCGCCGCTTCGTCCGCCTCGAGTGCGCGCAATTCTTCTGCGAGACGTATACGCTCGAGCTCGGCACGCCGTACAGCTTCTACCGCCTGTCTCTCTTCCTCTTCCAGCTCCCTTATCCTTCTCTCTGCCTCTTCCTTGCTCATCCCACCGTCCTTTTCCCGCTCCCTCTCTCTCCGAACTTCGCGCTCGAAGGCCGCGTATCCATCACGTTCCTTCTTCGTCTCGTCCAGTTGACGCGAGAGGTGTGATAGCAAGGTTGATGTACATTCTCCGCATAATGGATGTTCAGCGTCTGTCCGAGCGCTTAGAACCCCCAATAACCGTTGTGTGCTGCGTAGGTGGTGCGACAAGCTCTGAGGCTCATGAGGTGGTTCGGGTGGCGGTGCTTGAGCTTGGCTTCCTGCGCGCTGGTTTCGCCTTGATGGTGACGTCGGGGGCGTAGATGTAGATGGTGAATTAAACGCCGACGACGGAGTTGCCGGCGGCATTCCCCGTAACACACTGTCCTGCAACAGTACGAAGCTCTCTTGTGGTAATCCTAGCGCCCGTGGCGAGATAGTACGGCGTGCAGGTTGCTCATGTGACGCTCGTGCATACGCTGCACGTATCTCAGGAGGAGCAGAGAGTGCATCGAGAGAACCCCGCGGTGGTAGAGGCGCTGGCGGCGGAAGTGAATGTAGGAGCATGTCATACGCGCTCGGGGCGAGATCCACGAGAGACGCATCGAGCTGGATAATATTCAGATCATGATACAATATTATTTTGGGCGAAGATGTACTTGAAGAGGCTGTTTACATTGTTGACACACGAAGGACATGGTAGTGAGAGGCAAGTGTGACCGTTGTGGCGTGTGATGGCGCGCGCTCGCTTTGATCGACTGCTGTTTGTCCCAGACGTTCATGGTCGATGTACCTTGCGCTCAGGGAGATATCATCAATCCCGTCATACCTTTGTAGACTTTTGAGGTAAGTACTGGTTTGCTCATGATCGTATGTGTATATGAGCTCATAGAACTTAGCAATGCCTGAACAGAACCCACTCACGGCTAGTATCGAGCCATCCGTCAGGGATGCCGAAGACGTCCGCGCACGTAGGCGACACAACGCTTCTATCTTGATCAATACTATACCTGTTGAGATTCTTGCCATCATCTTCCGCTTCCTCGTTGTCTTTGCACCCCCTGGCCAGCGCGCTCCTGGCGATCTGGGCTGGATCACGAGAGCGACGCATGTATGCTCTCACTGGAGGGAAGTAGCCCTTGCAACACCAAGACTCTGGTCAACCCCTTCTTTCGTATTATCACAGAAGTGGGCACATGAGATGCTCGCCCGGGCAAAGAACGCGCATCTCTCCCTTAGGCTCGGCGGCCATTTCGTCTGGCACTCGAGTTGGCAGGTGCAGTTTGCTGTGAACATCATCCGAACTCGGATGGACACAATCCACCATATATCACTATTTCTTGAGCGAGGTCTTTTGCACACGATCGACTTTTTCCTCCACCGGCCGGCGCCTCAACTTCAGGAATTTGTCGTGGACGTATCGACACCTCATATTGGTTCGATCGAACGCAATCCAGTCATGCTTTCCGCCGCATTATTTGCCAGTTCGGCCCCACGCCTACGCCAGATCATGTTGAAATCCGCATTCCTTCCGTGGGATTCACCCCCATTCCGCGATCTCGAGCGGCTCTCTGTCGAGTTTGATCAATCTACCTTCCTCGGCGGCGACGATGAGACAATTTTAGAACGACTCGAAGAAGCGCATCCGGCTTCTATTTCCAATACCCAACTCAAGAAGGCATCAGCTCTTGCGCAAGTCATCTCGAGGGATGTCTTTCAGGGCGGTTCCCCCGTGCTCTCTCACACAGCATCTGCCGTCTACTCTACTATCGAAGAGAGTGACGATGATGACACAAAATCGGTCATCGCGACCCCATCCTTCACAGAAATACTCGGCATCTTGCGAAATTCACCATTTCTACGCACTTTGGCATTGATCAGGTCCATGCCCTCGCGTACAACAATGCCGGAGGAGCAGCACGGCGCTCCCATAGAACTTCTCGAGCTGGAGGAGATATCCCTCGAGGGACACGTGCTCGACTGCGAAGCTATGCTCAACACTATCATGACTCCGTCGCTGCAGTCGCTAGCTATCTCATGCCATTGGTCCTGCGACGATGCCAGGATCTGCTGGCCGATCATCTCCCGCATCCAGCGCTTCCTCGATCAGCCCAACATCAGGGTAGCACAGAACCCAGTCTCGCATCTGGTTCTCTCAATGATCGGAGAAGGATACGGCGTCGGCGTCAGTGTTCTGCTTCAATTTCCAGAGGACAGACTACAGCATGTGCTTGATATCGAGCTGTGGCGACGTTCGCACCAAGTTTATTGGGACCGCACCATCCTTATCTCGCATATATTTTCAACGCTTCCGCTGTATACCGCGACCGTCATGAGCCTAGATTCCAACAATGACAACGACGACGGTCTCGCATTCCCAGACTGGCTTGCCTTCGCGCCGTACTTGCCGCACATGAAAATCATCCGCATACCGCATTCATGTCTGGAAAGAGCATGGAGGGTTCTACATACGCCCGAACTTTTTCCTACTCTGTGCGCGATCGTGTTGTGCTTCCCGATGGGCAGCGTTGTACCTGACGATATCGAAGAAGATGACAAGGAGAACTTCAGACGTATGCAGCGCGTACGCTATGACGCCGGCTGTCCACCGCTAGCGATCGTCTTCAAGTCAGGCGACCCGATCCCAGGGATATAACATTCACGATTGTCCATAGTACCCAAGTGTCCGAATCGTGTCTATATCATAATGATCATAATGAACGCGCTTGCGATTGTGAGCATCGCCGATGGATCGAACATCCGTCCTTGAACAGCCCCGCTCGTCGATTGAACGCCAGTCGGTAAGGGTCCTGCAGCACTTGAGCTCAGCCCAGAAGACGCCGTCACTACAGTAGCGTTCGGCTGCGCGAAAACGCGAACGGAAGCGACTTCGAAGTACGCATCCGCGTACTTGCTCGAGTCTAGGACGTAGTCTGAGTAGCATGTCCCAGGGCATGTCCTGTTGAAGATGGCCGGATTGCCCGCTAGAGATGATTGCATCATCAGTACGATCAATTCATGAGCATACATGCGCGCAAGGCGTACCGAGGGATGCTAAAGGAAGACAACGTTAGTCAAGGCCGTCTCATGAAACCGGATAGAAATGACGTACGTCCGCACAGAGTGATGTCGAAGACCAGGCTCTGCGGCTTGAACAGCGAGTCGACGGCACAGCTAGATGCCGGGTAGACAATTGTCGGCGTCCCCAGCGCTGATGTATCTACAGACCCGTTGCTGTTAGATATGGCGCCAGGTACATCCGGCCGCTATCAGGTATGTTAGTGCACGGTGTAACGGAGGGTTTGAAGGCTCACTCACCGAGAAGAACCAGATGTTGATTCCGTTTGAGGCGAGCTCCGTCACAAACACACCGCCACCCGCCTGCGAGAATGCAGACCCGTACGAGCGTGGGTCAGCGTTTGTTACCGTGCAGCCGGGTCCGCCTGTGGAACTGTCACAGTTGGTCGAGTTGGCCAGAGGAGAGTTCGCGATGCTGCATCCCTATGCAGCGCCAGATTCGATCAGCACAGCATTCGAGGGACATGGATTGTACGCACGGGTTCCGTGTGCAAGGTGAATTGACTGCTCTTCTCTCTGGGAACTTCGTGCTCAACAGATGATCAAGATCAAGGAGGGAAGTGTGGCGCACAAGTTGAACGCCTCGAACGTGTCTATCTCTCCGCCAGCAGGCCATACCGCAGGTGCCAGCTCTGCCGATGTAGCCGTAGACCAGAAGGCACCCCACACCGAGCACTGTAAGGCATGTTTAGCAGTGTGCGTGTTGGGAGCGAAACGCCAGACGTACACCAAATGGAACATGAAGGAAGTCAGCAACCCAGACGCTACCAACACCATAGAGGTCATTTGAGTTGATACGTATGGAGTTTCGGGGGGTGCCCGGTGCCACTTTCGTTGAGTTGTCTACGCGTAGGATCGTGTGATTCGTTGTGGCGTCGACATAAGCCAGCTTTTTAGTGGCCGCAGTGGTGGCATCGACGAAGCTTGGGTACGTGTGTCAGAAGATCCAGTCGCAGGAGGTCAGAGTACCGACTCACGTTGCGTTCCCCCAGGTCAGATTGTCGATGCCTCCATAGAACGTCCAGTCATCGAGAAAGCCCTGCCCAGCGTACTCTTTGACCAAGTTGTACTGTGCCGATACTAGAGATACTGTGCCGAGCCAACCACAAATGAGAAGAGCGAAGGACTTCATGAATGGAGGAGGGTCAAACCAAGAGAGTGACAAACGAGAGCCCGAGGAGACCTTATAGGTCCCCCAGTCAGCGTTCACTAAGCGCTCGAAGGAGGCATGGTGCGGCCGCTGCGGCTGAGAACATCGAGAGAAGGTGTTATGATACACGGCAAAACGTACGGTCTGCCGCGATCTGCCCTTGTTGACATTCAGCGCGTCAACAAACGTCCCAGGATGGACACGCGGCTAAGCGCCTATCGTCGAGTTGCTTGAATGGTTCTCGTGTTAGCGCCCACAGAGGCTTCTCATCCGCTGAAACGTCACTTCGCAGGCCGGGCTCATCATGCCGCAGAGAAGGTTGGTACAGTGGGATAGCAGAGGTATGTCCGCAGTCCCCGGATGAGAGTATCGGGGAGGAAAGCGAGTGCGAGTTGGACAGACACGCAAAGCTGTAACAGTTCGGAGGCGGAGGTAGCGGTCCGGGTGCCTGCTGTGCCTTTGAACGTCCCCGAGAATGACAGCTTCTTCCCTTCGGGTCCTGTCGCTGCCCGCACCAGGCCATCGAACGTCGCGTCAGGGCGATTTCAGAACTCGGACAGGTAGACACTGGGCGGCCAGACGTAACAAGTACCATTGCTGGATTCAGCAGTGCCCATCATGCACAATGCGCTCACACTGCATCGATCCAAGGATAGATAGAGGATAGCAAGGTGATGATACGAGAAGACTGATAAGGGCAAGGACTGGGTATTTCTCTTCACACCTCTGCCTCTAGCACTCTTGCATTGGATGATGCAAGGTCGCGCTCACGCCGCGCCTGGCGGCCTTTCAGGAAAAAGACGAAGAATGATGACGCGCAAGTCCACACGCCAACGAAAATGAACGCGCTGTGCATGTTTAGCGGCGGATCGGCATTCGCCGGAGCGCGCAGTGCGTCTTGAGCTGGGCGCATCATCAGAGACTCGACAGTAAGAACCGAAAATGATGAATATGCGCGAGAAATACCTTCTATGAAGATGACGCACATGAGGTTGCCGAAGAACCAGAGCGTAGCCGATGAGCCATCGGTGTTCCTTGTGAGCTCTGCTGCAAGTTCGATGGCTGAAACTACGTGAGCGGACGAGAAGACGATGCACAAGTACTCTCACGCACCAATAGGGAGCAGCGAGATCGAGCACGCGCCAATGATGGCACAAAGAGCGAACAGTGGGCCCGGACTATTCCTCCTAACTGCAGAGCCCGGTCAGTGCGTTCGCGTCCTGGGGAGTTGCATAATGACTACTTGCCTGCCCATATGAAGCCCAGCCATGCAGCGCCGATGATCGGGCATAAGACACGTATCGTGAGCCCGATGTGGGAGGTCAGGACTCGATCCACGAGTGGGGCTGTAACGAGCGCCGCTACGATTCCCGATATCAATAGCGTAGCGCCCATCAGTCCTGATGTGTCGTCTGAATAGCCGTATGGGCCCTATCAAGCCTCAGTATATGCGCTCACATGGCTTGTAGATAGAGTAACTGACCAGCCAGGCGGACGATAGTACGCCAAATACGTTGATGCTAAGGAAGTGCCGATCTCAGCACATAGCACCACATAGCGGACCGCATCAGGTACTCACGCTGCAAACATCGAAGCGAAGACCCATACCAAGATCGCGAAGTCAAGCCGTTCGCGCACACTCATGCGCGCACTTTCCTGTGTATCACGCCCGAACACAGCCTGGAACAGTGTGTACAGGCCTGGCGAGTCTTGAGAGCCAGCGAATGCTGTGGACGATAAGCGCGAGGACCGATATTGGAGGATTGCACTGCGTACTGGGAGGCGTAGGAGGCTTGTCTTGTATGAAGAGGGCGGAGACAGCAGCGCCAGTGGAGATGATACCGAGGACTAAGATCTGTACATCGTGAGCGGCCAATCATTGTTACCACGAGAGTGATCCTACACCCGTGCGCGTATCATCGAATGTCGGCGATATGAGCTGTCCGATCGCTCCGCCTATGGGGTTCGCTGTACAATGAAAGTCAGTGAACGGTACGAGGAAAATGAGAAGACTCGTACCAATAGAGATGATCATCGTAGCAGTTGTGCGCGTCTTGAGATCGAACCAAAGTTCCGAGTATTTGGGCGCGAGAATCTGGAAGACGGGCTGGGACAGTCCTGCGAAGAACTAAAGGTATACAATTTAGCTAGCGGATTCCGTCCCATCTGCGACGGGCCTACGCACCTGTCCTAGGATGATGAGTGCATACGATCCTCCGGTTGACAAGGAGCGCGCCGTGCCGGCGTAACGGACCCAAGCGGAGAGTATCATGAAGCCGGCACCGATATACGTCTACTCGCAGTTAGCGCATGCCGATCAAGCAATATCGATCATCGCACCGTCTTGCGCACACCAAGGTATCGTACGTAGAGGGGTATCTGGAAGGCAATGAGGAGGTATGCGCAGGCAATCATGGTGCCGAGCCAGTTGACTTGGGTCGCGGTAAAGCCCATGTCGGCCTGAGCTACGAGACTAGTGTGAGATAGTATGCGCGCCCAGCGCAAGTTTCACGTACCTTGCGTGGCAATGAGACCAAACCAAACCCATGGCATCGAAGCCACGGCTTCAAGTATAAACTGTGAGCGTGACAGTCAGCAAGTGCACAAGCCACTGGCAGGAATGATACGCACTAAAGCTGCAACTCCGGTCCAGCGACGCTTGTATAGCTTGTAGCTGTCGCCACTCGTCGAGACGCCTTCGGACAGAGATAGCTGTTCTACAGTAGGCTTGCCTTTGTCCTTGTCACTTGACCCGGCAATCGTCGACGTATTCTGTGAGGGGTGGTCGTCATTGGAGTGCATAGACAAAGAAGAAAGTGTGGTGTAGTGGGCGGTAGAAGATGTCATGCCAAAGAGCAGCAGTGCGTACACTTCACTTATATCAGTGACGAATATATAGAAGGACCCACTCGCCGAACGGTGGACCTGTGCTATGAAGGGCTTAGTAGCTCGCCAATCACTTCTTCGTATGCAGGTGAGAGCGCATGGAGCAATACAGCAAGCGCACATCTCTGTGGCACGCAGTAAACAGCACTCGGGAGTCGGCAACTATCATTAAGCGGTTGCGCACGACGGCCATCGAACGCTTCGCGAGGCCGCGAAGCAGACTTCCAAGCCAACATGGGCAGTGCATCAATGGGCGCCTAACGGATCGCGCAGCGCACCAGTCGCAAAGCCGCATCACCTCGTCACCAGCGCTTGTCAGCTATCATCGGCGTTCCGATATGAAGTCCCGGTGGACCATCCACATTTCACGAATCCATCGAGACGATTGCAAGGTAGAGAATGACATGTCAAGACGTTCTGTCGGTCAACGAGTCTTAGCAAACTCCGAAGCGATCAGAAGGCGCGGAGGTATATCCCCACCTAAGGCATGAATAACTATAAAGGCGTAAAGGAAAGAAGAAGTCCGTTTTGGGAAGGGTCCATTATACAACCGTGGTCATATCCTCTCTGGACGCCGCCGCTGCTTCCGCCCTTGCCATCGCGACATCGCGCTCGCGACGCGCTTGCCTACCGTTGAGGAAGTAGACGAGGAATGACGAAGTGAAGGCCCAAACACCGCTGAAGATGATGCCTTGGTGCAAGTTCGATGGCGGGTTGGCGGTCTCGGGAGCAACCAGAGCGCCCTCGGCTATAAGCATGTCAGTAAGCGAGGGAGAATGGGAACGCATGAAGAGCAGGACGTACACTGGATGAAGATGATACTCAACAAGTTCGCCGAGAACCGCAGAATAGCGGACGAGCCGGCAGAGTTGCGGGTAAGCTCGACACCGAGCTCAACCGCTATGGGTAACAACGAGATCGAGCATGCACCGATGGTGGCAAAGATAGCAAACAACGCGGGCGCGTCGTTCTCTCGTACTGTACGGCCATGAGCCATGAGACCACGAAGAATAGTCCTTAGACACGTACCGGCCCAGATAAGGCTTAACCATGCCAACCCAATGATCGGGCAGAGAATGCGAATGGCGAGCGCGATATGGTTCGTCAAGACACGGTCGAGAATCGGAGCGGTGCAGAGCGCGGCGACGATACCGGAAATGAGCAGAACGGCTCCGAAGAGACCAGACTGGCTGCTCGTGTACCCGTACGGATGCTACGCGATGTCAGCTTTTGTTCTGCCGCTATGAAGAGGTACAGACGACTCACGAGCCAGTGTCCCGAGTTGCGGCTGAACCCATCGATGCTGCATGAGGATGTTGAGCATCGGAGGCAGAATGGGCAGTAGAACGTCGACTTACGCGGCCGACAAGGTCGAGAAGATCCACACCAAGATAGCAAAGTCGAGACGCTCGCGCCACGTCATGAGCGCATCCTGCTTGACCTCCTTGCCAGCGATAGCCTTCAAGAGAACGCGAAGACCGGGAGTTTTCTTGCTTCCTGCGTACGCTGCAATCCCCCATCAGCATCAAAAGCGATACCGTCCGAGACATGAATACGTACTGGGCGGAGTAGGCGGCTTATCGAGGATGAAGATAGCAAGAGGAGCAGCAGCGGTGCTGATGATGCTCAAGACCAAGATCTAGAGTTCATCAACACCTATTCATGAGACGAGAGCGCGAGAGGAGCACGTACACCTTGCCTGATATCGGTAAACCTCGGCACGATAAGATGTCCAATAGCTCCACCGATTGGGTTAGCGAGCGCAATGATCATAGTAGCCGTCGTGCGCGTTTTAACGTCGAACCACAACTCAGAGTACTTGGGCGAGATGACTTGGAAGAAAGGCTGCGAGAAGCCACCGAGGAACTGTATGACCAGCATCGTGTCAGCCTGTGCACTCGCAGTATACGATGGTAATACAAGGACGAACCTGGCCAATGATGACGAGCGTATACGCGCCGCCAGGACTCAACGAGCGCGCAGTGCCCGCGAACCGAATCCAAACGGAAATCAAGAACAAGACGGTACCTATGCAAGCCTGTCTCACCCAGTTAGCATCCTGTCCACAACGACGCAACGGAAGGCTTACGGTGTAACGCATGCCTAGCCGCCTCGAGCAAATAGGAATCAAGAAAGCCACGACCAAGTACGCGCAATTCGGGATATTGCCGAGCCAGTTGACCTGTGTATCGGTAAAGCCGAGCTGGTCGGAGACTGTACATCGAAAGCCATATTAGTGAGATCGGAGATGCCACCGGTAATGAACAAGATCGCGTACCATCGTCGGCAATAGGCCCGAACCAACCCAATCCCATCGACACGACAGCATCCAACGCGAACTACATGCACACCACCGTAAGCTCGTATGCACATACAGAGCCAAAAGAGAACGTACGAGTGCAGCGATACCCGCCCAACGGCGCTTGTAAAGCCTATATCCGCCGGGCGGAGGAGGCGGAATATCTTCAGGCAACGGCAGACTGTTCTCGGATACCAAAAGCTGCTCGACGCTCGGCTTCGCGACATGTTGATAGTGCTTGATGATCGCCTTGTCCGATGCAAACTCAACCTGACTCTCCAGCGCGGAGCTCTTCGCGCCATTAGAGTAGATAGCGCTGTCGTCGGCCGTCATGGTGATGGTTGGGACTGTTGATGAACTTGGTGGAGACATGGCACCTGTAGTAAATAGGAAAAGTGATGAAGCAAACTTGAGAAGAGAGAAGGGAAGGAGGAAGAGAAGTACAGAACGCCACTGCCATATCGCGCACATAGTTATAACCACCTGCACCGGGCGCGCGAGGCCGTCACGCTCCACCGAACGTCTTGTGAGCACTCAGTATGAGCGGCCCCGCATACGATATCGCTTTAGATGCGCAGTCGCACCGTAAGAGCATGCGATGCAACAGTATATGTCGCCAAGGGTAGCTGCCTCCGTCGGAAGTGGTAAGATCGCGAGATCAACGTCGCCACCCGCCACCAGAGTGAAATCGCCGCCATATCTAGGCAAGCGGTGCGCGCTCCTGATTGGTTAGTACGGCGCGCACCGCCATCACCGTCAACCGCAGTCAACCTATCTCAGATTCTCAGCGAGCGACGCGCCCAAAATCAACGTACGCCCAGTTTGTGTCGTGCCGTCGGAACGCGGAAGGCTGCATCGGGGGATCGGGTCGTGACTTCCACCTGCCATCAAAACTTGTCCGACGGATCCAGAGCCAAGGTCAAGAAGCACAGAGATAGACGTGCGTAGTACAACGGGGTTCGAGTGGTATAACATGCAAAGGGAGAACACTTCTGCAATAAGACGTTCCGTTAATGATTAGCGTCATGGGTCCCTAAACGCGCAGAAGACGTGCTTACCAGAGCGATACAGAAAGTACAACAGATCCGACGGAACACGGCCGCTTCCTACACACCTATGGCTCCTACACCTCAGTTCAACGCCTATACAATCCTGAGGGCGTTCAAACCCTCTCCTCCTCTGAGAGCTGCTCTGCGCCCTGCATCGCGACGTCGCGCTCTCTCCGTACTTGTCGTCCGTGAAGGAAGAACACGAAGAATGAGGAGGCGAAACACCACGCCCCATTAAAGATGATTGACTTGTGCATGTTCAGCGGTGGCGAAGCTGATGAGGGTGCGCGCAGGGCTCCTTGAGCTGTAGAACAACGTCAGCGCGCTGCTCGTTCTATGCAATGACAGAGCATGAATGTGAGAGTGCTAAAAAAGAAGCTGCCTCTGGCAACAAGGCTTTATGCATTCGCGAAGCGCGCATTACCCCCACCAGTGCCTCTTCCCTGATACATGTGGCAAAGATCCATCGACAACGATCCTGGCTGACGAGGAACCCGCGTGCAGAAACACCGGGCCAGGACTCGAAAAAGTCGTACAGGGCTCGCCTCGGCTATGAAGCTCGCCTCCGCAACCATCCTGGATGGCGCGAAAGCGCTACCGCTAGATGCGGTAGGTGCTACTCGCATCCAGCGGGCAGCATCGCGCAGGTCATGCCCGCCGGCCCGTCACCCACCCCGTGAGAAGGTCGACCCGCCCCGATCCGTGATCCGCGAGGGGACGACGCGCGCGAGAGCAGCGTACGCCACGAGCGCCAACGCTCAAACAGGAGGCAGGGAGGCTACGTACCCAGAATAAACACGATACACATCAGGTTGCCGAAGAACCAGAGCGTAGCACTCGACCCGTCCGCATTCCGCGTGAGCTCCGCGCCCAGCTCGACCGCTACAACACCCGCATCAGCTCACTCCCACAGAAGGAGTAGATGAAAAAGAGGGAGACGCACCGATAGGCAACAGCGCGACAGAGCACGCGCCGATGATCGCAAACAGCGCATACAGCGCCGCATCGTCGTTCCTTTTCACTGTACACGACATCAACGCTCTCCTCTCTCCCTCGCAGATCTGTTTGATGCAACGTACCAGCCCAGATAAGACCCAGCCAACCCGCGCCAATAGTCGGACACAGCACGCGTATAACGAGCGCGATATGGCTCGTAAACACCCTGTCGAAAAGTGGTGCGGTTGTGAGGGCCGCTACGATCCCGGCTAGGAGAAGCGCGGCGCCCATGAACCCTGATGTGTCGGAGGAGTATCCGTAGGGGCTCTATATGCGCAAACCATCAGTTCCATGCTTGACATGGAGGGAGGAGGGATGGAAGGGGCGTACAAGCCAGTCAGACGACAAAACTGAAAACGTGTTTATCCTATCCACATCCACATCATGAGCATCCACTCTCACCCGCGGACTAATAACAGGAAAACACGTACGCGGCGAGCAATACGGCAAACACCCATACTACTATCGCAAAGTCCAATCTCTCTCGTACTGTCATGTGCGCGTCTTTGTGCGTTTCGCGGCCGATCATTGCGAGTAGGAGGGTGTGGATTCCCGGCGAGTGTTTGGAGCCGGCGTACGCTGTGTAGATGTGTCAGGAGTGAAGGATGGAGGGGCAAGTGAGAAGGGCGTACTTGGCGGTGTAGGCGGCTTATCGCCTACGAGAAGTACGAGTGGTGCCGCGGCAGTTGAGATGATACCGAGGACCAGGATCCCCTTGCGCGTATCCGTGAATACGGGGGAGAGAAGTTGCCCTATGGCACCACCGATTGGGTTCGCTGGACACGGTCTCAGCTTGGTTGCATATGTTCTAAGAAGAAGGATAGGCACCAATGGAGATAAGCATGGTAGCTGTCGTCCGTGTCTTGAGGTCGAACCACAGCTCGGAGTACTTGGGCGCGAGGATCTGGAAGATAGGTTGCGCGAGTCCTGCGAAGAACTAAGAATGCCAGTTCAGTACAGCAGGATGGGAGTACACGCGGGTGCAACGTACCTGCCCAAGTATAACGAGCGCATACGACCCGTTTGACGAGAGTGATCGTGCTGTACCGGCGTAGCGGACCCAAGCAGATATGATCATGAATACGCCACCCATAATCGTCTATATATTCGTCAGCCTCATGCACATGAAAGATACAGTCAAGAATACGCACTGTCTTGCGCACGCCCCAGTGACGAACATAGAGTGGCACCTGAAACGCGATGACCAGGTACGCGCACGCGATCATATTGCCCAACCAGTCGACGCGGTCAATGCTATACCCCATATCGCTCTTCACTGCACACTTCCTTCAGCGTCTCTTCCGAAGTGAATACAATGCGCAGACGCACCTTGCGTTGCGATAGGGCCGAACCAAGGCCAAGACATGCTCGACACGGTCTCCGCAGTGAACTACAGCTCCCATCAGTCAACGATATACTGGACAGAAACTCAAAGTCGTTACGCACCAGTACAAACACGCCCACCCAGCGCCGCTTGTAGAGCCTGTATCCTCCCGCCGGTCCATCGGTCGCTTGAGAGTCGGATATGGAGAGCGCCTGAACCTGTGATTTCTCGCCTTCGCCCTTTGCGTCGGCATCGGCCGACGGTGTTGATGAGCGGCCGGCGTCGGTGACCGTAGAGGCCATGGCTGGTGGCGGACAAAGACAAGGCTCGTATCTGCAAGTCAGGTACTGCAGCGAGCTCTACTGCTAGCGTGCCCGCGTGCCGTTCGATAAGTCGAGTGCGTTATCAGCTGACAGGGCGCCCGCGGCTCGCGACCTATAAAGGCCCTTGCTCGCGAAGACAAGTCCGTGGAAAGAGTATGTAAGCGTCACCGTAGACGAAGAAAGTGGGGAGACAGGCGGAGAGCTCTAGAAGCCATAAAAGCATATGGACCACCCCGGCCGTCTGACACGCTGACGGCGATGTGTGAACATTCCACAGCTGCCGATCTCCGCCTGAACAATGACCATGACCATCTCGCCGTTCGCTGTTGCGACAGTTCGTGTGCGGGTGTACATATCTGGATGAAGCGTAGGATGTGCATGCTTGTCCATCCAGAGCGAGGCGCTGTGGGAGGCGTTCGTGGTGGGCGCTGGTTGGGCGTAACGCCGCCACAACTCGTCGGCCGAGGCGGCCCGAGTGCCGTTTCTCAGCGTTCGGCCTGAACTCGGCACGCACGTTACCGTGCGCTCTTACCACCGCCTGTTCGTTCAAGTCCTGCTCCCTATTCATCCCTATCGGTACAGTAGAAGATCATTGTCATATCTAGCTCTAACCCTGATACTACTATGTCCTCGCAAGAGACTGCTGCTGAGATTGGTACCTGTGGATGGACTCTTAGAAGGCGTGCTTTCGCCGACTCTTCGAAGTACATCGCACTGCGATGGACCAGAGGCCGGCGCCAAACGAAGAACCTTACTGCTATGGTCACGACGCTTGATCATCCTCTGCCCGTGCCATCGCGACGTCGCGCTCGCGTCGCGCTTGCCGCCCGTTGAGAAAGAAGACGAGGAACGATGAGCTGAAAGCCCATACACCGCCGAATATGATCGCTTGGTGCATATTCAACGGTGGGCTTGCGGTGGCGGGAGCAACCAATGCGCCCTCCGCTACCAGCAAGAAGTCAGCGAGCTCGAATGGGACGATAGATGAGAACTTCGCATACACTGGATGAAGACGATGCTCAGCAGGTTTGCTGCGAACCTGATGATCGCCGATGAGCCGGCTGGGTTTCGCGTCAGCTCAACTCCGAGCTCGACGGCTGCGTTTACTGTATCAGTCATGTACCTCATCGTATATATGAAGATTTCGACTTGCCGATGGGCAATAGCGAGATTGAACATGCGCCGATGATAGCAAAGATGGCGAAGAGCGCGGGGGCGTCGTTCTCGCGGACTGCACTTCCTTGAGCGCCACGGACTTGGAGAGATGACTTTGGATGATTAGTACTCACCGGCCCAGATGAGGCTCAACCAAGCCAGACCGATGATGGGACAGAGTATACGGATGGCGAGCGCGATGTGGTGCGTCAGGACGCGGTCGAGGAGAGGAGCCGTGCTGACAGCCGCGACGATACCCGCGATCAGAAGGACGGCACCGAAGAGACCGGATTGTCCGCTCGTGTAGCCGTATGGTTTCTGGTGACGCGTGCTCTGAGCATCAAGAAGCACATGAAGCGGATGGGATGAGGAGGGCTTACCAGCCAGTGCGACGAGGACTTCGTGTATCCTTCAGTCCTGCAAGCAGCATCCGCGTTCAAACAGCGCCTCTCGATAGAGACTAAAAAGCGACGTACGCAGCAGAGAACGTAGCGAACATCCAGACCACAATGGCGAAGTCAAGTCGCTCGCGGATCAGCATGTGCGAGTCGTGATGAACCTCCTTTCCTGCGAGTGCCTTGACGAGCGCGCGGAGTCCAGGGGACCTTTTGGCGCCAGAGAATGCTGAGGCATGAGATTAGCGAGAGAGAAGCTCCATAGGATATTGGATCGTACTGGGTGGTGTTGGAGGTTTATCGAGAATGAAGATGGAGAGTGGGACGACGCAGGTTGAGATGACGGCCAAGATCAAGATCTGTACGAGTTCGTCGTCGTTAGCCATCGATCAAGAACCAGCGAGATTGACATCGAGAGGTCTTACGCCGTGACGAACATCCGTGAACTTGGGCGCTATGAGTGAACCGATAGCGCCGCCGATGGGGTTTGCTGCATCGAGAGCTTAAGATCGACTCTGCATCACACTTTCGAGACGAGGATGCCTTACCGAGAGTGATGATCATCGTGGCCGTCGTGCGCGACTTGACGTCGAACCAAAGCTCAGAGTACTTGGGCGAGATGACCTGAAAGAACGGCTGCCCGAACCCGCCGATGAACTAGAACTCGCTTATCAGATAATCCCAGTACAGTCGTGCACATCATCGATGCATACCTGTCCTATGATGACCAGTGCATACGAGCCACTGGGAGATAAAGAGCGCGCTGTGCCCGCGTAGCGGATCCAAGTAGAGAAGAGTAATAGTATGGTGCCGATGCATGCCTAGTAGATGGACATCAGCGGCGAGCCCACTAAAGAAGTGGCTGCGCTCATAGAGCGTCTTGACAACGTACCGTATACCGCATGCCTAGTCGCCGCGAGCAGATCGGAATCACGAAAGCTACAACGAGGTAGGCGCAATTCGGGATATTGCCGCAGCCGAGGTCGACACATATTTCTTAATAGGGTCGTGAACTCACGGGAGGCATTAAGTATTAGGATTATTAAATAATACCCCTCGCGAGCAAGCAAGCCACGCAAAATGCCAGACGGCCAGGTCAAGACTTGAACCCGCGACCTCGTGCAACAAGAACACAAGTGGGTAGCCCGACTTTGGCCGCTCAGCCATAGTGCTGTATGAGAGCTTATTGAAGTTTTTTAACATCACCCGCAAATGCATGTATCATCATGCTATGCCTCGCTGCCATGCGAGTGCCGAGGTCCTTCCCTCTCCCCACCATGTCGCTCGTTTCTTTACACTTGTTTTAAGGAGAACCTTTTGGTCACGATGCTGCTGTGCATAGCTCTGACTGGGGTGAGACATATTGAGTGGCATGGAGACATACGAGACAATATGTGTCCCGTGTCAGGTATGTGGCCTCGCACATGCTCGCAGCTGGCGGTAGAGGCTGATCACTTTGAAGACGGCCAGGTCTCGTCGCTCCCACGTCGTGGTCGAGCTCTATACACATACCCTACCGCCCATTCCACCTCCGCTGTACCCCGTTGACATGACCGGCAAACGGTAACTCGGTTTTGGCATCCTCCGGCTCCTGGTCTCTTTCACGATACCCTGTGTACCACTAGGCCTTTATCCTTGATAACAATATTTATATATGTCCATCTCGAAAGTATTGGCTTGACCCATTAAGTATTGGGCCCGCCCATTAAGTATCGGGCATGGGGATTAAGTATCCGGGGGTTAAGTACCGCCTGCCCGGGGATTAAGTATTGGCTGCCCGAGGATTAAGTATTGCCATCCCGGAAATTAATCGTGCTAGGGAGTACGATAGCTGAATCGACGGCGCGCTGTCCAAGGACCCAGCGATAGGCCAACCCATTGGGAAGTGTGTGGTCGACCGTTGCGGACGTGTACGCGCTGTATGGCGCGCTCGCGGTTGCGACCTCAGAGATCCCGCACGCTGCGGCGTTGCGCGTGGTGGATTTGCTGTATCCCATTGAGCTACGGGTCTCACAGAGTCAAGATACTCACGTACGTTTTGCAGCCTCTCGTGCGCCAGGTTTATATCCGCAACACCAGGCCACCAGTCGCCGGACGCGCCCTGGTCGGGGAAAATCGGCTCCGGCTCCTCCTCCTCCAGGTATCCTCGGATCCATGCTTGGCAATCGTCCACAGTGAGGCTTCTGCTACGATCAACTTGAAAACTTCCTTCTGGCGCGGGAGCAAGGGTTGGCTGATCGTCGCCGACCACGTTGCGTTCGGACGCGCTGGTCGGGTGTTGGGCAAAACGACGCGTCAAAGCGCGTCGAATATCCTAGGCCGCGCTCGAGCAAACCCTCAACGTGCATCAAGCGCTCCCCATAGCAGCACAACCACGCAACATGAAGACCTAGCTCTTGGAGGGTGGATGGGGGGCCACCCCTTTGCCTTCGCGATGCAATTATTGGAAGCATAAATGGAATGAATGTAGCATATTTATATGGTGAACTGAATATCTGAACACTCCTGAAAGGCTCGCCTGTTTTTGGTGCAATCGTGGCATGAGTACCAGTCGATGTAGATAGCACACATAGATTACTGAGTTGTATGGCAATACTTCACTAGTAGATACATGGGGGCTGTGAGCAGGTGAGCTCTCCAGAGTCCTGCTGCGTCCACGCCAGGCGCCAGCCGGTCACGCTCGATTAGCCAGTCGTACTGGAAACCACGGATACTCTGGGCCGTTGTCCGTGGCGTGAGGAAACGCGGCGGCATAACGTACTTCAAGAGCAACAGACGCTGCCTAGATATGTGGCGCGAGATGGATGGGGATGGGTGTCGCATACGTTGGAGCGGAGTCGCTTGCGGTCGACGGATGCCGACCAGGTGCCGATGAAAGCCGAAGTCGACAAGGAGTCGCGCCGTGCGGGTAAAATTGCGCCGCTCAAGGTTTCCCATCATCCTCTAACAGCGTAAAAGGTCTTAGGCTGTAGCGGGTACAATGGTAAGTGCCATTCAGATACGGTGCTGCAGGCTACTCACCTTCACGCTAGCTGACGATCGTCTTTTCTCGTATGCCAAAAGAGACGAGGCACATGTACAAGCGCGACGTGTACGACCTCTCTTGTCTTGAAGAGGTACGCACGCTGCAGATGAGTCACTAGCATTTAACCGAGGCGAGATAACCAGGAGGCAGACACGAAGGGGCGGATACTTAACGGCGCGGGGGATACTTAACGGCGCGGGGGATACTTAACGGCGCGGGGATTACTTAACGGTACATAATGGCTCGGGGTATATATATCGGCGGTGCTCTACTTCTCACACGGTCCTCTATGCGTAGTTATATGTACGCACAAGTCAAAACGCCTAATAGCACTATGGCTGAACGGCCTAAGTCGGCATGCCCCGCGTCCTTGTTGCACGAGGTCGCGGGTTCAAGTCTTGACCTGGCCGTCTGGCCTTTTGCGCGGCTTGCTTGCTCGCGAGGGGTATTATTTAATAAATACCAATACTTAATACCTCTCGTGAGTTCACGACCCTATTAAGTATTCCGGGTCGGCTGCTGGTGATTGCCGAGCCAGTTGACTTGCTCAGCGGTATAGCCTAGCTGATCGGACACTGTGGAAGTCGGTACGCGTGAGTGTTGACGGAACGTCGAATCTAGCGATGAAGATGATCACCATCGTCAGCGATAGGCCCAAACCAGCTCAGTCCCATCGAGACCACCGCGTCGAGCGCGAACTGCCGAGTGCATATGAGCGCCGGTGTGACTCGTACGTGCAGAAGAAGACGAAAGACGCACGAGAGCCGCGATGCCCGCCCAGCGGCGTTTGTAGAGCTTGTACCCGCCAGGCGGCGGAGGCGGAATATCTTCTACAACCTCGTCCTCGGTCACAAGGAACTGTTCGACACCGGTAGGTTTGGAGACATGGAAGTGCTGGATGACGGCTTTGTCCCCGTACTCGAGCTCGACCGCAGAGCTCTTCGCGCCTCCAGGGTAAACCGCGAGATCGTCGACTTTCGTGGCGATGTCAGGTAGCGCCGATGAGCTTGGAGGAGACATAATGGAGTCGAAGTTTAGCTAGAGAAAGAAGAGAAAGGGGGAATCGAATGATAAATGGTCATGCTGTCGATTGTCGGTCTGGGTTATAACCGCCTTGCCGTATCTGTGGACGGGCCTGTGAGCCCGTGAGGACTCCACTGAACATCTTGTGGGGACGTGGTATGGGCGTCTCAGACTTCGAAGCGCAGTCGGCGTAAGAATGTCCGACTGAATTGGGTTTTCTCGCCAAGTCACGGTGACGTTGATGTCGCTACATCAGGCTTCTTCAGAAGAGAGGACAATGGTCAGGATATGAGAAAAGTTGCATAGAGTCTGTCTGTGACAGCAGCAGCAGCTTATGTCTTTGTCAAGTTAAAACCTGTAAAGTGAACACATACCCCACTTTTAACTCGACCACCCTGGGCGTCTACGATACATAACTGAGTGCGGTGCTCTTGGTTGCCGTTGGACACTCGAAGATACAACGGCTTCCATACGCAGCTCAACACGCCGTCGGATCTGAGGCATGCAAGAATAGAAGCGAGGTGTACGGTGGCTAACGTTCTACGGAGGTCGTCAGCAACGCATCATGCGTGGGGCAGGCGCGCTCACCAGAACGACATAGAGCACACAAATGATCCGACGGGACACGGGCACTTCCTGAAGACATATGTAATAACGCTTTCACCGTGTACTCTGCGACCGAGATGGCTGTATGGTGAGGCAGTGCTCTCAGAACTCCCGAACTTGTCATCCTTGCCGAAGGAAAACGGAGAACCGAAAGTGGGATAAAGTAAAAGCACGCGATAAAATGAGCGGCCCATTCAGAGCCGGTCACCATCGTAGAGCAAAGGCAAGATCGAGCCGCGAAGATACTCAGGCCAGCCATGCAGCACCAGGCGTACGGAGCTCTGCATCGGGTGTCGTCAGGCAGCCCGAATCTATTCAGACGATCTCTGCCTCAAGTGAAGTACGGCAATCCAAATACGCCAATATGCCTGTTTGTAGAAGTATATATTGCGTCGGATAGGCGAATATGCACTCCAGGGAGTGTTGGTGGTGGTCGCGGGTCAAGCACAACACCGCTGCAGACGAGTCGGTTGAGTTATCGGGTCATCCGGCCCGAATTCTGCCTCCCAGTCGGACGCACTCGTCATCTTGCTCTCTTCGGTTATCTTCTCCTCTGTCCCACCCTCACATCAAACTCACAACATGATGAATAGCGAATTCTACAGAGGATCCTCAACGAGTGCTCCGATATTTTTGGCTAGCGCGACGTGACCTGGCGGCACCAATCTATGTCTGGGCTACCCGACGCCATGGAGATGTGGGCGGGATACATAAAGAGCTAGATGGACGACGTCAAAGACGGACAGGACAGGTGCGGGTGAAATGGCGAGATAGCGAAGAGTGTGCCGGTACGTTGCGACGTACTGTGGCACTAGCAAAATGCGCCCTGACTCCCATCTGTCGTTAGAATATCGGCATACGTTGTAGGCGCAGGCTATGGCTGCGCAGGGCCTTCCACCTATTCGTCTCCATCTTTATCAACCTCTTTGGCGCAACCTCAAGCAACCCGATTGAGGACCGTACCCTCCCCCAGTTTACCCTCCTCAGAAGCCAAAACCTCAGCCGCGAACGAAGCCATATTCGAATCTTTGGCGAGATAGCGAGCGACTGTTGCCGAGACTTCGACGCTGAGTCGGAGTTCAGCTATCGTGCCGAAAGGCGGGGAATGAATGTGACAGTGATAGCGGAGAGGGATGTAAAGGTTGAGGAGGGCGTCTATATCACCCGATCGCCTATGTTTGTTCCCATGATATTCGTCTCCCGACTCCACCATATACGCGAAACTCGCCTCTCCTCTTACAATACATGGATCTGATTTCTGAACTCGTGCCTTGATGTACCATCAATATCTTCCGCGCGTGAGCGGGCAGTCCTGAGAGTGGATATCGACGCCCCAATCTGCCAGTCGATTCGCATTCAGCTGGCTATCTTCGATCTCAGGAATGAGGTTCCCATGGATTACCCCATCAATGACCATCTCCAGTCGTGAAGGTAAGGCGCTCAGAACTGTAGACGTGCTCTGTCAGAAGCTGACACTGCGACTGTCAGACCAATGTCTACATTGAGGCGCAAATTTCCCCATGCATCTCCCATCCACCTTCGCAATCTGCTTCTCCCGACATGGGGGCACATACGCACATTTCTGGAAATCGTTCAGCGTCGCCCGTCGTTCGTTGAAAGGACATGTACTTACCTCGAGATTGTACGACGCCCTACAACCTATCGCGATGCCCTCTAGACGGCAGGTCTAACACACTAATCCCGCTATGTTTCCGTACCAACTTGAATGAGAGGCACATACATTGAAGGTGGGGCTCGAAAAGAACCCGGAGGCGCTGCGCATCACAACATGGTTGTCGTTGAACCCCCATATCCCCTTCATCCCAAGGCCTGTATCCTGGCTGTGGCGATGTTAGTGCTGATCCTCCTAACCAAACCAATCTGTTCCGACAACCACGGAGCCTCGGTGCAGCCTTTCTGTGCTTTTACCTCTCGCTGGAGACCCTCGGTAACAGCATCAATGCAATTTTATGGACCGGTGACGCTGATATCAAGTCCCACATTTACTGCGATTTCCGTGAGTGCGACGATTGTATAGGTCACGACAGGCCCCTGAGAGGCGGTGCATAGTATCCGGATCTAGGGAACACATGGTGTGCAAACGCTGTTCATACACATCCGTCACATCTGCTTCTCCCGCGTATCACATACGGCGACATCAATAGCTATGTGAAGGCGCCGAAGCGAAGCTTATAAGGTCTGACTCAGTCTGGCTGAGGAGAGAAAGATAGAGCATGCTCTTGAGCATTGCGACATGGCATCCGTCGATCCGACGTACCCTCTATACCCCATCGCATGTCTACTAGCCTCGCTCATGCTCCTTCTCGTACTTCTAACGAACTTCATCCGACATAGCTGGAACCTTGGTATCGCCTTCCTGTGTTTCTGGCTTTGTGTCGAGAATCTGACCGGATTCATCGACACTGTCGTCTGGGCTGACAACAACGATATCAAATTCTACATATACTGTGACATCAGTATGTATATCTGTCGCGTATTTACAGACACGGGCCTGAGAGAGGCAGGTACACATATAGAGGTGATCACAAGCGTAGTCAAGCCCATGGCTACCTTGATCATCACTCGCCGTTTGTACTTGATCACAAGTCTTCGCTCTATGGATTTACCAAGCAAGACCGCGGTGAGTAGTATCGAGGACACGCCATCTGTTCAAGTTCTAAAGTATGATTCCAGAGAAGGATCGATCTTGTAATGGAATGGGCACTAGGCTTACTCATACCTTTAGTCGTGGCGGGGCCCTTCTGTGAGTTCTCTCTCCGATTGAAATACAATACCGTGATGAGTGGCTTGCTCAAAACCAGGCAGATTACACAGTACAGCTATATCGATTCGGAGTTATCGGAGGGTTTGGATGTGTGACCACGACAGACGACTCGGTCGTTGCTATCTTGCTGATATTATCTTGGAACGTGGTCCCCCCGATTCTTTCCATAACTATCTACTATCGTGAGTAGACATACAGCTGCACTGACCGAATCAGCTAAGTCCATTATAGCTCGTGCGATGTGGATCCTCTATCATCAAAGACGAGACATACACGAGTTTCTGCAGAGCGACAACTCGGTCTCGCGAACAAACTACTTTCGCATCCTCGCCCTGGCGAGCATAGATATCTTTCTGACTTTGCCCATCGGCATCGTCACTATAGTGCTTGCAGTGTCAGCGGGCACTGGGATCAGCACCTTCCCTGTTTACAGCGGCTGGAAAACCATTCACAGCCATCAGTGGGGGCCAGTTGCGATCCCGGGAGGGCTGGTCAGCAATGCGCAGTTGTATTTCGTACATTGGACATCTCCCGTCCTCGCGTTCACGATCTTTGGTCTCTTCGGAGTCACAAGGGAGGCTCGCGCATCATACTGGCGCGCTATTTGCACGGTCGGGGGACGGTTCGGCTGGAAACCAACCCTTCGCGCCCGTCGCGCGGCGCGTTCGACGCTTGGCACGATGGAATTTGGAGATAGAACGCGGGAGCACTCAGTCGACCTCGAGATTGGGTGAGTGCTGAGATGTTTCAGCCTGGCTACGACTGACACACGCCTTTAGATCGCGCCCAAGCTTCATCGATCAGACTATTCGCCCTCGAGAAGAAAGCGAAGGCAACCCAACAGGCCACCATGTAGCCGCGGAGAAAGTAGAAGACTCTATTCGTGAGCAAGACCATACACCGTGAGTTCCCATCCAGCTGGTACATGGCTTGTCGAACCTCATCAAGAGCACTGTCTAGACACACGGAGTCTAAGGACTAGAACCGCGCGGATCGATCTTCCCTCGATCGCGAAGTAATCATTGCTTCAGATGCCGCATAAGAAGCGCGATGTACTTTCGGGGCGCCTAGGTTGAGTGTGCGTTGTCAAGCGCTACCAAGGCGAATGGGCGCTGTAGTCGCTGGCCATCGTTGCGGCATCTCGCTGGGTGGTATGTCCATCAAATGTGCCGGCATAGAGTAGGATTATGGCTTTATCAGCCCTGTTTCATTTCACTATACATGCGTGTACGATAGTCGTTTGAGTAGAGATCTGAATGTAGTTGCTGAGCATCGTGGGGGGAAGGAAGAAACGAAACAAGCGCATGCGGGTCTTTTCGGAAGCATCGGGCCCGATAGGGCCCGACTACCGCGTCAGATGCCTTCACTGTCCGGTTTAGCCCGCTCTCTTGCCTCTTACGCTCTCCATCGCCTCCATTCTCAGTTCCTTCCTCTCTATCCTCTCAGTTTTGCCAACATGCCACGATCTATGGCTTCACAAAATCCGGCACATCGTCAAAGACGACGCTCCACGGCGTCGACAACAAGTCCGGACTTCAATATCGAGGGACCGAGGACACGTCTACAGACGAATGCGAGCTCTATCTAGCAAGACGAGAATAAGAAAGGGCTGGTTCAAAGATAGGAGAAAAAGTGCGGAATCCAAAGGTTGGCCTAGCAGGCATACACAATCAATCCCATATCGTGCGTACACAAACTCTCCGTCTGAGCGCTATCCTCACCATCCTCGCCAGCCGCCCCAACCCTAGCCATTGCAACATCTCGCTCCCTCCTCGCCTGCCTTCCACGAAGAAACAGCACCAAAAACGACGAAGCGAACGTCCACGCGCCATTGAATATGATTGCCTGGTGCATATTCTTCGGCGGTTTCGCGGTGACGGGAGCGATTAGGGCGCCCATAGCTACACAGAGGATGTTCAATGTCAATTCAACGTAGCTAGTGGTCAATGGCAACGCACATTGAACGAATATGATGCTGAACAGGTTCGCTACGAACCGCAGTATCGCGGATGAGCCGGCCGGGTTGCGCGTGAGCTCGACGCCGAGCTCGACAGCTGCAGATAACACGCTCAGCCAATCTTGTACCACCCATTCCATCGCTGAAACCCTCACCAATCGGAATGAGCGAAACAGCACACGCCCCAATAAGCGCAAAAATCGCAAACAACGCCGGTGCATTATCAGCCTTCACTGCACTCTCTCATCAGCCCTCTATACCAAGCACACGCACAAGCTAGACAGCACGAACCCGCCCAAATGAGGCTCAACCATAGCGCTCCGACGATGGGACACAGTACGCGCATCGTTGCCGCGATGTGGTTTGTGAGGACGCGGTCGAGAAGCGGTGAGGTGATGAGCGCTGCTGCGATTCCGGCTAGTAGGAGTACGGAAGTGAAGAGGCCGGCTTGGCTACCCGTGTAGCCGTATGGTATCTGCGACATGTTGAACTTGTGCTACGTCTAGGATGCAGAGCAGAAGGGCTACTCACGAGCCAATGAGCCGAAGTCCTGCTGAAGCCTTCGGTGCTGGATGGTAGAGCGCGAACGTTAGCGTAGAGCCTGAAGGATCGACGACGACAGACCAACTTACGCAGCAGATAGCGTCGCAAAGATCCAAACGAGAATCCCAAAATCGATTCGCTCTCGACCGGACATATGCGCGCTCTCCTGTACCTCCCTCCCCATGAGCGCCTTCAACAGCTCGCGGAGACCGGGCGACGGCTTGCTTCCGGAGAAGGCTGCGCGGTCCGTCAACACAGTGAAGCAAAAAGAGAGAGGATGGTGAATAAGGGCGTACTCGGTGGAGTGGGAGGCTTGTCGAAGATGAGGAGGGCGAGGGGTACAACACTTGTCGATATGATGCTTAGTATCAAGATCTGCGCTCCATGCATGAGCTCAGATGTGCGATACAAGTGGCATAAAGCACGCACCCCGTGCCGAGTATCCGTGTAAACTGGCGCGATGAGCGCACCGACCGCAGCCCCGATAGGGTTCGCTACCCTCAAGTCTCAACGCCAGCCCTCCAGCAAGCTCAAGTGATCGCAAGGCTCACCAAGGGCAATGACCATGGTAGCCGTCGTACGCGTCTCGACGTCGAACCAAAGCTCAGAGTACTTTGGCGAGATGACCTGGAAGAAAGGCTGCGAGAGTCCACCGAGGAACTGTCGAGGCACCGCCACATGAGTCTCTACCGATCGATAGTTCAACTCATGCGTGCTTACCTGGCCTATGAGGACGAGCGCATACGACCCGCCCGGCGACAGGGAGCGCGCTGTACCCGCATAGCGGATCCAAGCCGAAAGTAGTAGCAGGAGAGCGCCGGTGTACGCCTGCCCACACGCGTGAGCGTAAGACCTCATGCGTGGTATTGGTAGGATGACTAACTGTGCAGCTTATGCCCCAGCGCCGAGAGATGATTGGGATCAAGAAGGCTACGACGAGGTACGCGCAGCTCGAGATGTTGCCGAGCCAGTTGACTTGGAGAGTAGTATAGCCCAGCTGTTCGGAGACTGTAGGGGGGCGCATGAACAACGCGTACCGATGCAGTAGCTCAAGTGAATACTCACCGTTCACTCCAATGGGTCCGAACCACTGCGTTCCAATCGACACCACGGCGTCCAGCGCGAACTGTAGCATGCTAGTCAGCCTCGTGGTCAACCTAGATGGAGAGTAGGACGGAGACGTACAAGTGCAAAGAGACCCGCCCAGCGCCGCTTGTACAACTTGTACCCGCCAGGCGGAGGAGGCGGTATTTCTTCCGGAACATCGTTCTCCGTGACGACGAGCTCCTCAATGTCGGGCTTCGCCGCTACGTCGAAGTGTTGAATCGCCGTCTTGTCACTGTACTCAAGCTCAACTGCGGAGCTCTTCGCGCTTGGGTGTTCCGTGACAGTGGCAGGGGCCTCGGGTTCGAATGATGAGCTTGATTGGGCCATGGTAGCCTCGGCAAGGAAGAAAAGCTGCTAGAAAAAGACGAGAGGACGGGGCGAGGTAGAGGAGACCCGGCTGCATAGAACTTATAAGCGCTCTGATGATCTGTTGCGTGGCCACGCGGTGCTGCAAGGCTCCATCGCCATTGTGAGCCACGGACACCCCAGCCGTTGTCGCGGATTGGGCGTAGACCTGCTCTTGCTCAATGAATGGGCTGTTCTGAGAGCACATATATGTTGTTGAGACGCACCTGAGACACAGAAGTGTTGTCTAGGCGCAACGACTGGCGCATTGGGTAGCCGGTTAGTATCGATAGCGACTTCGTGCACTTGCGGCACTTCCGTGAGTGGCGATTGCAAGGTCACCCAACGCCCATACAGACCCATACGCGAGCGGAAGACCCGTGCGATGGATATGCACTCCATCAAGTATCTTGTGCACATGGGAAAGTTATCAGGCGAGCCCCGACGCCTGACGGCTTCTGAGCGCAGTCGGGGAAAGGCCAGGTTGTCATAGGGTTGACGGCGAGTACTACAATGTCGTCGTCAGTACACAAGAATAGTCAGCAGACGAATAGATCGTAGAGACCTTTGCCATAGCCAATGGTCATATTGCGTCGTAAACGCCGTCTGGAGCTCGAAACGGCCATCTTTAGTCTCGAGAGTAGCTATCAAGGAGCATATATGTACGTTCTGCTGGGTCACTGTCGGACGCATGAATGTTCAGCAGAGGTCAGTAGCCAATGGGAACCAGCTACGCATGTGGCCTGAAGAGCCAGTAGGATCGCGACAGAGCGAGTGAAGTCCGAAGGTATGTCAGAGTGAGTATGATTCCCCTCGGGCGCGAGTCGGCGAAGTGACGGTCTCAATCATGGTGACAATCTCAGTCTTGCGAGAGTATAGCAAATGGAGAGCAGAAGAGCAACACCATCACGAGCTACATGAGTACACAGTGTGAAGGTATGTTGCTCTGAAGGTGGTGGTGGTTTCCGTTCAACTCGGGCAGCGCGCGCGGCACCGAGCTATCGGACAATCCGGCCCGATCTCCGCCTCCCGCACGCCGACTCACAGCCGACGCTCCTTGCTCCCGCCACTCACCTTCCCTTCTCCTTGTTCTCTTCCTCTTCACACACACAACCATGACAGAATTCTGGGTTTCCCAAAAACAATACTTCTGCAAATACTGCGAGATTTTCATCCGCGACGACGCGCCCTCACGGCGCCAACACGAGTCCGGACTCCGACATCAAGGGAACAAGGAGAGATATGTGCGGAATATATACAAGCAGGGAGAGAAGAGGAAGAAGGACGAGGCTGAGGAGAAGAGGGAGATTGCTAGGATAGAGCAGGCGGCGAATGCCGCGTATGCGGCAGACGTAGGCTCGGGCCGCGCGGGGCCGTCCACTGCTTCGTCTTCGTCCCCTGGACCCTCCGCGCCTAAACCTCCCCCTCGGCCCGTTGCCGCCCCATCAACTGGAATACTATCATCGCACGTGAAGCCCTCAGCCGCCAACAAAGCCGCCCCTAAACCTGTCGCGCGTAATTATGACAACTATACGACCGCCGCCGAATTAGGCATCATCGACCCGGAGGTGGAGAGACGACAAGCAGAGGCGGAGAGGAGAAGAAATGAAGCTTTTGTGGGTGAATGGACGATCGTCGAGTCGACAACTTCACGTGGCGTCTCTGCCGCGCCGGAGGAAGAGAATGGGATAAAGGTCGAGGATGGAGCGGAGGTTAAGGCCGAAGATGGAACCGAACTCGAAATCGGCCAGAAACGACCCGCACCACCCATAGACGACCCCGAAGACGCAGGACACCGCTGGAAGTTGCGAAAGAAGACAGTCGAGGTTGGACTGGGCGAGCTGTACGACCCTGGTGTTCTAAAGCTCAAACCTCGCGTCAAGTCACAACCTACGGATGCGGAGGCACCAGTTACGACGATTGGTGGCGACGCAGCCGGATGGACAAGTGCTCCAGGAGCGGTAACTGGGCCGAAAGCTACTGAAGCGCCGAAATGGACTTCGGTAAAGTGGAAGAAGCCTGGCGAGGCCCCTGCGGTTGCCGCGACGGAGCAGGATTCCACATCTACGTTGGCACCCGTGAAGCAGGAGGAGGATGTAGGCATGGCCGAGTCTGACTTAGGCGGTTTGGCCGTCACGACCACAGACGATCTTGTCTCAGTGCCTACGAAGCAGGAAGTGGAGGATGTGAAGCCTACGCCTCCGACACGAGCGGCATCCGAACACGAACCTCCGGTGGGCTTGTTCAAGAAGCGCAAACGGCCTGTAAGAACCTAAAGTCGCATAGCATCGTTGTCGATACACTTGCTGTTCACGTTGTAACTTCCTTCCATGTCCCGAACGTCATCAATCGTACTCTTATCAAGAAAACGTTGCGAAGGCCTACCCAGGTTGGGCGAGATAAGGAACCGACCTTGCACATACGGGGCAGGCCTATGTCCACTCTTGAGGCGGAGTGTCAAACGTGAGATTCGAGGATCTGCTTCACCCCGTTGTTCTATCGCGATATCTTCGCAGAAGATTGCCGCTATGCTCATGCAGCTGATGCTTTACGCTACCACTGAGTGCTATCTACGTCTCTTGCAGATGTAGATGTGATCCACCCGTGAAACGATGAGCATCTTCGTATGCAATTCACTTCTTCGTTCCGTCTATGATATGGCATCCCGGTGCGCTCGTAGAACTGCCGTCTGACCATGCACTCGCTGGGAGTGCTGCTCTTATTGACCGCATAAATAGGTCGGCTCATCGTCAGAGGTAACATCGCTCTACTACGCACCTCGAAACATGGCCGCGGTCGACCCGACGTATCCTCTCTACCCCATCTCGTGTTTCCTGGCAGTGGCAATGCTGCTTCTCGTCTTATGGAACGGGTTCCTTCGGCAAAGTTGGAACTTCAGCGTCGTTCTACTATGTATATGGCTTCTCTTCGAGAACCTGACGTATGGAATCAATGCTATCATATGGGCCGACAATATCGACATCAAGCATTACGTTTACTGTGACATCAGTGAGTCCAGTTATCTACCCTGACAGGGGCAAACATACTCACACACTCTCTACAGTTACACACGTCCAGATAGTGACGTTGATCGGCAAGCCTCTGGCGACTCTATTCATCACCCGCCGATTGTACCTGATCACGAGTCTCCGATCAGCCGTAGCACCAAACGCGTCGGCAGTAAGTGCAGTGTACAGCTCGCGGAAGTGCTCAAGAACCAAACAGCACCTCCGGATATAGAATCGTAGAGACCTCGCCGTCGAATGGACAATCAGCTTGGTAGCACCACTCTTATTTGCGGGGCCATTCTGTGAGTTCTTCACAGACGTGACCCTAAGCTGCCTAACATCCTCTCAGACTACATAGTACAACCATACCGGTTCGTCATACAGGAGGGGTTTGGATGTGTGAGCTGCGTAGATGCCTCGATACTCACATGGCTTTTACAATACTTCTGGGTATTGGTTCCCTCACTAGTATCCATCTTGTTCTATTGCCGTACGTCAAGATCTTACATATCTGCGCTCGACTCATTGACAAATGGTCGCATGCTAGCCAAGGTGATCTGGGTTTTGTACCGACACCAACGAGAGTTGGATCGGTTTCTGCGCAGCAACGACTCTGTCACGCGGACCAACTACTACCGCATGTTGGCCCTTGCAAGCATCGATGTCCTGCTGACCTTGCCCATCGGCATCGTGGTCAGCGTCGTACCCGTCATTGCAACCTTCAGACGGGGTGGATATCCTTTCTACCGGGGTTTCACTTTCCTCCATACCAATTGGGGTCCGGTCGCAGCTTCGTATTCCGACGTGGACGACCCGGTCGATCTGGCACAGATCTATTTCAATCAGTGGATATCGCCTGCACTTGCCTTTGTCATGTTTGGTCTCTTCGGCATCACGGAAGAGGCTCGCGAGTCGATTAGGCTTGCTATACAGACCGTGAGAGCTCGCTCCGGTTGGAAACCGGCGGCCGCACGCTCTCCTTTGGGTACGATCGAGTTCGGCGAACGACCGCAGGTTTCCTGGCCATCCGTTGACCCAGAGACTGGGTGAGTAACGGTTACACGACAGACCTATGGATCAGGTCTGACGGAATTCAGTGTGCGACCGGATCTCGAAGATAGCATGCACAAGCAAGAGAACGAGGGCGAGGGTGAACAGACGGATCGCGGGTCACAAGGGGTGTTGAATGAGAAGGTGGTCGATTCATCGTAGCGACATTGCACGTGCTATCCATTGACCGCGAAGAGCATCACATAGATACACGGTAGAGTACAAGTAGAGCGTATGCAAGATCGAAGAATCGGGGTCATTTGAAAACGAGCCCATCATCTCTGTCCGCTACGCATTTGAGCGAGCTGCCACCCATCTTCTCCGCGTCTAGAGCGCCCTTCAGCACTTGAACTTCGCCTTCCTTTCCGCTCTCTGCATCGTCTTCTGGTGTACGTCCACTACTATGATAGAAGGTTAGCAATTTCCCGTGCACGCAAGCAAGAACGTACCCGATCTCAAGGTCGATAGTCGAGTCTCGCGGTCGTTCGCCCAACTCAATCGTGCCTAGTGCGGGACCCGTGCCGTTCGTATCAGACATCGGTATGCAGCCAACCCAGCCGCAGACTGTGTGGATCGCGCGCCAGTACGATGCGCGAGCCTCCCGTGTGGCCCCAAAGAGACCAAAGATCGCAAAAGCGAGGACAGGTGAAGTCCAACGTGAGAAGTAACCCTGCGCGCCGCCCAACTGCGCTCCTGCCATGATTCCCACTGGATCCCAATCGGTGTGGATTGCTGTCCAACCTCCATACAGAGGGAAAGATCCAGTATTGGATATCGACCCCGATATGGAGAGCACGATGTTCACTATGCCCATTGGTAGGGTTAAGAAGATATCTATGCTCGCCAAAGCGAAGATGCGGAAGTAGTTCGTTCGCGATACCGAGTTGTCGCTCTGCAAGAACTCGTTTGCGTCTCGTCTTTGGCAATAGAGGATCCATATCACTCTAGCTGTAAGGCACTCGGTTAGCTAAGGGCCATCTTACTTCATTATATCCAACTCACGATAGTAGACTGTCATGGAAAGAAGGGGGAAGATCACGCTCCACGACCATGCTATGAAGAGACCGAGCACTGAATTATCGCCAGCGGTCTCGCATCCAAAACCCCCAAGGACCCCAAATCGATATGATTGAACTATGTAGTCTGCGCAGGTATGAGCAAATGAGTTCATCGTGGCATCCGAAAGGAAACTCACAAAGAGGCCCTGCAACGATCAAGGGTATGATAAGCCCTAGGGTGCATTCTATCGCAAGCTCCCTTCTTTTCTTCGGAAGCCACACTCAGTATCCTAATTGATGCGAGTCTCTTGTTGTACGCACTGCGGCCAGTCCGGGAAGGTGCACGGATCGTAGACTCGTGATTAAGTACAACCGACGAGTGATAATGAAGGTTGACATGGGTTTGACAACAAGAGTTATCTCCTCTATATGTGTAGCTGATCTGGTCAGCATCGCAGATGAGTACGCCGAAAGGATACACACCGATGTCACAGTATACATAGTACTTGATGTCGGCGTTATCGGACCATATAATGGCGTTGATGCCTACAATCAGGCTCTCGAGGAAGAGCCAGAAGCACAAGAACGCGACTCCGAGGTTCCAGCTATGCCGAATGAAGCTCGTCAGAAGCACGAGAAGCAGCATACACGAAGCCACCAGACAAGCGACGGGGTAAAGGGGGTACGTTGGATCGGCTGGCGCCATGTCGCGATGCTCAAGAATGGTTCTCCCTGTCCTCGAGCCGAGCGCCATCCTTTAAAGCTCCTTGTCGATGTCTTCACTAGTAATCAGTAGCATAGTCTGTTACCTGCAGAAGAAGCGGATGGGGTGAATGTACACGAATCATGTTGGCACATCATGCGCGCCGTCGTACCTGAATGTCGATGCATCGCAAGTCAGGAACCTCCTCTAAGAGTTACTCCTCGAACCCAGAATAGCCCGTCGGAGGGTGATAGCATGGGTACCTACCGCTGATGAAGGCGGTAGGGTGAGTGTGCCGACAATAATGCAGAGCCTATAATCAAGTCAAACATGATCGTTTGAGCTTCGTTTTGGCCAGGTAGTGAAGGATACGAGCAGGATTGTACCCATCCGTCGGACGGCGACCTTGGTTGGTCCTGTGCCTTTCGACCAGCAGTATGTGCGTATATGTCGACAACTCAAGAAGCATGGCAGTTGTATAGCCTGAAAGGTGGCGGTATGGGCGTAACTGATCCTGATACACCCTCGGCAAATAGCTCCGCGCCTCGTGATAGATCGCGCTTCGCTCGTTCACTATGCTTGCTATGGCAGCTCATAGCATACTGGCACAGCAGCACGTTCTTGACCATAACAAGAGATAAGCAGGCTTTGGCCGAGACATGGCTCTCTGAGTCGGTGGTGGTCCAAAGCCAACGCGTCAAGAGAACGGCAGTTGCAACGCGTGACGTTGCGCGCACAATTGACGCGTCGTCCGAGCATCCGTTTTTTGTCTCCTCCCACCTCGACGCGGCGCACTGGACAACACCCGACGACGCAGCTCACGATGCGGACACTGCCTGCTATTCTCGGCGATATCTCCGCACGCGGCAAGAAGGTATCATAGTCTCGCGTGGCACATATCTCGAACTCAGTACTGGCTCGTGAGTCGCTCTCTATTATTCGTGCGTACTCTACCACCTGCTCAACGCATCGCAGATGCTGTATGAGCATAGTAGCGCCCAGTTTGGACTCTCTGTATCTGGACGACTTGTGGTCTCCATCGCCATCGCGCGCTACACCTCACCAGCACCTTACCCCCTCTTGACCGCGTCCCGACGCCCCACACCGCGACAACTGATAGGGCAGGTCACTCCATCTGCGTCGACACTCGAACAAAATCTCTGTACGGAGCTCACCACGACTTCTACTGGCGAAATACTGCCACAGCCGCCGCTGAAGCTGTTGTATCCGTCGAGCAGGAGGAGCAGATGTTAGGATTACGATGGAAATTTCACGGCTAGCCGTAGCGGCTGGGCATGGGCCATCGGCTGGTCATTCAAGGAACGCAAACGGCCTGTACGAAACTACTTGCCTTGTCGCCATCTATCCCCAAACATGTTGTAATCGATATTACTCCATTATTATGGCCCTTGCCCCTGCTGTCTAGCGCAGCTGTCCGCGTGTATTCCATGCACTCAACGGTGGACTTCGCCGTCATCTTCTAGGACAGGTGATGAACATGTAATGTCATGCGTGCATCCTGATAGGACATTACCTTGGGTCATGGAATCCATGCGATCGGCCAGTATGCATCCTGTAGTAGGCTCAAGTGCCTACCCAGTTTTACTCTTGAAGCGTGAAGTTTCGTCGTATAGGCATGATTTCTCGGCCTCGGTCGCACCTTTCGCTAATCAGTACTATCCATCTGAGGATCACTCGAGGCCGCCGCGGCCATGCTTTGTGCTCGGTCCACACGCTGTATATCGGGTATAGTGGCTATAGGCCCACTGGCATGCTTTCATGCCCGACCAATGCTTCGGGCAGTCATGAATGCGGGTATAGTGTGAACGTGAAGGAGGTAGTAAAGAGAGATCATCTTCAGACGTAAAGCATACACTTCTCTGCTGCTGCATGGCATGCCGAGCCTGACTTACTGGAACTCTAAAGGCGCGATGTCCTGACCGAGGACGACGCGTTCCAAATCAGGCGGCCGATGCTTCAGAAGTTGTTCAGTGGGTAGCCCGGGCTCATAGACGTTTGCAGTATATGATCAAGCCAGTTCATTTGAAAGCGGTGGAGTCCAGCCGGGGAGACAATGTGAGGTGACGAGAGAGGAACAGTTGGTATTACTACACGCACTAGTAGATTACAGAGCGATAGGGTTATGGCGTGCGCGGCGCGCGAATTCATTTCGAAGACTCGATCTACGATGACGCGGTTGCCTTCGGGCTTTTCCCTTTCTTTCATGTAGCTCAATACCTGTCTGGAAGTAAAGCGAGCTGACAATGCCGCGATGGCGGCTAGCGGCAAAAGAAATCGGTATCCGCCCGCTGCAAAGCGGCCGCTCGAGGATCAGCGTGAGACCGTGCGGCCCGCGTGTCGCCACGCGTGAACGTGCACTTCGCGCTTCGACCACCACCACGGTCTTCTTCGACTATGATACATTTCCTAATGAATACCTCCATGAACTCGCATGATCACCTCTGAAGAACAATAATCCACCGGCCGCCTCAGACGTGCATGCGGCTTATCTCAGACTTGACCGCCTAGATGCGGAAGATCAGCAACGCCTCCGAACGCATGTTCAAGTTTACACCGAGCCTCTTCCTGTGGCGGGTATCAAGGCCGCCCGGCGCGCGAAATACTTACCCATGACGCGTTACTCTTGTACCAGCTGCCAATATGTATCGGTGCTACTAGGTGTTGTCGTGCCTAGTACAAGCGCAAGACGTGTACGTCGGTGATGACATGTCCCGGCTCGAGATGTCTGACTGACATACCCATGCAGGAAGCATAGCCCATACCAAGGCGTACTACGTAGTGATCTGACAGAAGATCTCGAGAAGTTCAAGCGCACCCAACTTCTCCGTTCGATGAAGTCATCGTTGAAGATTCAGCTCGGCTATTGGCCCTGCGCAGACCTTCAGTGCGACGTTCTATTGGAGACCTATCGAGGACATGGTTTGTGGCCGATTTTTGGACAGCGGAAGTATTGGCTCCCGTACGTATGAACCGACAAGTCTGTTTCGGTCAGGCACTTGACGGCGATACTGCTGTCAGCTTAGCTATCGATTTGAGGTGACACCTCAATGTGTGTGCTTTCCTCTCGGCGCACGCGTTGCTCCGCGCACAATCCCATCTTTGAAGACTTTCAGGTTCTTCATAGTGCCCTACAACGCCTTCCAGTGCCTGACCAGCTTGCACGATGACATACACTCTAGAACTGGGAAGTGGTCCGCGGCGACGACATGTCAACGCAAACATACCGCCAATGTCACAACGCCGGCTTATCTCATGACCCACTCGTCGTTCACATTAGAGCGCCGGTCGTTGCCGGATATGGTAGGCGTGTCACGCCACGTAGCTTTTTTCCCTCGCTCATCATGATTGCCAGACCGACCCTTGCGCGCAGCTTACCTACAGAAGAGGTGCATGTGAGATAAGCTAGATGTACTGGCGGCCTGCGGAGAACGAAGAGGTCATACCAGTGGCTGGATGACTTCGCGAACGTCTACGAGCTAGCCTCAAACGATTCTTGAAGCAGAATCTGGACGAGGTATGAGCTCATAGTACACTGCGATGTGTATCGAAACTGAGTTCAATATGCAGACACTGGATGATCGCTTGTAGCGCGCCTGTTAGCCTTTCTCATCACGATCCTTCGTTCGAACACTATTCGAACAGCTCTTTCCCTCCAGTGACGGGTGTGCGATGGTGCCGGCTCACTACCCAAAAGTGGACCGCTAATGCAACATCTCTCTCTCTCGCAGCTCCTACGAGATATACACAAGGTTATTTTGGAGTGCAGCTGCGATCTCGAAAGGACGTCGTACCTATCTTTCCCTTACGGGAACGGCTTTGCACCTCGCAACTCTTTGACATGCCTATCCGAAGTTACCCCAACACGTTTGACAGCACCCAAAGCGGTAGTCGGGCCCTGATTGAGGGAAAGCGCCGGCTCCCCCGCAACGCCATTGCCACTTTGGTCTGCGGAGCATCCTCTTTACGCCGCGACTCCAAGGTACTTCAACTTTGCCGCTTCTAGTTTTTTCACACTACGGGAACAGTGGTTCAAACTCAGCTGCAAGAGCCTGAGTGCTGACGTCGTATGTTCCTGCACCCAGTCTATGGGCTCACCGAATACTGACTCGAAGTTGGCTAGGTCTCTTGGCTTCATTGAACATGGGAGCGTTCAGAGGTCTGGACAGCTCGACTGCCTTGGGCGTACCGTAGCTGAAGCTTCTGGCGGCCGCAACGCTCCACGGTGGTTCAACTCCCCGCTATGTACACCGCTTGCCCAGACTGAGAGTGCTCTACATGAAGATCAGATGTATATGTTCAACCGAAAGATCCCAACGAACGACTAATAACTCGCAGTTCGGGCATGAAATGCACTAGGCTCGGCGAGCGAGTCTGCGATCTGCAGCAAATACGCGACATCGTACCTACTCTCTCGCTGGCACGACGACCATGAAACAAAGCCACATCCCTCCATTCAAACAGGCCTACTGCTCGTGTGAGCGAGATCCGGGTCTGGATAGATATTCGGCGCGAGGCAACGAAATCGCCTTTTCTTCACACTGCGCGGATCATAGGTGATGATTATCACTACGACCCTTGACTTGACCGCGAGTTCATAGAACTATACGCAGAATGTCGCCTGGGCCTCCACGGGAAACGTTGAACGCGCACGAGACTCTCGCTTTGGTTCGCGTCGTCTGTAGCGCAGTGACGTCGCCGATATCCTCAATCGCACAAACGTACTGCAGTCCCTTGGGACCATGAGCTCATGTCGTGGATCTTTTGGACAGTGCCTGAGCAACTGGTAGATTGGACCATTTGTCTCGACATTCTCGCACGCAAACCCACACAACCTGCCGTATTGATCTCTCGTGCGGAGAAGCCTCCGGCCATCACTATTGCTTCGCATCGGAACCGGAAATGGGCATCTGGGTGTTTAATCTCTCGCAGCCCGGACATGAAAGTCACCGACTTCGACGACTTCGTTGGCGCGAGCTGTGCGTACGCTCGTGCGAGAGGCTATCCAGCGCAGTGCCTCAACTTGCGTATCGTTCACGCGTATGTAACGTTCGAAGAAGGCGTGTGACATACGTTTGGATAGAGCTCGCTGCTGTATCCGGGGCTACTAGTCTACTCTGATCGCATGCAGGATGGCGCAATGCAAAGCTGAGCGCACGCTCTAGCAAAAGATATGGCGGGTATGTTGTACGGCAAAAGTTCCGCTGTGCATGAACTTTCGAGATCTTGCCATCGTGCAGCCTACCACTTCGTTCTAGGAGCCAAGTCGTCGCCGTAGATCTAGCAGACGATGCTAATCGGATGCGGAAACGGATTTGCGAACAGTGCGTGGCGCGTTGTATGAAATCTTATGACTCCCATCCTCGCGCAGTGTACTGATGGTACGCGTTTGCCCTTCATAGCACTCTGAACCGTTCACACCAATAGTTGCTTCTACGGCGTGCGGACTCGGAAAGCCCGAACTTACTACCATATGGCCATCGTCTACCTGTAGAGTGGCCTTCCAAGATCGCCTGTATCATTTTCAGGTAACGGCAGTAAGGGATCGGCGTAGGATTTGCATTGGGATTTGCACTGGGTTCGTGCCGAACAAACATCCACGTGTGGCTATACGTTCTGCTTTCAGGCCGTTCCCAGGATGTGCTAATACCCCGAACCTACCTCGGCGTACCTTGAATTCAGTTCGCATCAGCGCCCAAATACCAAGTTTGGAAGATGCCGTTGCAACGCGACACTACTACGGGCTGTACAGCGGCAAAAGAGTGGAATGTCACAGTCGGTCTTGCAGACGCCTCTCTGACTTGTCTTCACATAGGGCCACATGCACTTTGCTCTGTTATGCCGCTTTCGACATGTTTTGAAAGCATGCGAACAACGTTGCCAGCTCGCCGACGTGCTGAGGGAGAACAACACCGGCATCGGACCGGTTCTCCTGGGCCATTCGGCGTGGATGACGCTTGCGCATCGGGCTCGGTGAGCCAGCACTGATCTCAACGATTCGAGATCTCTGCAATGAACGGCAATAATCAATGCTTTGATGTCCGCTTGTTCCCTGATGGCCCTTTGCGCAAGAGTCAACTTCGTGGCGCCTGGGATCGACGCGTTCGGACAATGACATTCCCTCTTCGGTGACTAGAACTGTGTACCCCGGCGATCATGTTCATCCCGTTTAGACTACCGGCCTATCCGTATGGCCTCGGTCTGCAGTGCATGCGCAATCAGTGAAGCCCGTAGAGGTATGCGAAACTATGAAGCCTCCGTCACCGAGCCGCTGCTACGCTGCCCGGGACAGGCGGGCCATGCGTCCCCTCGCGCATTCCGAGAGAGCTGTACGACAACGCAGCTGTCGTGAGCGCTCTGTGCGTGGACAACATGTCGAAACAACCAGCGTTAGTGACGCAGTGGGTAAACAGCGGCGCATCGTACAATCTGTGCTAGCCGCGACCGGTCGCGGCGTATCTTGTGTACGGCAAGAGATTCGCAAAACCGAAATGTATGCCGTATGTTGATCATTGAAAACATTGGAGTGGGTGCGTGTAGACCTCTCAGAATATTGCCATGTGGGCGCTGCGCGAAAGCCAAAACCGAAAGCGTATTCTCACAGCCGCGGTTGATGCTCCTTATTGACGCCCGGTGCGCAGACGTCATTCGGCTTCGGTCGCGTCTAGCCGTACAGCTTGTCACCCCGGGTAGCGCACTGTGCGTCACGGCGTCCTTTACGGACTGGCGTACGTCGAGTCGGCCAGCTTTACAATGGCCATAGGATAAGGCTTCGCGAAGGGTACATAACAGAGGCAGCCCGAACCCGTGAAACCCGTATTTTTTTGCCCAGATTGCGCATTGATCTGGAGGCATACTCGCCGCCCAGCTCTAACCTCGGAATGGTTCAGGACCGTCGTCCGCCGGCGAACACTTCCCACAGTCCATATCCCGTTTCTCGAACTGACCGCTCACACTCCGCTTGAGACGTCGATGTGCTGTACCATCAACGCATTCGCGGGATGACAGTGATTTGTGTATGCCCGGCCTGCGTGTGCACCAGAGGTTTGCAACTTGTTCGACTTCCGCGCTTGCTTTGCAGTTGCGTAGGTATAAGACTCCAGGCCCGCTTCTGCCGTTGTTCTCCATCCGCAAAGTCCAGTGCGATCCGAGTCGAGCTCCTGCAGTCTCCTCATACAGCGATCTACTCCACCTCGCAGTCTATACCAGCTTCGCACAGACTAATTCAGAGATGTCCGCCCTCGCTACCAGCCTCATCGTTCTTCTGGGTCTCGCCGTCGCATTGCACATTCTGCAAGAGCGCGGCCTCAAGTGCATTGGCCTTGCACCTCACCAGGTCAAGTTCCCTGGCCCATCGACAGTGCCTTTCTTCGGTAACTTCTTGGAGGTGCGCTGCTTCAACTGGCGATCAAAGCGTTCCAGCTGACATTCCCGAACCAGCTACGCAATGGCCACGCTCGCACATTCATGCGCTGGGCAGAGAAGTTCGGTCCGATCATCCGCATCGTCATTGGCGACCGCGAGGCGGTAAGCTGCACACTCTGAAACTTCGGTGGACATGAGTACTCATCATCTGAAAGGTCATCCTCAACACTTACAACGCGGTTCAAAAGACTTTGATCTCTCAGGGTCAGGCTTTCCAAGGCCGCCCCGAGTTCCGCATGTACCACGGTCTCTTCGCTATGGCTTCAGACCATGACGCGCCGCCGACTCTTGGCAGTGAGTACCACTTGACACACCCTTTCTGAGAAAGCGCATCTGACGTCGACTTCAGCGTCTCCCTGGACTGACAAGATCTCGACGTACCGCAAGCACCTCGGTCTGCAGACAGCGGGCCACAAGCTCCGCCGCTACAACCACTTCGTCGCGCGCCGCCTCTTCCGCTTCGTGAACCTGCTCGCTGCCGACTCCAAGAAGGGCACTCGCGACCTTGGCTTCGCGATGTGGACGACCTCGATCGGTTTGAGCGCAGACATGTGCTTCGGAACGCGTATTGGCGAGGAAGAGGCGCGCGTGATCTCCTACTCCGAGATTGACATCTTCCGCGAGCCGCGCACCCTCGGCCAGCCGCTGCACATCGCCGTCCCTATCCTCGACATGGCACAGAAGGCGCTCCGCCCCGCACACAGTCTTCTTCGCAACCTTGGCTTGAGCGGCTTCCTCGACGACGTCGACCGTAGCGAAGAGGCGGCGAAGAAGCTGCGCGTGACTGAGATCGGATATGTCGGGCGCCTCAAGGAAGAGACCAAGGCGCGCGTGCGCGCTGGTGACGCGACCCCTAGCCAGCTCGGCGACATCATCCGCACCTTCGGCGACAGCTACACCGCGCACGACGAGTACAAGGTCGCAACTTCTCTCGTCGGCTCGGGCATGGGCACTGGCACTCTCATCCTATGGCTTGCGGCGCTCCTCGCTTCGCGCCCGGACATTCAGGCTGAGGCGCGCGCTGCGATTGAGGCTGAGTACGCCGGAGAGGTTCCCGACCCGCTCGACACGGACCGCGTCGAGTACATCTCCGCCCTCGGCATCGAGGCCGGCCGCTACTTCGCCTCCACCCGCCTTGGCTTCCCTCGCGAGACGACTGAGGATGTCGAAGTCGATGGTGTCCGTATCCCCAAGGGGACAGTGGTCATGCACAACACTTTCGCGGTCAACCGCGACCCGGCGCGCTACGACCGTCCCGACGAGTTCCTTCCCGAGCGCTGGTGCGCGGGTCACTACGGCCGCGTCGACAAGAAGGGCCCGAGGGTCGGCGTTCCCCACTTGAACAACGGCGTCGGCCGTCGCTACTGCCTTGGAGTTCCTTGTGAGTATAGAACACTTCATCTTCACTCATATCCGACACTGACCTCTGCCCTTAGACGTCAACAAGGTTCTTTACGGCACGATCATCCTTCTTCTTCACTTCTTCGACCTCCAGCGCGACAACCTTGACGCCGAGGGCCTCAAGGAGGTCTTCCCGGCCTACCGCGCGGACGGTGCCGAGGCGAGCGCGACGATGGACCCTATCGCTGATCAAGTGTCCGAGTGCGCTGCGCAGGCGCTGCCTCGCGCAGCGGGCGTGCGCCTCACCCCGCGCGACCCTGCACAGCTTGCACACTGGCTCACCGAGGGCCACGCGGAGATGGACCAGTTCGAGCGCCCCGACGAGAGCGAGGGCCTCCGCTGCTGAGCAATGACTGGACTCCCGCCTTTTCGCACACAAAATCGGAGGATATTATTATATTTATGTATTTGCGCGCATTGACACTTTCCTGCATCATTTGTCTTCCATTAGAGCTTTCGGTTTCAAGGATCATCACACTGTACTCTTACCACATTGCAATCGAGGGTTGTTTCTTGACTTCTTATTGTGCGACGATGCTAGACGGAGTTACTGTAAGTTTGAGAAGAGAAGAGGGCAAAACTAGGTATGCTCACGAAGAGAACGCTCGGTGCTTCGAACTTGCTCCGATTACTTCGTTACTTCTCCGGGGCATTTGAGTTGTCGATGACCAGGGAAACCCCAAGACGGGTGGTGGACGTGTGAAAGTTAGCAGATACCAAGAGATGGAAGTAGGGAGACGAGGAGAGCTGTAGCTGGCATCAGCGAGCCTGTGCCCTCAGTACCATGAGAGGAAACTTCGGACCCGTACTATCCCACTGTAGTCTCATCCAAAGGTGCCAGCACAGCGTACGGACGAGTACCAGCAGAGAAGTTGTTGGTCTCGCTATAACGTCGAGGCTCTTCAGAGCGAATCGCAGCTCAGCTTTGGCTAGCGTGTCTTCGATAGGGATAACGTCGACCCGTACATTCTTCCTCTCAAGGATGCGCGGGAAAAGCCCAGAGGTTCATTCGTGCTGCCGTGAGCCCATTTGGCGTTGGCATGGTACTAGTCACCGTCTCGAACAGAGAACAGCGATGGAAGGCCGTGCACACACGCGTGCAGGAGCAGCACGGATGTATTGGAAGCAGTACGCATGAAAGGTGTACCGGGAGGTAAAGCTTGAGTTTATGACTGAGAACAGCGGCTCTGTAGATTTGTGGACCTACACGCTGCGACTGGCGACACCATGGTGGTCGACGTCGAAGCCGCTGGTCGAAGTCTCGAAGACGACGCGCTCGTGGCCGCCACAGGAACGAGGACAGCGGCGGGACCGGACCGTTTAGCCTATTTCGACGACTTACGTCACGCTCCGACCCGTCGCTGTCTTCCGCTCCCGACGAGCGCGCGCTCCGGTCAACCTTCAGAGCTTCAGATCCTCTACTTCTGTACGATACATACCCAAGAAGTGGAGATGCAAGAGAATGGAAGGGGTTCTGTCGGACCATCTTCAGGACCATCTTCTGTCATTTTGGAGAACATCGAGCCGCGGCAGAGGCGCATCTTATCTTTACGCTCCATTCGTAGCGGTCTCTGCGCCACGAAGTGATGCTCATTTGCGCCTCAAATTCAATACGCCATACTGCTCGCTGATAGCGATAGGCAAGTTCGAGTGCGAGGCACCGACGAGTAGGACGTACTACGTATATCGTGCTACCTTTCACATAGGAAAGCCAGCATGGCGTACGGTAAATACATACTGCTTGACAACCTCACCGACCGGACAACGCGAGCGCGAAGCCCTGCATGGCCCAGAACTTCCGGATGATGGATTCCGGGCCGCAGCGGCGATGGCCGAATGCGGTCTCAGACCGATGAGGTGCTGGGCCAGCTTGACCGCGAACGCTAAGAAATCGGTCGAGATACCCTCGAGGAAGAGACGCACTTCTTTTGACCTCACCGCTAGAAGTCGGCGCAGGCATTCCTGCGTGTATTCGGGCGCATTCGCATGCGCCGCCGGATCTGCGGAAGACCTCGGGACGGGCTGGAGGAGTCGTTCAATCGACGGAGAGAGGTTATCCCGACCTGAGCCATGTGTGATCGAGATCCATGGAAGAAGAAAAAGGATGACGGGCCGGTGAAGATAATGTTATACTTAAGCCTGGACAGCATCTCTCCTGGCCCTGCCGCTCTACTAGTCCTGCCAGCAGTGGCGTCGCTCGCCCACACGGCAGCGCGCACAAAACAATGGCTTTCCCAATGACACGCTCACACTCTCCGCCACCGCCGCACGCGCACGGCGACGAACTCCGTCGTACCAGCAACCTGCCAGCGTCCCGCTCTGAGGTCGATATCCTCGCGTCGGCGCTGCACAATGCGCTTTCCGGATTATCCACCCACCACGCCCGCGGCCACCCGGAACAGGACTCTACTGCTCCGGCACTGAAGCAACAGCACGGCCCCAGTCTTGAGATCATCCTTGCCAGCGATCTCCTTACCTTGCGCGGTGTAGGCGTTGACGTTGCGCCCACGCTCATGTCCGGACATGTTGTCTTGAACCTCACCGAAGCCACCGCTATCAAGGCGCTCACTCTTCAGTTCCGAGGAAAGGCCCGTCTACCCGCGCCGGCCTCCGAATCGTGCGTATTCAGATTCCCTTTCCTGTGTGGCACTCGTGTGACGTTGATCGCAACAGGATGAGCATCAACAACTCTGCATTGACATACCTGATCTGCAATCACGAATGGTCCTTCCTAGAAGGCGAGAAGAAACATAGCCATACGCTCAAGGCCGGCCGACATCTCTTCCCGTTTCAGCTCAGGATCGGTGGCAGTCTCCCCTCCAGTATCGCGACGTCCGCATTCGGCGGTGCCTCTGTCGCGTACAAGCTTCGCGCGACCGCCGTACGCCCTGGCCTGGCACATAACCTGCAGACTCAGATCCCTGTCTCGATCACGCGCTCCTTCACGCGCGAAGCCCTCGAGTATCAGCAGACGCTTGAGATCGAGAACACCTGGCCCGAGAAACTCATGTACTCGATCATGATCCCACACAAGGCTTGGGCTGCCAGCGATACCGTCGTCGCCGTTGTCAAGTTCTCCCCGCTAGCCAAGGGCGCACGCGTCGTGTCTGTGAACACGACCCTCAACGAGACGGTCAAGCTCTTTGCTCGTCAGGGTTGGCAGGAGACCACGAAGACGATCGTCTCGTCTAAGCACGAGATCATCGATGGCCGTGCCGTCTGCGTCGATCACCAGCAGGCGCGCACGCCACGCCACAGGCCTACCCATAGTGGCTCGTACAGCGGCCCGCACTCCATGCCTTCGACACCTGGCGGTTGGCGATCAGGTCCCCCAACTCCCGGTACGCAGACCCCAGGCGGGGGCGACGGCGGTTACTTCGGACATTCACCCTCGCTTCCCCAAACGCCCTACTCCGCCGCTGGCAGTTCGAATGGCTCGTACTTCAGTCCCGTTCCCGGGCAGTCCGCTGCGATTCCTGAAGATGGGCATAGTCCAGTGGCCGGTCCCTCGAACGCCTCGGTGTCGTCCGATGGGCAGCGTACGCAAGTACCCGTGGATTTTGAGGTGTCTGACTCGGACGTCGTAACGACGCTCGAGATCACTATCCCGCATCATGCAACACCCACGCATGCCCTTGAGCCGATTATCGTCAGCCATCGCATCCGCTGGAGTATCCTCATCGCCAACCTCGACGGTCATACATCCGAGCTGCGCTGCTCGCTTCCCTTGCACGTTCTCGATGGCCGCCTTCTCGAGGAGTCGCTTGCCGCGACTGCCACTACGCGCCGTCTGCTCCTTGGTGGGCCTGACGTACCAGAGGAAACGAGCGAGGAGCTCGAGTTGCCGAGCTACTCTTCACATGTGCGCGATCGTATCGCGAACCAGTACCTCCCCGAGCAAGCCGTCTTACGAGTGACGAACCCCTGGGTGCAGCAGAACTTGAGCCCAGTTCACCAAGACGGTAGCACGCCCGTTTCAGGCGTCGCTACACCTGTGCTTGAGGCCCATCACGTTCCGTTCGCCCTCAATGGGCAGCACAACTTGGAGTACGTCAACTCGGAGCTCCTGCTCTCGCTCACGTCTGAGGCGCCTCCGGCTCTTGAGCGCCACTCGTCGCATCAAACGCACTCGCCGCATAGTCCGCAGGATGGTCCTTCGCCGCCGCACAGCTCGCGCGCGTCACGCGCAGCCAGCCGCGTCGCCAGTCGCATCGGCTCCCGCGCGGGCTCACGGGCGGGATCGCGCGCCAACTCGCGCGCAGCCTCCCCCGAGCGTCATTCGAGCGGCAGCAACTCGCCTGGCGCCCACACCCCAGCGCCACCCGCACCGGAGGGTTCTACATTCGTCCATGCTCACTCAACCGCCTCCCGCAACCTGCAGGGTCTGTTCCAAAATAGCATGAAACCGTTCACACATATCTCGCCCTTCTCCCGCGCGCACCACCCGCCGCTACCGGCAGCCGCTCCGCCAACCCCGGGTACATCGCGCGCGGCTCACGGTGCGGATAGACCGGTACAGATCGTTAGGCAGCAGCCCAATACGAGTACCAACCTGCTTCATCGTGCGTTCACGGAAGTACCGGACTACGGCATTGCGAGCCGCGGCTTCCTCGGCGGTATACCTCCGCTCGAGAGCTACGCAGGCCTGCCTAGCTACGAGCAGAGTGAAGGCACGCTATCTGCCGCCTCGAGGAGCATGAGTGCTCCTGACCTCGCGGCAACCTTCGCGAGCATGCATGGGCCAGGACGGCCGAACGCTCGCACGCAGGGACCGCCAACCGCCACCCCCTCGCCGGCGCCGGCCGAAGCATGATACGACGGACTTCAAGGCTTGCTATAATGCTCGATGGTTGACCGCGATCGGACGCTATTTATGAGATAGACACCATGCATGCGTGACACGACGCCTCGATGCCCATGCGCAGAGGACACCCAGTCTGTATTTTTACCAAACGCGATTACACCCGCACTTCTCCCGCTTCGTTCTCTCGTACCCTCTAGCTCACCTCTCCGCACCCTCATGTCCCTTGCTCTCGCCCGATGTTGCCAGGACCTCCAACTGATACCTACGTACGCCTTCTCGTCCCGCGTCCGTCCGATACGAAATGAATCTAATGTACACGTACCCCATACTCTCCTCACTCTCCCGAATCACATGCGTCTTGCTTTGACCTTTCGCCGATCTTCAACATTCCCCCACTCAACAACTCAACGCTCTGACCTTCCGATCACCAGCTATAGACTTAAGGACAACCTAGACTTCTCCGCTCAACGCTCAACGCTCAACCACCACTCCCCGGCTTTCCTTCAACACGGCTCATGCTAGACACGGACACGCTTACTAGAACAGACTTAGACTCGGACTGGCTTGTACCACCTCATAGACATAGACGCTGCCACTGCCATAGAACTTAGACTCGCGGCTCTACACCTATAGGCGCATGGGGTCGCCCGTCGGCCCTGTACTCCTGCGGCGAGACTGTACTCATATCGCACGAATGCCCTTGAAGACTCTTGAAGTTCAGAGTAGCAGGAGTAGGCGCATGATGATTCTACAAGGCAAGGAGCGACAATGGAAGTCGATTAACCCTATGTAGTAAGATGAATGTAGCAGCCGCGCATGTCTATGGTACAAGGAGCAGCTAGCCCCGTTCACTGATGATTCTATTCTGTCTTGTGCTTCTTGAGATCGAGAGCAGGATCGAGCGCAGCTTCAGGCTGCCGGTAAGAACTGCCCAAGCGGTCTGCGAATGTGAAGTACTGAGCGGAATATGAGCCTTTGAATTGCTTTGCGATCATTGAAAAGCGAGGGACTGACCTGGCCGTAGTTCACGGTGAAGTATATATGGTGCAACGTATGGTGTGCAGGCCCGTTGACAAAGCGCTCCAAAGGATGCCCCGTCACCATCTAGAGAAACGTGAGCTTTCAACACCGTGAGAAATTGAGATTCATGCACGCACATCCGAGTCGTGGATCAGGATTGTCCAGAAGTTGACGAAGACAAATAGCCCTAGGAATAGACCACAGTGGAGAGGGAAGAGGAAGATGAATATATGATACGGCAGAGACTGGAAGTAGCCGTCGAGTGGGTGGAAGGCGTAAGCGGAGAAGGGTGTCGGAACTAGTAACAGCCAGTCAGAACAAGCACTCTATGCCAATCGGTGACAACGTACTGATCCATTTGTGGTGCGGCTTGTGCAGCCACCTGTACACAGCCGGATGGTGCTCCAGGCGGTGAACCCAGTAGATCAAGTAGTCGGTGAATGTCAAGAACCTGGGTAGACTGGTCAGCGCAATGCATACGCGAGAGTGCATGACGTTACATACATTAACGAAGATAGTGCTAGGTACACGTATCCGTACTCGGCTGGATCGCTATACAGCTTCGAGTAGCCCATGACTTCGGCTTGGAACCAGGGTAGAGTGAGAAGCATCATCGCTGGGAATGCGCGTAGTGACGACTCGATCTCCATACGGACTTGGCCCTTGAGGAAGCGAGGATGATTCATCATGTCGTGGTTGAAGATGAAGTAGTACGACAAGGTGGAGAAGATGAAGTAGAGAGCATGGACACCGAGGAGTGTGATGACGGCGAGCGATATAAGTTGCCGAGGGATGTAGTCTCGAGGCCACGCCGAGACCGTAGCAGCAGCGGTAGATCCCAGCGAGCTCAATAGCGGCGGATGAGGTAGATGTGATATGACTGTCTCCCATTTTGAAAGCGAAGCCACGGCGAGTGGCGTTGCGAAGGTTGCGTTCATGGCTGTAGCGCCATCAACGAACGCGGTGACAGGGACAACGCGCGCCCAAACAGCGTCCAGGAAATATTCGTCGGCAAGGTTCAGGATGAGATCCATGCTGAGTAAGGTCGGTGGGAGGACGATGTACGAAAGTGTTGACAACGGATACAAGTATGTTTTGGCGAGGCATTTATGATGGTCCGATTTCTATAGACGCGGGCCGGGAGCTGAGCCTGGGCGGCGTGCGGGGCCTCCGGCTGGCACCAGATGCGCCGGTGTTGCCTTTCGCTTCCGATAGAACGCCAACATGGCTCGAGTCTTCGTGTGGCGACTTGGAGCGACGATATGGACATGGCCTGACCGGCCTGACCGGGCCATGCGTATGTCGTCGACGCTCGCCCACACCGACCCTCGTGAATCACAGAATTGCCCGAATTTTCTCGTCACCGTCTTCGGAATCGATTCACACCGAGATCATTAGCCTGTGCACTTTCAATATTGTCAAGAACAAGATAGCGTGCATCTTGACCCAGGGTGAAGGTGAAGAGCAAGTCGACGGTCGTGCCTGCGGTGGTTGTGCGAGCCGCGAGCGTGTTGAATTTAGTTCGGGTTTCGGGCCGGTAACCCCGCATTGCCTTGCCGCCGGCGAGACTCGTTGCCTCCTGCCATGACGGCAATGAACCGAATGCACTCATATGGCCCCCCTCACTGCACCTAGCTGATGGCTTCCAGAGAGAATGAAGGAATGTCCTCGCCATGACCCGTCCAGGCGTTCGAAGTGCACTTATGTCCGTGAGGCATGAGTAAATCAACCGTAGATCTCACACGGGCGTGATGGTGAAGACCGAGGTCCCCCACTTGTCACTTACCCTCACGAAGACGCGGACCTGTCGTGAAGAGGCTCACTCGAATCTTGACTATGTCTATAGTACAGCGTGCTGGGCACACCGAGGACGGTAGCCACACCGTCCCAGAACCACGACCCCGAGCTATCTGTGTGTATCATCGCCCGATCCAGTCATAGACGCTCATGCATCCCCTCAGTAATCAGTGCAAGGCTCAGAAAGGATGCGAAGGGGGCCGTCAAAGCTGCTATAGACATGCTCGGCGTTGCGGCTTCTGTCACGCAGAGCGTTCCATATATCGGCGTCATTTCTGCCATTCTCGCTGAGCTGCTGAAGATTCAAGACGTAAGCGCTGTGCCTCCTTAATCCCGATCAGGCGACTGTGTCATAACGGCCAACGCAGGAAGTCAACACCTTCAAGTCCGAATGCCACGCATTGCTCGCCATAGTCCTTCTGATCAAGACGGTGGTAGACAGGGTGCAAGAGCAATGTGTGGCGTCGGGCAAAGGTGCCGACGAGTTACCCGCGGGATTGATTGAACCCTTTGAGGACCTCGAACAGTGCGTACTCTCACATTAGACTTTGCTTTACTGGACTCAAGTCATCATAGATGCATCGTCAAAGTGCTGGAAGTTCTTCATGCTTGCACAAACACCTCGTCAAGGCTCAGTAGTCGCATACGCCTGTATCTCAATCGCACTGAGCTCCTGGCCAACGTGAGGCAGTGTCGCATAGACATGCAGACAGCACTGGACCTCTTCAATGTGCGTATCTCCATGACTTGTCGTCTAAGACCCTCTCAATTGGTGACTAGGCGAGACTGCACATACTGAATACATTCGCGATCCGTGACCAATGCAAGAAACTGGAAGGCCAAGACCTGAAGCTTGACATGCTCTTGGAGAGACGCAAGGCACGTAGCTCTACGAGCAATATGCATCCTTACCATCTCAAACTCGAGATCCAGGTTGCGTTACTCGAGCGAGAGCCCCCAAAGAGGTACATTCGAGAAGACATCGTGTCTTATGCCATCTAGCTAATTCACCTTCACAGTCGCGATGCTCAACTTCCCCCTGCACCTTCCGTATTTCATGGCCGTATTCGGGAAGTCCAACATATTGTAGACGTCATATTGCACAAGGCTCCCGCTCGCATCGGCATATTGGGACCTGGTGGCATCGGCAAGACGGCAATCTCTCTCAGCGCTCTACACCACGTAGAAGTCGATGCCTTGTATGGCCGTCGCAGATTCTTTCTATCATGCGAAGCCATATATACTGCTGAAAGTCTCGTACAAGGGCTACTGAACCTCTTCACGATCGACTACTTAGACGGCCCTCAGGGCGCAGGATCACCTCTGGATGTGTTGCTTTCACATATGCGAACGACTCTGGATGGGACGCTACTCTGCCTGGATAACCTCGAAACTCCTTGGGATGCAGATACTCACGCCATCGAGACTCTTCTTTCCAACATCACTGCATTGCCTCATGTGGCATTGCTCATCACCACCCGAGGTGCAAGCCGCCCGAGGGGGGTCTCGTGGACGCAGCCATTCCTTCCACAAGTTGAACCTCTGACCTCTGAGTCCGCATTAGCAGTATGGGATGCCATCTGCGAAACCCATGACGACTTCTCTCTGAAACTCGTGCGGGCAGTGGATCATGTACCTCTCGCCGTCACGATCCTGGCGCACCTTGCTGAAAGCGAGTCATCCCATGCACTCTGGACCCGCTGGGAACAAGAGCAAACCGAGCTCCTTCGCATACACGGACCAACGCACCGCCTCTCGAACGTTGACATATCCGTCCAATTGTCACTCAACAGTCCTCGCCTGCGCGGTGACAAAGAGCTTCTGGAGTTCTTCGGCGTACTGTGCATACTACCGCAAGGCATGCTCGAGTCGCGCATATCGACCTTCGTTGGTGCATACAAGGATCAACTGCCGAACATGCGCCGTTCCATCACACTTCTCAAGCAATGCTCGCTCGCGTACCCATCGAGAGATGGCTATCTTCGCGTTTTGTCCCCGGTGCGGCACTACGTGCAAACCTATCACCCTGTATCCAGCAAGCTGTTCCTACGTGCATCGGAGATGTACCGCGCCTGGGTTGACTGCGAGTTCTCCGACTTCGGCACGAGATCGTCTTACGCGAGGGAGAAGCTGCAGCCAGAGCTCTCCAACATCTCTGCTGTCTTGAGACGCTCCCTCCGCGACGAGGCTTGCCACGTAGACTCGACTTTGAGGGCTATTCTAAACTTCTCTCGATTGAGCCAGATCCTATTCGTCTTTGACGCGCCTATCCTGTCAGAAGCTATAGATTGTGCACGAAGGAATGTTCTACTCCAGTCCGAAGCAAACCTCCTGCTCGAAAAGGGAAAGACGCACTTCTTCCAGTTTCAGAGAGACGATGCACTCTCCGTGCTTTTGGAGGCGCGGCCTTTGTATCAGCGCCTGCAGGATAAAGCAGGAGAAGCAGAGTGTCTGCAGGCTACCGGGGACGTTCTCCGGCTTCTTGATCGCATACGAGAAGCCATCAGCACCTTTCAACTCGCATTGAGCCTGTTCGTGGAGATTGGATACCGGCGAGGCCAAGCCAGCACCTTGACGAGATTGGGAGAGCTACAAGTTCGCTCAGGATTGCTTGATGAAGCGGAGCACTCCTTGCGCTCAGCACTGCAGCTATATAGCAACGAAACAGGCGTGCGTTTGGGAGAGGCCAACGCCATGCGTCATCTGGGCGGCTTGTACGTCCGGCTCGGCCGAGTTGACGACGCCGAGAACGCTTTGCGATCAGCGCTCCGACTATATGATGCGATCAACGCTACCCTGGGAAGGGCAAACACTTGGCTGATCATGGCTAAGTGGTACCTCCAGCTGGAGCGATTTAGAGAAGCAGAATCCGCCGCGCAGCATGCCTTGGACATCTACCTTGACATCGGAGGACGCATCGGCGAAGCGCACGTATTGAACTGCGTTGGGCGGCTGTATACCCGGACCAATCGACTGGCAGAGGCAGAGCGGACTCTACAGTCGGCTCTTGCTTTGTATCAAGCACTTGGCAATCGACTGGAGGAGGTCAACGTCATGAACCTCCTTGGGTTCGTGTATCGCCGACTGGGTCGTTGGGAAGAGGCCGATACCATCCTTCGCTCTTCCGCTGACATCTGTCAGCGTGACGCCTTTGTGCTGGCTCTAGGTACATCCCACCGCTATCTGGGACTCTTACAACGCGATCGCGGTTTTTTGACCGAGGCGAAAGCATCCTTCGAACAAGCCTTACGCCATTATGAAAACGGTCACCATCCCGAGAGCGTTGCGCGCGCCCTACGAGATCTATCATCATTCGATGCGTTGGATAGGGATGATAGCCTTGGGGCTTCTCTGGTGGACTTCCCAGATATCTCTCTATCCGACCCAGAGACAGCCTCGATACGGGTAGAACATCCTCTTCCAGCGGCACAGTTCTTAGTCAGCAGGGATGTGTTTCACAGTGCAGAATAGGAGAGGGAAACATGTTGTACACATATAGGTTCACGGTAATCGCAATGCATTGAGCGGTATTTGCTGAGGACGCGGGCAACAGGTATCGGTCCAAGTCTTGGCTGCATGTTAGCGCAGCCAACGACAGCCAACGACTCGGCGGCTTTTGGTACTGTCGTCTTCCGCTGTAGGGATAAGCCTACAGCGTAGAGGTTCGAATGGGAAGAGATGCAGGTGACTGTAGATATTCTACATATGTACAGCGGAAGCGGTGGTGGTACAACCCGAAGTTGCATGGCCGCCGACGCGTTTTGTGATGCCGCGCGGATCAACGCGCCGGGCCCCTCGGCCCGGACAGGCTCGGTCACAGCTCACCCAGCTGGCCTCGCATACTGGTTCCGATGCAGACATATGTAGCGTGGGCGAGCATTCAATGGAAAGCGATCGTCGTCAAGCGCGGTGGCGCCGCGTCAAGCTTTCGCGCTTGACACGGCCTCACATTGCACAAGCTATCAGTGAACATTGATCAATACGAACTCTCATGCAAACACGAAGCTCGTCTACAAAGGCATGATAGCACAAACATACAACGCATATGTAGCGACCTCAACCTTGCGGTCAGGTCGCATACGCCTCTTCTTTGCCGTAGGTACTTTCGACGACCTCAATCTGTACCTGTTTCATGAAGCGCTGCAGACGCGCATCCCTCCTAATCCCCTTTACGGCGCTCTCCGTATTCCTGCAGGCCTTGAACTCGATCAACCTCCAAGTCCCACACAAGCCGTGCGTATAACATTCCGCCAAAGTATCGATCAAGCCCCGCTCGAAGTAGACAGCCAGTCTGCGGCTGGAATGCTCGTCAAGCCGCGGACCCACGCGAGAGGTGAGGTGAGTCTGGAAATCGACGTTGGTGAATCGGATGATCTGCAGCGTGGGGAAGCGGCCGGCAATGGTCGAGAAGGAGGGTTGTTCCGCAAAGTCCCTGGCCGCATTACGGGAGAGCGTCAATGTATGAACGGCCACAAATGTAGGCAGTAATCGCAGTAGAGGAGGGCTATCAGACCGGGTGATGTGCAGCTCTTTCGCTCCCAGAAAGATAGGAATGGAGAGGTACAAGGAGCTGGCGTGTCTCAAGGTTGAGCCCCACTGGTCGTGCGGGATCACGAAACGGACCGCAGACGGAAGGAACGAGGAGTCCGATATCTGGCGTGCGGTGTCGGGTATGATGACGCGGTCCTTGATCGAGACGACATCGTAGCTCTGCCCTCGTGCCGTTGCGGGCGCGTAATGGGCTTGAAATACACCCACACTCAATTAGCAGTGTTCTGTGCAGGCATTGGGGATCGTGTGGACAGCGTCCTCATCGACCATGTCTCCCAGACCGAGCATGTCTGCCCTCATGTCCAAGATTGTGGTAGGAGGGAGGGCACAGTAGTTGAAAACGGCGATGGCAGGCACAAATGTGCTGTATGGTGGTACTGTGTATCTGGACCCTCCCCTTTCATTCAGCAGTTGTAATCGCCTCAATCGCGGTAGAGAGGCACTGCGCGGAGCGAACATTTTGGAGGGAAGAAAATCGACGCGTTGTCGCGCCGTTTCGTCGATGTCGTCGATGTCGTATTGATAAGTAAGGTCTTCGAGGTTTGGAATAGCCCTAAAGACCTCCACCATCTCGTCTACGTTACGCCAAGTGCAAACATCCCTGACGTCCAGAACGCGGAGGCTCTCGGGCCACACACGGTTTGAGGGGCTGAAGTCGATGTTCCGAATAAACGCGAATTGTAAACGCCGGGGACACGGTTCCTGGAAAAGAGGGTGCGATACACAGACCCTCGTAGCGGTAGAAAGCAAGAGCGCTTCAAGCAAGGGAGCCTCGGCGCGAGATATAGAATCCAATACAGCCTCGAAAGTTTTCACTGCTTCGGATGTGTGGAACCCATGGTTTAGGTTCTCGGCCTTGAACGTATGAGCACGGGCAATCTCTCTAAGAGCAAGATCCCGTCCCGCCGTTCCCGACCCTGTGCCGTTGACGACAATGCGTAGATTCAGTGGAACTTGTTGAGATCGTGCACAACATATATCGGTCCAGCGCTCAGCTCTTCCATAGCGCGGCCAGTGACTCCAAAGCTGTGGACAGGAGAGCGCGATCTGACGCCAACGCCTTGACACTTGCGAGGGCGGCACGGAGGAGGGTGCTTCGTACGGGCTTTGAGTACCGTCGTCTTCCGCCGCGATGAGAAAGATACGGAGTATCAGTTCTGGAGGCAGAGACTCGATATACGCTGGCAAGAAGACTAGTTCGTTTGATTCCATATGAATGGTACACCCTGCGGGATGGCGGTGGTCATGGACGAGGTTCAGCCTGCCTGTCGCGCCGATCGCTCCGAGCGATCAACGCGCCGGACACGCCCGAACGTGACTTGCCACAACTTCACCTCCTTCCATCATAAGCTACCTACACCTCAGGGCCCTCGCGCTCGCACCAAAACCTTATGCGCTCATGCGTAGCGCGGGCGACTGTATCGTCGGCATTTGCCGCTACCAGACACACTACGACATCTGCTAAGCGCGCCGCGCGTCAGGTCCACCGTGGTTACGCTTCTCTGGTCAATGTCGATACCGCGTCCCATGAGCTATCTCCAAATATTTCCAAAGAGGGCTCTTCACGGAGACTGTCCTCAACAAGGCTGGATAATGCTCAGACTCTGACTCGCCTGCACACTGTTCGCGGATTACTTCCACGCGTGCTGGCTCCAGATTCTCCCGAACTCGCTTTCTGGAATAAGGCTTTGGAGGAGGCAGCGGACCAGTTGAGCGGCCCGCTTGCCGAGGACAAGACTTTGAATGTCGTAGGTATGTCAAGCGTACATGTGACCATATTCCGAAGGGCTCAACGTTTACTACAGTGTATTCCATGGACGAACAGGCTGGCGGGTCTGCCATTGTACAGGCGCTACTCGAAGACCCATTCTCCACCGAGGCGGATCTGATCGAAGTTCGTGAACGATGGAAGGGAAAGGGCAACTCTAGCCGGATAGACATCAGGTAATGTCCTCGTACGTCTCAATGCTACACTCGTCTGACCCAGACGCTCAATAGAAGTGGACCACCGCCAATGCGTGCTTCTACGTCGACAGAGGCCTCGACATCTCAAGCCATCTCATCCGACGTCTACCTGAAGTCTAACTTCTTCGCTTCGATTCCAGCTCCAGTGCAGCTCACAGAACTCCGACCGACGTCCCATGCACCCTCGCCAGACACACTACGTCTATTATATTCTGCAGACGTCCCCATTGTGGTCGTCAACCCTCTAACGACCCCCCTGCCATTCCTATCCCCGTTAACGGACCCATTCCACTCGTCCGAGAACCTCTTCCCATTCACCCTTCCGCCGCACGCGTTGGTCCTCGTCGCATCGGCCTCACCAGCCTCTTCATCTGAAGCTGCGCAGGAACGGCTCGGACGTAGTCTCGGCGTTCCCGCATCCCATATCCTCTTCGTGGATCCCAAACGCGCCGAATCAGCAGCACACGCTCTCGGCAGTTCGACGCCCACAGCTCTAAACGTTCAGCGTTACCACGACGATTCCTTAGGATCCGGACTGAGTGGACTCCGCCAAACGCTCGCAAAGTTGCTCGACCCAACATCAAAGCCCCGCGCACGTCAAGCCGATGCACTTCTCCGTGCCGCCTTGGTCACCTCGCAAGGCGAGCTTGCGCGCGCTACTGCCGAGATGTCTGCCGCGTTGCATACGGCTACCGAGCTTTGCCAACTTGCCTCCACCGCGCGAGCGTCGGCGGACAATTTAGTGTTGGGCACCCCATCTCCATCCTCGGGCGCAGGGCGGGACAATGTCCAGGCAGCGCTGGTATCCGCGGACGAGATCGTGCGGCCAGTCGTTAATGCCCTCTGGCCTCAACCGTTACCGGCCGTGGCGCTCGGACCGGGAGAGAACAAAGCTATAGGCTACGCTCGACGATGGTCCGCTTTCTGGCGCAGATTGCTACCCCGACTGAAGCTATCTACACTCGGAGCCGCAGATGATGTTGCGTGGGTCATTGGACAGGCTGTACGGAATGCATGGACAGGAGGTATCGAGCGCACGGTACGCTTTCACGCTATGCATGGAGCCTACGACCGCATTCTGATATTTTCTTCAGCTGCTACCGGCATACTCCCCTCTATCACCCCTCCAAGCGCGCACAACAGCCGAAGCGCTCAACCGGCTCGCAGCACTACCGCCCAGCCTACGCTCATCGCTCCTACACAACACCCTCCAACAACTTTCCCACGCGCCGGACTACCCACTCGTCCCATCAGCGCTCTTGACACCGCTCTCCGCGCGCCTGCGCAGGCTGAACGAAGGTCCCACAGCCGTGCTCGGTCGTTCTGCGCAGACCCTCGCCGCACGCGTTGCTGGATCGGCTGTGGGTGGTGTGGGTGTCGCAGGCGGCACACTCGCATGGACACACGGTGCCGACGTACTTCTCGGCTCCGGGATGACCGCATTGTCGAGCGACATTGGCACAGCCGCAGGCGCCGGCCTTCTCGTTGCAGTGGGCGGTGTACGCTGGGCCCTCGGCCGGTGGGAACGTGCCCGGAAAGCGTGGCTGGCGGACTGGGATCGCATGCGAGAAGGCGCAGAGCGCGAGTTGAAAGCAGAGTATGTGCGGGTTATGGAGGAGCAGGTGTTGAGGGTGCCGGTGAAGGCGAAGGAGGGTGTTGAGGATCTTGTGGCGAAGAGGAAGCTCGAGGTTGATGAGCTGGTGAAGGAAGTGCGGAAGATCGAGGAGTGCTTAGTGAAGGAGGATAGTAAGTAGGATATATATTGCTAATCCATTTATGTTCCTTTCAGTGTAAGGGTGGATCGGACCCCGTCGAACACATTTGGAAGCAAGTTGTCGCACCTGCTGAAGTCCATCTTTCAAGGCATACGCGTCATACGCGCGAACGCAACTTCGATTCCGGCAGAAAGATCGCTCTCGCGCAGCATTCATTCTAACACTCATGAAAATGTCTCTCGCTCCGTATGGCTGCGCAAGCCTTCGGGAGCCGGCGTGATGCATGGTGAACCATCACGGTATGAAGCTGAACGCCTAGTCTATAGACCCTCTAGCCCGGCGCTCAAACACTTCGGCTTACGCCTTTACACTTGGATTTATTGCCTCCGAAGAAAAGATCTAGTGGAATGCAACTCGCTCGTATTGAATGTCGGCCGGTTCTGAAAGCGCACGAGGAGAATACGCGATGGCAGCCACTTAAGAAGGATCCAGTCATACTCACCGGAAAGCGATCACAGATCTGACAAGATGCCCACAGTCGATCCGACGTACCCTCTTTACCCCGCCGCTTCATTCATGGCCGCTATGATGTTGCTCCTGGTGCTCTTTTTGACCCTCATTCACAAGAGCTGGAACCTGGGTGTGTTGTTCTTGAACTTCTGGCTCTTGTCGGAGAACTTAGTGCGAGGAGCCAACGCGATTGTGTGGTCTGACAACGCCGAAATCAAGAACTTCATATACTGCGACATCGGTAGGCGTGCTCACCTGGCGTATTAAGTCATGACTGAGACCTTGTGCAGCTTCACGTGTACAGCTCATCACCTACATCGTGAAACCTATGGCCACCTTGATCATAACTCGCCGATTATACTTAGTCGCAAATCTTCGATCAGCGAGCATGTCGGACACATCAGCTGTACGTGACGAATGCCACTCCTGAGTCCACGCATACTGATGCCTCTACAGAGACGCAAAGAACTCATCATAGAATGGACGTTGGGCCTTGGCATACCCTTGTTAGTCGCTGGGCCCTTCTGTGAGTCTTCTCTGGGGAATCTAACGAGCTACCCGCGTGCTTATGCTGATCACAGACTACATCGTTCAAGGAGCTCGATTCTCCGTGTATGAGGGGTTCGGATGCCAAACCGCGCCGGATGGCTCGACTCTTCACGTTTTACTCTTTCACTCGTGGGCGGTCTTTACCCCGCTGCTGTCAATCACACTTTATTGCCGTGCGTAGAGCAATCACAGACGGGCTCAACGCATTCATCAGTGCTTACACCATATTCAGCCAGGATAATCTGGGTATTCTACCATCACTGGCAGTCGCTGCGCCATCTTCCGCAGACCTACAACAAACCCGTATCGCGCATCGACTACGTCCGCATCTTCGCCATAGCGAGTGTCGACGCCTTGTTCACATTGCCCATCGGGATTGTGAACGTCACGCTGCTCGTGCAACAATCGCTGAATCAGTTCGGTCATTACTACTTGTACACGGGGTGGAAGGCCTTGCACGGCGATTGGACGCCACAGGCGATCTCATATGCCGACTTGGCGAGGAAGGGGACGACCGAGGTTGTGGAAGTCTACTTCACTCATTGGACCTCGCCCATCCTCGCCTTTGTCGCCTTTGGGCTCTTCGGATTCACGAAGGAGGCACGAGAAGCGTACTGGGGCGCTTTCCGCACTCTTGGCAGCTGGGCGGGCAACAAGCCGGTTGCACCCTCGTGCGGGTCTTGCTCATCTCTGGACGCAACGGAGTTCGGCGAGCGCGCGTAGATTGTGGGCGATGACACGTTTGTTTCCATCGCTTCATCTTGCCCACGCTGTTCGGCTGACTATTGATGGTCAGATTTCATCTCATGGGCTGCATAGCGGCCTCATAGAGTGCGCATCCATGTAGATCGAGGTCCCGACAACAGTGCCGCCCATATGACTAGGAGCAGGGCTCAAAATCCTCCCACGACCACTTGAACTCCGCATCATCATCCACCATTTCTACCTTCTTGATATCTCCCTCCCTCCATGCCATGATTGTACGAGGTGCATATACAATTGCCTTGTAACCTTCCAGTAACATCGTCCGGATCGTTTCATGTTCCCGCCTGAAGCTATTCGAGTATGTGAGTTGCATCTCCGGCGATGCGTTTCCGGTTCGGAGGAAGAGTGCCGTCGTCGCTGCTCGTGGTGTCTCTGAGCTGAGAGGGCCTGCGAGCTCGGGAGGTGGCAGCGACAATACCGAGTCATACAACACTCGGACGTGTTCCCGCGTTGTCGAATCAATCAAGCGCCAGTGGCATGTCGGATCATTACGCGCGCTCAGAGGTAGCGTGTCGACAGTACCAGCACGGGCGGCGAGCAAGTCGTCGGTCAGGTTATTTCGAAAGATGAATGCACCATCGCGGGCAGTTGCTGTCCATTTGTGATTCGGATTATGGGGCATATACCTTGATATCTGATAACAGCACGCCGTCAGAGTTGAACGAGGGGATGCTGTAACGGTTCCCACGTACGTTGATGTGCGACCCACCCCAGTGATCGAGAGTGTACGGATCGGCAGCGCCGCTGAGTATAGCAAAGCGGTCGAGTCGATAGTTATCGATGTACAGAAACGACCAAGAACTGGCAGACGAGGGTGAAGAGGTCAAGACAACGTTCGGGTCTTCAGAGTCTTCAGTTTCGATTCGGGTTGCGTAGGTCCCCGTTTGAACGTTTTGTAGCAAGAGACGACGGCGATGTAGAGCGGGGGATACACTCGACCCTGGAGGTAGCGAAGCGAGAGGTACGAGTTGCCATTCTTGGGAGGCGCTGGGTGCTGCGTTCTTGACGCGAGTTGCGTGCAAGTTGCGGCATTCAGAGCTGTCTCTGGGACAGAAGCCGTCTAAAACGGTCGGAAGACTGGCACTTCGGATTGTGCAGAAGTCTCCACTAGACAGTTCGTTTCATGAGCAAGCTGTATATCCTAGTAACTCGCGCGGACTCACGAAGGTTCTTGTCTCGTACCCCAGAAAGACCAGATCTCATTCCCCGCGCCAGGCTCCCATGGAAAGCCTCCAACCTTAGCCCCGTCACGAGCATGGTTATGAACAACATTGAGAGCGTATCCTGTGGCCAAACTCCGTATGACAAAGTCAAAGTCCTTATGGGCATGCCTCTGAACGACCCACAGTTGCGTTTGTGATGGCCGCGTTGTGAAGGGCACCATGAAAGCATGTACCGCTTGTACATGGCCGTAGGGCTTGAAGTCCTCAACCTCTGCGACGTTACCGTTGGCCGCATTCCTGATCAGGTATATGCCCTCCTGAACGCGAAGTGGGCGGTCTATGATAGGGTCTGAACGAGCCTGAATAGCAAGTGATCAATCAAGCCTGAGTTGCCAATGAGAGGGTGGCGAGTACGCACAGGGGGTGGAGACACGGACAAGTTGGCCAGTTGTTGTATCATCACCTCCTGTTGGCGTCGAGTGGTTACGTCTGATTGTATCTGTCTGAGGTAGTGAGCAATGGTTCATCGGGGTAGAAGAGGACATGTCACGAACCTGGAAGATGTGAAACGCGTGCGTCAACTGAAGATCCAGAGCTTTTACCGAGGCGGCATCTTCTGACTTGTTCCATAACTTTCTCAAGGTGCCCCGAGAAGCCTTCTCCGCGGCAAACGAAAGTATGTCGTTCATGGTACTGGAGCGAGGCGACAGTCGTGAGTCACTGGCCGAGTACACTGTCAAGTCGGGAGGGTACGCACTTGGTGAGCTGGCGAAGATCGCTCTCAAGATGGGCGGCCAATGGTTGTAGGCCATCGCATGACCGAGCCACTGCTACGATTACATCCTTTGCGCGAAGTGCCAGATTTCTGAACATATCGTTCGTAATCTGCATCTCCTATAATTGCACGGTTGAATGTCAAACTTAGTCCGTCTACGAAATAACTGACTAACAATCACATATTGTAGAAGCTGTACTCCGACTGATGCGAGGTATTTCACGAAGGGCATCGTGTCCACAGCCTCCAGCACATCCCTCAGGGCGCTTAGCCCCGCTGACGCAGTGCCGAGAGAGCGTGATCCCTCACCGCCGGAGATCATCTCTCTGAACGGTGTAAATAACCTTTCAGAGCTTGATGAAGAGGAAGGGGTAGGTGTGTGTAGACTCCGAGAAAAGCCTAGAGATGGACGCGGAGTTGATGGCAAAGGCGGTGGGCCCGACGAAGAACGATTGATGGGTAGATCCATCTCGATAGGACAAGAAGAAGCAAGGTTATCAGAGAGGGAAGTGATCCCTTCTTTGTATCTTCGAGGGATACAGAAATTAAGACCTTCACAGTTCGTAGGGCGATCAGGGTGGCTCTGGGTGGCTGTTGCGACAGTGATGGTCGGGGCGCACAGACAAGCACCGCTTCAGCGCTTCAGCGCGTGTCAAGCGAAGCGCGCGAAGCTCGTGATCTCCCGGTCGCGCAGTTGTGCCTATTTCAAGACAGTCAAGAGTATAGTGCCACTCCGCAAGTTTTGCAGCGATACATCCCTCGCTTGGCCATGAGCGACAGACTAGGAGGACGCTGGACGCAAGAGCAGTTGAACGAACTCATTAGAGCGCGTGGGAGCTTCTCAACGCGACCCACGTGAGCTGCAAATACAGTCGCGTCATCGCGTCGTGTCCCGCGTTGAACCGGCCGGCGGTTCGTGGTGGACATCACCAGGCTACTAGCTAGATCTCATATACCGCAGCCATTATCACGTATGTCCTGTTATGCGAGTTGAATTGGGTCGGGAAACGGTTTTCTGATTCCCTCTCGGGATGATCGATGAGGCCTCAGGTCTCAAGCTGGTATTGGTCCCTTCGCGCTTCGCGGTGCACGCAAATACAGCAAAGTAGAACATGCGCGCCCGCACATGCTCTGCGCTGGAAACTAGATCCCATGCAGTTAGATATGAAATACATAGTGTGGGTCTGTACGTATAAAGGAGGCATGGGTTGCCAGTAGAAACACTCATGAGCACGGCTCAAACTTCTTCGACGACCACTTGAACTCAGAATCGTCGTCCTCGATCCTCACTGACCTTACCTCCCCTTTCCTCCAGCCAGATATGACCCGAGGCGCGTAGACAATTCCCTGATACCCTTCCTCTAACATGGTGCGGATGGTTGCATGCTCCCGCTTGAAGTTGTTCAGGAGGGCACGTCCTAGCTCCGGCGATGCATCCCCAGTTCGTAGAGTGGGCGATGTCGACACTGGTAGATGCTGTGAGGGCGCTCTGGAAGGGCCTGCAAGTTCGGGTGGAACTATGGACAGCGCAGAGTCGTACAATATACGAATGTGCTCGTTCGTCGTCGCATCTATGAGCCGCCAGTGACAGGCTGGATTGTCGCGCGCACTAAGCGAGAGTGTGTCAACAACACCTGAGCGCGCTGCTAGGAGTGCGTCGGTAATGTTGTTCTTGAGAAGGAAAGCGCCATCGCGAGGAATTGCTATCCACTTGTGGTAGGGATTCTCTGGCCGATATCTCGCTAGCTGTCAGGGCGAAGCGGGTGAGTGAACAAAGTAGTTCGATCATCTGAGCACTCACATTGATGTATTGTCCGCCCCAGTGATCAACAGTGAACGGACGGGCTACGCAACTGAGAATAGCAAAACGATCACGACGAATGGTGTCGATGTATAGGAAGGACCAAGTGCTATTGGTAGGCGACGATGTCGATAAGACGACATTAGGTCCCTCGAGAGTCTCAGTCCGAGTTGCAAACAACCCTGTTTGTACGTTTTGCAACATCAACTGGCGCCGAGGGAACGGAGAGACCGTATTTGGTGTCGCATGCAGGGAGGAACTCGGGCTCGGCGAGAAAGAAACAGGTATGAGTCGCCATTGTTGCGAGACACTGGATCCTGCATCTGCAATGCGGGTGGCATGCAGGTCGTTGCATTGCGCATTTGTGGTTCTCGGGCATACGCCGTCGAGAACTGTTGGCAATCCCGTACTCCGTATGGTACAGTAGTCGCTCCTGATAAGATACACTGCGTGAGTCCAGCTTCAGAATCCAGTCTGTCTCGGAAGAACTCACGACTCCCCCAGTCCAGCTCCCCAGAAAGACCATATCCCATTACCCTGACCAGGCTCCCAGGGATACCCTCCGACCTTAGCGCCTTCCCGATCCGAGTTATAGACAATGTTGAGAGCATAACCCGTGGCAAGGCTATGAATGGTGAACTCGAGATCCTTGTTGGCGCTCTTCTGTATCAACCACAGCTGAGCCTGTGATGGGCTCTCGGAGTAAGGAACCATAAACGCGTGGACTGCGAGGACGTGGCCGAAAGGCTTGAAGTCCTCGATCTCCAGGACTTTCTTACTAGCAACGTTCCGAATGAGATAGATGCCTTCCTTGATGCTTGAGGGGCGATCCACGTCCCGACCTGGTTCCGTTCGCGGCTACGGACAATCGTCAGGCGACGAGGTGTAGGGGCATTAGGACTCGGCTCACAGGACTCAGCGGTGGTGACGCAGTCAAGTTTGCGAGCTGCGTTATCATTAATTCTTGTTGCCTGCGAGTAACAACATCCGACTGAATCTGGGAGAGTGTCAATATCAGGAGCGAAGGACGTAAGCATAATGTGACGAACCTGGAAGATGTTGAATGAATGTGTCAGTTGTATGTCGAGTGCCTTGACCATTGCGACGTCTTCAGACTTGTTCCATAGTTTTCGCAAGGTACCTCGCGATGCTTTCTCAGCAGCGAAGGCAAGAATAGAGTCCATAGTACTGGAAGTATGACAGTTCATTGCGATGCCTCTATATGGCAAGACTGACGACAGACCTGGTGAGTTGACGAAGGTCACTCTCTAGTTGAAAGGCCAGGGATTGTAGGCCGTCACAAGAGCGCGCTACGGCTACGATCACGTCCTTCGCGCGCATTGCAAGGTTCTTGAACATGTCGTTCGTGATTTGCATCTCCTGCGAGGACAATGAGCGAGCGAATGGAATGGGCCACGGCGGGGCTCACGATAACATATTGTAAGAGTTGCACTCCCACAGACGCGAGATATTTCACGAATGGGAGCGTATCAACTGCCTCTAACACATCCCTCAACGCTCCTAACCCAGCCGATGCCACTCCCAAAGAACGTGACCCTTCGCCGCCAGATATCATCTCCTTGAATGGGGTGAATAGTCGGTCGGAACTCGACGGAGAAGCGGAGCGGCTACGAGCATGAAGGCTGGGTGCACTCAGTGAAGGGCGTGAGCTAGATGGTGTAGCTTGAGAGCTGGATGGAGTCGGGCTCAGACTCGTCTGGGGACTGGGCGAAGCCATTGATCTAGATCGTGTAGACTGGCGCAATCTACTGCTGAGCGAGAATGGCAAAGGCCCTCAAGATGTCGGCGATGCTTGGGCTTTATGGAATAGCGTTGAGATGTTGACGGTGTGAAGTAGAATCAGGGAAGTTGTAGTGATGGTCGTGTCGGTCAGAAGTGCTATCGACATATTTGGCGCTTGACGAACGCCCAAAGCGCCACGGATCTTTGCGTATCGCAGCCAGACGACTCTCACATGCGATCGTCAGGGTAACGCTATCTTCATCCATGCAAAGTTGGTGTGACCCGCGTTGGATATATATGTCATGGTCGTCCGTGGTCAAGAAGCCGACAATTCTCATGTTCGCATACCGCAGCAGCCATGGGAATTCTCAAACGCGCGCACGTGAGTTACGCGCAGCCATATGTCTCATCGGGTCGAAGCTCGCGCTCTCCTTCGAGCGCGCCACTGCCCTGACTATGCCCGATGGTGGTGACGATTTAGTATCTTTTCAGTAAACTCTACTGGAAGATTCGAGTCTCTATTATTTCTGAATATGGGTAATAACGTAACACCTTAGAGCATGCAGGAAGGCCTTGTATAGTTTCAAGAACATGGCTGGATATCCGCCGACACCCACTTGAACTCCACATCATCGTCTTCGATTTTCACCGTCTTGGTCTCTCCGTTCCGCCATCCGGCAATTGTACGAGGCGCGCAAACGATTGCGGAATAACCCTCCTCCAGCATCGCGCGGATAGTAGCGTGCTCCCGCCCGAAGCTGTCCACGAGAGCATTCTGCATCTTCAGAGGCGCAGGGACGGTCCGCATGACAAGCGGTTTCGCGTAGTGCTCCGAGAGATCGGGTGCGGGGCCTGCGAGTTCCGATGGTACCACAGTCAACGTAGAGTCACACAGAATACGGACGTGCTCGTTCGTTTGGGCGTCTATCAGACGCCAATGGCAAGCTGGATCGTCACGTGCGCTCCTTGGAAGAACGTCAACAGCTCCAGAACGCGCTGCAAGAAGCATATTCGTTTCTGCATTCCTGAGTATGAAAGCGCCATCGCGGGCATGCGCGGTCCACTTGTGGAATGGACCTTCTGGCCGATAAAGTCCGACCTAGAGAAGAACAGTTCAGCTCAAACGTCTGAGTGCTCAACTGATATCTCACATAGATAGACTTGCCGGCGTGTTGGGCCAAGGAGAAAGGTTGCGAGCAATTGAGAATGGCGAAACGGTCCCGTCGGATGGTGTTGATGTACATGAAGGACCAGGCGCTGCTGGGTAATGCCGTCGACGTCAGGACGACGTTTGACCCTGGTTCCGGCTTGTCTACCCGGGATGCGAAGAACCCGGTCTGTACGTTCTGTAGCAGCAACCGGCGGCGAGAGGGCGTGGACGCCGCATTCGGTAGCTCCGTACCCGAGTCCGGACGAGTACTAGTGGACATGGATATGAGTTGCCACTCCTGCGAGAAGCTTGGCCCAGCGCTGGTAAGACGGGTCGCGTGTGAGTCGATACAGTTGGGCTTATTCTTCGCGTTCGGACAGGCGCCGTCTAAGATCGTAGGAAGACCAGTACTGCGTATTGTACAATAGTCCCCGCTAGCGTTGAATGAATATCGCACTGAGGGGCGTATGGCACGTAGAGGACTCACTGAGTTCCTTTTCTGGTTCCCCAGAACGCCCATTTGGAGTTTCCGTCTGCAGGTTTCCAAGGATAACCTATAACCTTAGCGCCGTCTCGATCCGAGTTCCCATTGATGTTGAGAACGTAACCCGTGGAGAGATTGACGATGTTGTACTCGAAGTCCTTGAAGGCATTCCTCCGAACCGACCACAATTGAGTCTGCGACGGTCTCTCTGGCCGGTCAGTCAAGAATACGTGTACGGGTTCAAAAGCCCCATAGGTCTTGAAGTCCTCGATCTCCAAGATCTTGCCACTGGCAGCGTTCTGGACGAGGTAGACACCTTCTTCGACGCGCAGCGGGCAATCGGTAATCAATTCCGGGAGGGGCTAATGGCGGACATCAGTGCTCGCCACAATCAAGATGGTGAATGGCGCCTGACGGAAGCTGATGAAACGGATAGGTCTGCGAGCCGCTTGATCATCTCGTCTTGCTGTCGTCGCGAAACAACATTCGACTGGATCTGCGTGGAGGCGTTAGAGATTATTCCGGTGCCTTCAACATGACATCACTCACCAAAAACAGGACAAAGGAGTGCGTCAGCTGCACATCAAGCGCCTTCACCGACGCTACGTCCTCAGACTTATTCCACAACTTCTTTAATGTCCCTCGAGACGTTCTCTCCACAGCAAAGGCGAGAATCGCGTCCATAGAGCTATATCAGAGGCGCCTCGGTCAGAAGCCTCCTGACAATCAAGACGCAGGCGCACTCTGTCAGCTGCCGGAGGTCGCTCTCGAGTTGAGGAGCCATAGACGCCTGTAAACCTTTACAGGATTGTGCAACTGCCACGATGACGTCCTTTGCGCGGAGTGCCAGGTTCCCGTACGTGTCATTGGCAATTTGCATATCCTACCAAAGAGAAGTAAGGCTCGGTAAATAGGATATGATAGGAAGTACTGACGATGACGTATTGCAAGAGCTGTATTCCAACTCCTGCCAGGTACTTCACCATGGGAACCGTACTGGTTGCCTCGAAAATGTCTCTCAAAGCCTCCAGTCCAGTCGATGCGGCTCCTAGAGTGCGTGATCCCTCGCCGCCAGACACCAACTCCTTGAACGATGCGTATCGTTGTTCAGCGGGCCCAGAGCTCGTCGAAGAATGGGAGGGCGTGCGCGCTTGGAGGCTTGGTGCGCTCAAAGACGACTTGGGGCTGTCTGGAACGGACGAAACATCCGAGAGTGACGTTATGCCTTGTAGACTAGGTGAGCTCATGGTTTGTGCTTTGTGCGAGGCAGTCGTCCAGCTGTGTCGCGGGTTGATAGTTGTTCGTGGGTGGGCCGGTCGTCGCAGTGAGAGTATAATAGCAGACTTCAACGCAGTAAGTGAGGCTGTTCAGAGGCGCCGACTGCGCGGCAGAGTGGTGCAGGACGTATGCGGTAGGAGGGATGCTTCAAGGATACCATGCGATGTCATGATACCCGCTCTGAAACGCCCAGCCCTCACTCGGCGACCTTCCTGTTTCTACCGTTGCACCGCAGATCATGATCGCGCCAGGGCGTTCAAGTGTATAGATAGAATGTGTATTGAGTGAGCGCGACCGAATTCTACGGCAGGTCATGGCGGAGCAGAAGGAAACGCCGATGCCGACGAAGGGCTTTTAGCGCTCCGGCGCCTATCTCACGGTGCGTGGCGTCGAATCGCGACTGCTTCCGTTGTCAAGCAGATCGACCAGGCTAGCAATTTCGTACATACAGAGATATCACCCTCACTTGCGTCTGTAGATACACTCAAAGTACCGGGAGATCGGCCATGCTTGAATCGTGTCCTCATAAGCCACAGGTAACCTCAAGCTAGCTTGACTAAGTATATGGACCACATGCACGCGAAGCAAAGTACAGGTAAGATGGAACCGCACGAGAAGCGTTATGTTGTACATGTAAGAAATTGTGGTCCGTGCTGCAAACATAGACCGTACGAAAGCTAGTGTCCTGCACGACATCCGACGCCCAAACTCATAGTCCCCTACAGGTAGGATCGTTCACGCGCATGGCTGCAGACCCCTTTGCGACCATTTAAACGCAGCATCTTCATCTTCAACTCTCACAGTTCTCACTTCCACTTCTCGCCATCCAGCAATCACGCGAGGGGCGTAGACGATCGCTTTGTAACCTTCCTCCAGCATAGTGCGGATAATCTCGTGTTCTCTGTGGAAGCTGTTGAGCAGCGCGAGCTGTGCCTCTAGCGATACAGGCATCGTTTGAAGAAGGGGTAGTCGAGATGCAACCTGTGCAGCGTGCGTCCTGGGTCCGGCCACTTCGGGGGGTACAATCGAGAGCGCCGAATCGTACCAGACTCGAATGTGCTCCCTTGTCATCGCATCGATCAAACGCCAATGGCACGCCGTATTAACATGGGCGCCCAGAGGAAGCGTATGGACTGTGTTGTCCCGCGCTGCCAGCAGTTCATTGGTTTTACTGTTTCGAAGTATGAAGGCGCCATCCCGGGCGATGGGGATCCACAAGTGATGGGGACTCTCCGGGAGGTATTTTCCCGCCTAGATAGCAGATTGGCGTCACGATCGTGATGCACTTCATTCTTGAAAACTCACATTAATGTACCGCCCATCCCAATGGTCGAGTGAGAAAGGGTGCGCTGAGGTGCTGAGAATCATAAAACGATCAAGCTTGGTGTTATCAGCGTAGCAAATAGACCACGCGCTGTCCGCTTGAGGTTGCACCGACAACACGACGTTCGGTCCTTCGCCACCCCCTTTGCGTGTTGCAAACAGCCCAGTCTGCACGTTCTGCAACAATATCCTCCGGCGGGGAAACGTCGGTACCACACTAATTACGTTCTCGGCGTCGTGAAGACCAAACGGGCAGGAGAGCGGTACAAGTTGCCATTCTTGCGAGAGGCTGTGACCTACATCGGCGATACGGGTGGCATGCAAGTCATTGCAACCCAAAGGGTCCTTTGGGCATACGCCATCGAGGACTGTGTGTAAACCGTTACTCCTGATGGTGCAGTGATCGCCGCTGATAGCATTCAAGACATCAGAGGGAAGTTCGAAAAAAAGTGTAGATCAACTCACAAGGGTCCCTGTGTTGTACCCCAGAAGGACCACTTCGCATTGCCATCGGCGGGTTTCCATGGATAGCCTCCGACCTTAGCACCACTAGTGTTTGAGGCAAAGAGTATGTTCAAGACATATCCCGTTGCCAGACTGCGAATGGTATAATCGGAATGCTCGTGAGTGTTTCTCTGGATAGACCACAGTTGGGTTTGTAAGGGGCTATCCGAGTGTGGCGCCATGAAGACATGCACAGAATGCACGTCGCCGAAGGACTTGAAGTCCTCAATCTCCAGGTGAATAACGTAAACACCCTCTTGAACGCGAAGACAGCGTTCCATGATAGACTGAGAAGAGAAGTACTGAGTAAGGGTCCGACGAAGAGCAAAGCAAGGCTCACAGGGGAAACTGGTGGGCTTAGATGCAGTCGAGTGACATTCATCAAGATCTGCTCTTGACTGATACGGGACGTCACGTTCGACTGGATCTATATACACTCGTGAGATCCCATGATGCTATCCGAGATCAAGTCACGGACCTGAAAAATGTTGAATGAGTGCGTTAGCTGTTTGTCAAGCGCCTTGACCATGGCGACATCATCTGATTTCGACCAAAGCTTCTTCAGCGTCCCACGAGACGCTCTCTCCGTGGCGAAGAAAAGAATGCTGTCCATGGTGCTGGCCTGGAAGTAAGTCATGAGAGATATGTCAGAGAAGAGAGTACCTCACCTTGTGAGCTGACGAAGATCACTCTCAAGCTCAGCAGCCAATACATGTCGGCCGTTACACGAACGCGCCACTGCCACTATCATATCCCTAGCGCGAAAGGCCAGATTCTTATACTCGTCGTTGGTAATCTGCATGTCCTTGAGGAACAAAAGATAGTCAGGACCTCGAACTCTTGCTACGGGTCTTGCACTGACTATAACGTAGCGCAAGAGCTGCACTCCAACGGACGCGAGGTACTTGACGAACGGAAGTGCATTGGCCGCCTCGAGCACGCCTCTCAACTCCTCAAGGCCGGTTGCTGCCGCTCCTAGTGGGCGACCTGCGCTACCAGAGATCATCCTCCCGAATGGCGTGTACTGCGAATCCTGAGTAGTCGAAGAGGATGCAGTGGGAGCTCGACGACCGTGGGCATCTGATGACGGCCGGGAGTGGTGCGGTATCGGGGGCGGACTGGGCGGTAGCGATATTTCTTCGGGCGCGTTGGAAGCCATTGACTGAGGTTTACGCAGATGGGTCAGAGAGGCAGTGGTATCGAGCGGGCGGTTGTTATTCGGGTTTAGTAGGTTTGAACTCGCCAATCCGAGTCGGGTGGCTGCGTTGCGAGGAAGCCTTGGAACGGCCCAGGTGCGGTAGCGCTGCAGTGCATAGAGAAGAACAACGGGGTAACCACATACGCGCGTATATGGCGCGTGACGAATACCACACAGGGAAGCGTCAAGCTTGACCGTGCCGGGCAACGAGACTGCTCTTCACGCTACGGAACGAGAAGTGGATGGCTTCCATCTTTGGTCATCGGAGCAGTGCAGAATCCGATAATCGCGCGGCCCAAGATGTACGAGCTGGATTTGGCCAAGGCTACCTGGACATCAACAACCAGTTGGGAGCAAGGGAGTAAGAGCGCTCTTTCGCGGTTCGCCGCGTTTAGCGTCGTGGGACTCTCGGAGATACGACGCACGTGAGCTGCTTGTACTGTGGCGCGTCGCGTCGAACCGCGACTTGCTTCTGCCCTCGACCACTCTGACCACGCCACTCCGTTCCCTCGCCAGCACTATCTTCACTATCGACCACGGAGCTCTTATAGCGCACATTGTATGACTGACAATAATGGCCCAACACCGTCACAAGCTACAGCGAGCTTACTACATCGTCTGGCCGGACCATCTTCTGGTAAAGCAGGGTGCGTATCTCTGGCGATTGAGCAGAAGAAAGTATGACTGAGGTGTAAATAGGCTAGCGAAAGATCAGTCTGAGATCAACCGCATCATAGCCGAAGCCTCCAAGGGCTCTCCGTTCTATGAGGTATGAATGGACCAAGCTTACATCCATACGCTCGTCCTAACGTCGTTGCTTAGAACGAGAAACGGAAGGATAAGGAGGTAACGGAGCGGATATCTAAGATACTGCAGCAGCGAGACGAAGTGCTACGCACTGCCGATCTTGGTGAGTGACCTGCCCTCGTACACCACAACGCATAAAGCTGATGCTGAAGGCCAGAGAAGGTGAAGAGGAAGGCAAACGCAATCGTAAGCTGTCATGTCTGATATGCTCTGCATGGATGTTGAGTATACTACGCAGCTCGAAGAGCTGGAAGCCGAACGCGACCTCGGCCAGTACATCGTCCACTTCGATATGGACGCCTTCTACGCGAGCGTCGAGCTACTCGACCACCCTGAACTTCAAGGCAAACCCTTCGGAGTGCGCCCGAACGCCACCTGGTATGCTCGCTGTATTATCTTACTGACTTGCTTGGCAGGTAGGTAGCCTTCGCGGCGTGCTCACGACAGCCTCCTACGACGCCCGCAAATACGGCGTCCGATCAGGCATGGCCGGCTTCGTCGCCAAGAAGCTCTGTCCCGAGCTCATCCTTCAACCGAACCATTTCGACCGCTATAGCCACTTCTCGCAACAAGTCATGTCTATCTTTCGTGAATACGATCCGATGATGTTGGCTGCGAGCGTCGACGAGGCGTACTTGAAGTGAGTGCGCGCATGATATTTGATGAAGGGAGTGGGGACGCTGATGCGGTGAAGTATCACAGCGTACTGCAAGGAGAATCAGCTAGAGCCGGACGAATGCGTTGAGAGGATACGCAAGAGGGTGGTCGATACGACCAAGCTCACCGTCAGTGCTGGGATAGCTGCGAACAAGGTACGATCCACCCATCACGGTGGTTTGCACTCTACTGACGCACACTTAAGATGCTTGCGAAGGTGTGTGCGCCCTCGAATCCGACAGTCGATGTCTAACCAGCCCCAGATTTGCTCTGACAAGGCAAGTGGGCACCATGCCCTTCAAGTGCACTGGGCGACGATTGACGCCGCTTCCACCTGCTAGAACAAACCCAACGGCCAATTCCACCTCCCGCACGACCGCGAAGCAATCGTCCACTTCATGCACGACCTTTCCATTCGCAAAGTACCCGGCATAGGCCGCGTGAACGAGCGCATACTCGAGTCTATTGGCGTTAAAGTACGCTACATTCGTCTGTATCACCTCTAAAGTATGACCTGATGAAAGGGATAGACGTGCGGAGACATCTACCGCGAGCGTGCAGTGCTCTACCTCATGGACAAGCAATTCGGCGTACACTTCCTTTTGCGGACGCATCTCGGTATCGCATCGAACGTCGTACAGCCATATGCGAGAGAGGAGAGGAAGAGTATCGGCTCTGAGCGAACGTTCAACACGATCAGCGATAAAGACACGATACTGAAGAAGCTCGAGGAGATCGCTACGGAGTTGGAAAACGACATGACAGAGTCCGGATGGTCCGGTCGGACAATCACGCTCAAGTACAAGCTCGACACATTCCAGAGTACGCGCTCCATCCTCACCTTCACCTCTCCCCGCGTCTACACACATTCCCCGCGTACTCTTGCTAACGAGTTCCTCAGCGTTCACCCGCGCCAAGTCCTCCGATCGCTACATATCCAGCAAAGCCGACCTGTTCGCCATTGGCAAGGAACTTCTGCTGCCCGAATGGCCGTTACGGCTAAGACTGATCGGCTTGAGGGTTACGAAGTTGAAGGATCTGAAGAAGAAGGATGATGGGAAGGGTATTACGAAGGTACGCCCCCGTCTCGTCAGACTGAACGGACTAGATAAGCTGACGCTGGATAGTTCTTCACTCCCACTAATGACAAGATCTCGCCATCGAAGAAACGAAAGCACTCTGATACTGCCGATGGGGATCATGAAGACGAAGATACAATGCCCGGCTTCCACGAGGACGAAGGCGAAGCATGGAACGCGGATGCAGATGCCGACGACGCCCTCCCTCTCCCTCAACAATCCCGACCGCCACATTCCGCTCCCGCCTCTTCGCAACCATCAACCTCCCAACCTCACGCATCATCCAGCAAACCGCGCAGCATCGCCGCTACATCTAACGAACAGCAACAAGAGCAAGCACAAGAGACGTTCGAATGCCCAATCTGCACGTCGCAGTTCAAAGACAACGACGCGTTGAACGCGCACATAGACTGGTGCTTGAGCCGCGAGGCCATTCGCAGCGCACAGGCCGACGACTCTTCGCCTGCTCCGAAGAGTATTGCGGGCCCATCATCGAAGAGTAGTACGAGCTTGAAGTCAAAGCCTATGCCGAGTAAGCCGGCACAGGCGGAGTGGTGGAAAGCACCCCCGGCCGCAAGCGCGCCGAGTAAGAAACGGAAGACGAAGAGATGAGGACTACTAGGAGTGTAGGGCGATAGTATCCGGGTTTGAGTTGTCTGTATTCATGCATTTCTATACGTGGATAGGGTTATGTGTAACACAGCGTCACAATGATATACAATAAACAGCAAATAAACTCCCATTACATCCAAGAAAGACGGGCCTCAGTCCTCGCCTACCAGACCCACGACGCTCACGTTCGCCTCGCCTTCCCCGACGCGACCTTACTCGACCCGCCTTCATCATCACTATCCGCCTCATCGTCACCAACATCGAATACATGTTCCCTCTCGTCCCACACGTCCGCCAACGCCAGCGAGTCTCCTGCTCGCTGCTTCCCCGCGCCAGCTCCGGGTTGTGTAGGCAAGGGCGAGAAGCCAGCCTCGAGGTCTGCTTCGTCGTCGGAGTCGAGGCGGATTGAAGAGGCTGAGCCTGTGAGGGGTCGGTAGAGCTGGTTGATCTGTGTACGGAAGGAGTTGGGTGAGTAAGAGGTAGAGGGTAGGTGAAGGGGAGATATGTACCTCGCGGCGGTGACGGTAGTACCTATCTAGGTGGTACGCGGTGTATAAGCCTATACTAGACCCAAGGATATTTGCCTGTGAGACGAGGGTCAGCCGAGCCATCAAGTGTGAAGACGTAAGGGACGTGCCACAATGTCGCCGAATTGGAAGGTCTTGTACTGCACGTCCTAGTCAGCAAGTGACATATAGAGTGTTTGAACAAACGACGCACCGGTAGCAACGACTGCACGAACTCGCTGACAACTCCCCCAAGGAATATACACACGAACCCCGTAATGATGAGTGGTGAGCGGTTCCAGTACCATATCCTCCTCGCATCCCTGCCCACATAGTCAGCCATGCATTCCATCGGCAGCACAACATGCACACGTACTCCTCAACATCCAAAATGAAGTAAAACACACAAGTCGCCAGCCCCAAACAAACGAAATGCAGCAGTTTATCATTAACAGGCCACTCGTGCGCCCAATTCGTAAAGCCCAACAAGCCCAGCGCGAGCATAATCACGACCGTCGCCAGCACGAACCACTACATACGTCTAAAGTCAATACACCTCAGTTCCAGGGCATGTATAAGCAGGACAAGGCGCACCCAGCGTATTCGGATGGGAAAGTCGTATTTCGTCGTGAGCTGCATGCGGTGCGAGCGCATGAGGCCTTTGAACGCTTTGCGGGCGAGGCGTTGGAGCTTTTTGGAGTTGGATGAGGAGGAGGCATCTTGTGTTGAGCCTGGAAAGCCGAGGGATATTGGCATGGTCGAGAGCTGGTGGGAGGAGGAGGAGGAGGACTGGGTTCGTTGCTGACTGCGCGAGATGACATCGAACAGAGAAGTCGACGACCGGCGTACGGGCCGTCCGAGAGCATTGCGAGGATTATTGCTGTTGCTTAGGCCACGCTTCACAAGTCCCTGTCGATTAGTGGTTAAATCATCACGTTGTGGTTGATTCAACGATTCCGTGAAGCCGGGAGCTCGAATCTCCCCAGGGACAATAGCATCGCCTCGCACGTAGCTTTTTTCCAAGCTTTTACATTCACGTTTTGTGAGCAGCCATCATACCATACGAAGCCGAGACGAGGGGTTTTACGCCTGGCCCTGGACTTAGCCTCGACGTATGAAGCCCGGACTGCGTTCTGATCAGTCTCAAGATCTCATTCGCAAATAATACAGCATAAGTACTCGAACCCAGGGTATACGCATACACATCAATAGTCTGCCCATCTCATCACCCATTAGCACCACCTCACCTCACCCCTTACGCATCTGAACCAGCAGACGTCCTCCCCCCTCCCCCAATCGCTCCCCTCCCCCAATCACTCTCCTCATCCATAAAAGCTCTTCGGCAGAACAGCCCCGCCCCGCCCCTTCCCCTTCTCCTTCCCCACGTCCTTATCCTTCTCATCAAGAGACGCAGCGCCCTCCTCGGCCCTTGCGATCCTCCACTCCAGCACGTCCGCCCAATCTTTCAACCCCTGCACGAGCTTCTCCAGCTCCGCCCTCGTCGCGCTCCGGCGCTGCAACATCCTCATCCCCTCGCCGTCGTCGTCGTCGTCGTCGGAGAGGGAGAGAGTTGAGAGCGGTGTAAGCGATTCGCGGGCTTTAGAGCGCGCTTTGCCCTTGGACGATGCGGAGCGCGACGAAGACGACGGGACGGACGAGAGCGGACTTGATGCGTTGGATGATGAGAGGGACGAGAGGGCCGATGACGAAGAAGTGGATTTGGACTTTGCCTTGCTGCTGCCTTTGCCGTTCGTGATTGCGAGCGCAGGCGCAGGCTCCTCGGACGCCACGTCGGCTTTGGACTTCTTGTCGGTGTGCAGCCCGTTGACGTGCGCGATCCACTCCGCGAGCTTGCGTATCTCTCCCGGGTCGTGGAAGCCGTACCACCTCTTGCCCTCCCCCTCCCCCTCTCCATCCCCCTCCCCCTCGTCGTCGTCCTCACG